TCATTTTCAGTAACGTGACCTGTGCTGAGCTACACTAAGATCTCCATAAAAAAAGCAGCACAAACCTGTAATATATCTATCTGTTTTAATCCATGTATATTTGAATTACATATCAACAAAACAGAATCAAGATATAATCCCAAACTGTAACTTGTGTGCACTTGCGATCTATATACTGCACCCACAACAATCTTTCAGTCCTTTAAAACTGTCATGTCCCTGTCAGAGCTCCAATTCTTACATCTAACATTAACCTTTGGAAAAATCCAGTGTGTCATCATAGTGTCTGCTTTTATATTTGCTAGTACACAGCAAAAATTCCAGTGTTAAATATACAGTGTGATTTTTTTTGGTGTTGTTCAGTGTTAAAACTGGAGTACATTTTAATCCACGAGTGTGAAAACGCGTATATTTAAGAGTTTTTTTTCCAGTGTTAAACTTTTAACCCAATATGCAGTGTATTTCTCATTAGTGATGGGAAGTCCGTTTTTTTTTTACTTGAACCGGTTCTTTAGGAAAAACAGTGATCAAACCAGTATGTTTTACGAGTCTTGATGATATAATCAATTATATGATATAATAAATTTATTCTCATCAGAAGCAGTGAACTATATGCACATGCATATTCTATTAATATTAAATTGTTATTAAATAATCTTATTTTAATAAATCAATGTTTCATAAGATGATGATAGCATTAGCACAAAATAGTCCAAAGAATTAGTTTGGTTCAGACAACGGTCATGAGCTTGAATGTGTTCGGCCGCTTCAGGAGTCACAGCACTTCACGCATGCGCACAGTTTTAGCTCTTAGGTTCTCAAATCGGACGGGTCCGAAAGAAACCGCATTTCGTTCACGTAGCTCTCGGTTCAGTGTACTTGTGATCCAAAACAGCTGCAACCGGTTCTTAACTCGAGAACGAGGTTCGAGAACCGTTGCGGCTGTTTTAGAACCAACAGTACACTGAACGAGAACCTGTTTCTTTAGGATTTTTTTAAGCCGATGAAGTGAAGCACGTTCATACGCTGTTCGAGTAAATAATTTAACTTATTTATTTTTTAATCAGAGAAAGTGCCTGGCACGGTTAAAAAGCAAGGATTTTGAAGTAATTTGTGATTAGTGATTAATGGAGACTGTGAACAGTTTCAAACGATTCAGTTGGACTTGGTGAACTGATTCACTAGGACAATCCAGGTAAATTGAATGATTCGTTCGCGAATCGGACATCACTATTTCCCACGATGCTCAGCTCCGCGGCTGTCTTTTCAGTTGGAGATCCCACGGAGGTTGGCTTGGAGGCTCCGAGTTCAGTGGTAAGTTTTAGCCGTTTTTTCTAAAGAAATGTTTGATACAACGATAATAAATACTCTAACGTTATAATTACATTTAGCAAATAGTTTAAATATTTTTAAATGTTTGTGAGAAGTGTCGCACGGCGTCAAAGCTAACGTTAATTCATTTGAGCATGTTGTAAGGCCATTGGCTTATTTCGCACGTGGACCCTAAACATATCGAAAAGATAAGTTAAATGGCTATGATTTCAGATTAATACAGTTTTAATCCTCTCGCGACGAAATATTTAACGTTATGTGTTTCAAAAATTAGTTTGTGACTATCACTGCGGGGTTTCCCGCCCTTGACTGCCCCTGAGGCAGCTGCATTTTGAAAATGCGCGTCCTTTAATGTTACACTTTGGTCGCACTTCGTTTTAAACGGCGAATTACAGCTTTTTTCCCTTTCTCTAACGATCCGTTCAACTGAATAACCCATATAACGTTAAGTTAGTGATGTCCGGCGTTGTGATGAAATCTGTGACTCGTCGAAAATTTGACCAGGTCGCGCTCTTCAGTAAAATTTTCACTCGGGAACGTGCTTGTCTCATGCACGTGACTGTGAACGCGCAGACGTCTAAACCAAGCAAATAGCATCGAGCTGTGCTATAAAGGATATTTTAAATTCTGGGATTCAGAAAACGGGTTTATGGAAGAACTTTAATGTCGTGATATTTGTTGTCTGCTGGTAGACTGCTATAACTAAACATGAGTCGAAAAAATCCTATAGTTCATTACAAATGCCAATTACTGAGTTCAAATTACATGTGATACAGGTAGGATTAAGATATAAGATATCTTAAGATTAAGATATCTATAGATATTTAATATTTGTTGATACGGAAAGTCTATTCGATCACTTCTGCTATTTATACGTTGACTTTCCATTTCCATTCATTTATTCATTCATTCATTTTTTGCTGCTTTTCCGGGGCCAGGTCAGGCAGCAGTCTTAGGAGAGAACCCCAGAATTCTCTCTCCGAAGACACTTCCTCCAGCTCCTCCGGGGGGATCCCGAGTCGTTCCCAGGCCAGCAGAGAGACATAGTCCCTCCAGCGTGTCCTGGGTCTTCCCCGAGGCCTTCTCCTGGTGGAACATGCCTGGAACAGCGACCTAGGTACGCGTCCAGGAGGCATCCAAAACAGATGCCCGAACCACCTCAGCTGACTTCTCTTGATGTGGAGGAGCAGCGGCTCTACTCCGAGCTCCTCCCAGGTGTCAGACCTCCTCACCCTATCTATAAGAGTACGCCCTGCCATCCTGCGAAGGAAACTCATTTCGACCGATTGTATCCGAAATCTTGTCCTTTCGGTCATGACCCAAAACTTGAGACCATAGGTGAGAGTAGAAACGTAGATTGACCGGTAAATCGAGAGCTTTGCCTTTCGGCTCAGCTCCTTCTTCAACACAACGGACCGGTACATCAACCGCATTACTGCTGCCGCTGCACCGATCTCAATCTCATGTTCCATCCTTTTCTCACTCGTGAACAAATCCCCAAATTAAAACTCCTCCACCCGGGGTAAGGACTTTCCTCTAACCTGGAGATGGCAAACCACCTTTTTCTGGTGGACCAGCATGGCCTCGGACTTGGAGGCACTGATTCTCATCCTAGACACGTCACACTCGGCAGCAAACTGCCTCAATGCATGCTGAAGGTCCATGTTCGATGAAGCCAATAGAACAACATCCTCTGCGAATAACAGAGATGAAATCCTGTGGTCCCCAAACCGGACCCCCTCCAGCCCAAGGCTGCGCTTTTGCAATGTTAAATAGAAGCTGTATAACAAGCATACAAACACAATGACATGTGTTATTGGGTATGTATTGTTATGGGTCATGTAATTGCACAACAATTATCCTACTTTTTTGGCAAAAAAAAGTAAATTACTCAACTCTTGGCGGGGGATAGTAACGTTTTGCCCTCCAGGGGGGTGTTCCCCAAATGGAGTGACTACACATGAAATCTACTGTCTCTATCTTTAAGAGCCAAATATGCATTCAGTGTGAATGAGCCCTTACTTTGCTTCATACTATGATGATAAGCTTTGAATACAACAGCTCATCCATGAACATAGGATGTAATGAAGATAACAACTCAAAATGGTTCCACATTTAAGTCATGTTATGAATATGTGCACTCTAGAAGCCAAATAATATACTGTGCATTTAATGCAAATTTCTTATTAGCCACTTACAATTACATTGCAGAAACTAACTCTAAAATTGTGATTTGACCAACATGGTACATTAACATGGTATGCTGAGCTAAGGGGATTTTTATGTACCATAGACCATTTTGACATGATTTTGAATGTCTTTTTCTCTTTGAGAATTTTGTTGATAACTTCATTTTATGATGTGGCATGATGGAATCCTTGAGGGACATTGGGATCTCCTGAGTTTCATGCTTTAGTATTACACATTTTCATGTATAAAAATGTTGCTTCATTGCATAAAATTCATCAAATAGAAAGGAATGATCACGTCACGTGTGAGATTGTTTAATCTATTTGATGACTAGACTACAAATCTTTTTATCCTTACTCAGCAGCAATAAATGTTATTTGGTGTAGCTGATTTTGAATTAAAGTTGTATAATATTTACTCTAAAGTATCGTTAATGTATAAACACCTAAACTGGAGTTAATTCGTTATTACTACAGAATGAGGTGATGTTTTCCTTCGAAAGTTGTCTACATCCTTAGGCCTATATGTATAGTGGAACATTTCTGACCTTTTGAAGCTCGCACTTTTTCAGGCCTCAAATCATCCAGGCAAAGTAACCTTAATAAATGTATGTGCTATAAAGAAATTATGATAAATGTTCATACATACCTGGCCTGTGCAAATTTATCACAAATTTATCCTAAGCTGTTTGGCTGGTTTCAACCATTTCCAGCCTGGTCTTAGCTAGTTAGGCTGGTAAATGAGCAGATAAAACCAGCTAAACCCAGCTTGACCAGCCTGGTTTAAGATGGACATAGCTGGTTTAAGCTGGCCATCTCCCAGCCTGACCAGCAAAGATCAGGTTGGAAATGACTGGAAACCAGCCGTAAAATGGCCCAAACCCCTCTAAAACTAAGCTGGTCGACCAGCTAAAACCAGCCAAACAGCTTAGACCTGTTTAAGCAGTTATTATTATTTTTTTAAGTTTTTTTATTTTTTATTTTTCACCAGGGTTAACTACACTTTGTTTCAAACAATGTTCAATGTCGCCATCTTGTGGTGGTATCAAAATCAAGCAGATGTTTTTTTTAAGTTGAAGTGTTTAACGTAGTTCACTCAAAAATAAAAATATTTCATAATTTCCTTAGCTTTGTTTCAAACATTGTTTGAAGTTTCTTTCTGTTGAAATCAAGATCTAAGATGGTTTGAAGTAACCTGTATTGACTTTCATAGGACAAAACAAACAGGTTACTACTGTATGGAAGTCAATGGTTACAGTTTTTCAGCTTTCATCGAAATGTTTCAATCTAAAAGATTCAAAACCACTTGACCTTGAGTAAATTGTAAGTATACGTTTAATTTGAGTGAACCTTACCTTTAATAATAATTGAATAATGCTTAATATAGGCCTATACTTTGTAAACGCACACCATGAAGAGCAGCTATAAAAAGGAAATATGCTTTCAGTTTTTACATTACAAAACCAATTAAATTTCACATTTTAGTCCAAAGAGTCAACTTTTTTATTGAGTGAAAATAAAGTCAAATGTAAAGTACAGTAACTATGCCACAGTTCCCTTACCACACCTTTTGCAGAAAACAGAACGTCTTTTCTGTAAAATATGATACAAATATATGATACACCACATTGCACGACAGATTAAGTGACACTTTCCCTTTTAAATTGTATTGATTTGCATTTATTTATTTAATTCCACTGTTCATTTACAATCAACAATAATTATTGTTCTGTAAATTCATGAGCACACTTTCAAATAAAATGATAATGAACTGATAAATAAATAGCACACTTTCCTGTCAGTGAGAAACAACATATACACATTTTTATCTCTTATTACCTGTGAATGATTTCCCTATGTGTTTTATTTTTGTTGAGTGCCGTCAAATAAAGATTGAGAAAAAAAGCTACTGAACTCAACCTTATATAGGAACACAAATAACCTTATATAATATTAATGTTGAGACTGCTGCAATTCTTTAACCATGTGCAAGTACAAAGAAACACAAGTAAAAAGAAAAATATGCATCGCTGCCCTATATGTTTGAAGTATTAACCTATACAGAATCCTTGTAACCTGCAACAGTGCTACTTCAGAAACAATTCAAGTCACAATACAGTGAATAAATTAGCTGAAAACCTGAGTATGAGAATATAATGTGAAAGAAAAAAATGAACCAGTACAATGTTTGCACACAAGTGAACAACATATGAATGTACAGCAGCACAGAGAGGCAACTTCTGAGAAACATTCATGTACATTTCTGAGATTAAGGCAAAAATACATCCCAGAACACGAAAACAAACCAATTAGGCAGTCTGTGATATAAATATCAACCATAAATTGATTTCTATCCTCTACAACAATTGGTTTAAATGAAATGCCCAGTTACCATGCTCTGTACTATTTAAAATACAACTCCATTTTTATTATTATTACAACTTCAATGAGAACAATCACTTACTCTGTACATTCCTCAGAAAAATCAGTATGTTTAAAAGATTTAAAAACAATTTCCCTTTTCAGAAATGAGAAAACGAGTTGGATCACTTTTTGTTAGGTTTGATGTCAAGCTGGAAAAGATCCAAGATATCAAGCATCGCCTGTTTAATGTTACTTCCAAAGCGATGAGAATCCTAAAAAGTAAAATGCAGACACGAAAGAAGAAAATCAGACATGTAAACAACACAAAAGTGAAAATAATATGTGCTACATATACAGTGGGTACCCCTTAAATTTTTCACTCGTTGTTTTTTGCAGCCATTTTCTAAAATCATATCAAGTTTTTTTTCCCTCATTAATGTACAGGCAGCACCCCACATTGGCAGAAAAACACAGAATTTTTGACATTTTAGCAGATTTATTAAAAACGAAAAAAACTGAAATAGCACAGGGTCTTGAGTAGTGGTGCAACAGATTACAAATCTCACGGTTTGGATCGCGTTATGGTTTTTTAGTCATGGATCGGACCATATTTCTGATCAGAAAAAAAGGGGAGGAGACAAACGTAATTAGCTTTCCATTTATTACAAAAAAAATGTTGCAGACACTTTTGGTTTTAACAAACAGAACTAAGAATCTGTCATTTTATTACAAATAAAATGTAAAAAATTATCAGCTGAATAATAAATAGAAAAATTCACTGTTACTCCTACTGTTGCTGTTTATGCTAAATGTAGAAATATAACATTATAATTTGTATAATTAATATTTATGTTTAGTCTCTTAGGCTTGTCAAAATAACCAATATATCGACTCATCACACAACATGTGGCCATGACCTTAATCATTTTTGGTTATGCAATATACAGTTGAAGTCAAAATTATTAGCCCCTCTTTGTTTTGTTTTTTTCCTTTTTAAATATTTCCCAAATTATGTTTAACAGAGGAAGGAAACTTTCACAGTACGTCTGATATTTTTTTCTTCTGAAGAAAGTCTTATTTGTTTTTAATTTTTTAACAGCCATTTTAAGGTCAAAATTATTAGCCCCTTTTAAGCTATATGTTTTTTGATGGTCTACAGAACAAACCGTGTTTAACAATAACTTGCCTAATTACTCTAACCTGCCTAGTTATTCTAATTAACTTAGTTAAGCCTTTAAATGTCACTTTAAGCTGTATAGAAGTGTCTTGAAAAATATCTAGTCAAATTATTAACTATTATTTACTGTCATCACAGTCAAGATAAAACTAATAAGTTATTAGAAATGAGTTATTAACACTATTATGTTTAGAAATGTGTTGAAAAAATATTCTCTCCGTTAAACAGAAATTGAGGGAAAAATAAACAGGGAGGCTAATAATCCACGGGGGCAAACAATTCTGACTTCAACTGCATATCACCCATACATAAAAGCAATTCTAGCAACATTTTAGCTGATTGTGAAACATCTCTATCTTTATTGGAGGTGTCAGTGTCAGTATGGTTAAAAACACTACAGTATTTACCTCGCAGATTTTGTTAATTCATTCATTCAACTTCTTTTTGGCTTAGTCCCTTGAAGGTTTTGTTATTATCTATTTGTTATTTAATTAGGAAAATCGTTTCACAAGCGCTTCCAATGCTTAATTACCAAATAGATAAAATGACTATAGTAAAAATGTTATATTCTTAAGAATAAATTATTATGTGTTCTTTGAATGAGTGTAAATGCAATACGATACTATTATATTGTTATTCTGGCATTATATAATGAGTCTTAAAATGACAAAAATATTTTTTATTGCAATAAATTTTGGTGCAATATATCGAACAACAAAATAGATATCATGACAGGCCTGCTCATTTTCAATAAATGATTCAATTATGCACTGATAAAACTTCACCTTTCTTTACTAGATGTGTAATTTTTAGAGAATTATTCAGTGTCATATTTTTGATACCTGGTTTTCGCCACCTATTGGTTAAATAATGTACTTGCTGCCTACAATTTTCATATGTGCAGATGGCGGTGAATTTAATCTTTACCATAAACATCAGTGGTTTTATCTAAACTATAAACTGTTGTACAAGTGCTGCTGTGTTATTTGACTGTAACTTCTTAACTAACTAAAAGACTAAAACTAAATGACATTTACACTGCACTAAGTGACTCAATTCTGATTTTTTTCTCCCATTTGGCACAGATCGGAAATGGCCCATGTACGTGAAAGCTGGAACAAATCACATGGATTCCGATTTACTCAAATCAGATTCAGGCCTTGTTTATTTGTGGAAATTTATCCAAAATAAATCGGATCTGTGTTCTCGTGTCTGCAATGTAAGCAGGTCTCGGATTCTCACCCGTCAATGCGAGTTGCGCGTCATTTCAGAGTCCCAAACCTTAAATCTCATACACGAGGATTTAAACAGCATTTATATTGTCATATAGCACAGAGTATTTAAGCATGTTAACGAGAGCAAGAGAGCGCAATGTCTGTCACATAACCAATATAAACTAGTATAAAACTAGTGCATAGCTACATCACGTGCATAAATCACGCTATGGACATTACATTAAGATACCTAAAGGTTTAAAAAAGCCTAAATATCAAAAGAAAATTGACAAATGAGAACCTTTCTGTCATAAACTGTAGTAAAACAGCTTGTCAAAAGCTGCGAACAGATTACATACAGGAATAGAAAAAAAGAGCACTATTTAATTATCAGCTGTTAGTCAGTGCCCGCTCTTTTTTCCAGGTCATTGCACCTTTGCTGTGTGCTGTGTAAATGCAGATGATCTAACACGAGTCACTTTTAAAAGGTGATGTAAGCAGGTCATCATAAAAAAATCGGATACAGTCACTAAATCAGAATTGACCATCAAGATCTGCCGTGTAAATGCAGTCTAAAAGACGAAAAATCAAATCTTTCTTGCTTTTTGCGTTTTTCAAACACAGATTTGAATGCAGCAATTCAAAGGATTAATAAACATATGCAAATCACCATCATTTATAATTTATGTTGCGTGGGTGTTAAGATCCCGATCTTTCCATGTTAAACTGTGCAGCTTACACCGAATGCATTAATACAGGCTAAACAAGTGACAAAAAACACCTTTAATAAACTATGAAACCCACCACATCCTGAATAATCAACCACAACGTCTTTCGTCATCATTATGTTTTACAGGAAAGCCTAAATGCTTTCATACATGTGATTTGAAACTGCCAAAACTGGCCAAACTGAGCTACAGAGATGGGAGAAGATTGTAGAAAGTCAACCATCACTGCAGCCCTTCACCAGTCAGGGCTTTGTAACAGAGTGGCTCGAAGAAAGCCTCTCTTCAGTGCAAGACACATGAAAGTGGAGTTTGCTAAAAACAAAAAACACTTGAAGACTCTCAGGTCTGATGAGACCAAGATAGAACTTTTTGGCCTTGTTAAACGGTATGTGTTTTTCAGCTACAGGGACAGGACAACTGGCTGCAATCGAGAGACAGATGAAAGCAGCAAAATACAGGTATATCCTGGATGAAAACCTTCTCCAGAGTGCTCAGGACCTCAAACTGGGCCGAAGTTTTACCTTCCAACAAGACAATGACCTTGGCACACAGCTAAAATAAATTCACAGCAACTCCATGACTGTTCTTGAGTGGCCCAGCCAGAGCCCTGACTTATACCCAATTAAGCATCTCTGGAGAGATCTAAAAATGGCTGTCCACCAACGTTTACCATCCAACCTGACAGAACTGGAGAGGATCTGCAAGGAGTAATGGCAGAGGATCCTTAAATCTAGGTGTGAAAAATGTGTTGCATCTTTCCCAAGAAGACTCATAGCTGTGCTTCTACTAAATAATGAATCTGAATACTTAGGACCATGCGATATTTCAGCTTTCAATTTTTCAAAAATGTCAACAATTCAGTTTTTTTCTATCAATATAAGATGCTGTGTCTACATTAATGAAGAACAAAAACGAACAAATGATTTTAGCAAATGGCTGATATATAAAAAAGAGTGAGAAATTTAAGACGATCTGAATACTTTCCATACCCACTGTATAAGTATCCTATTTTATATGATATTATTATATAAAATAATATTTAATTATAACATATAAAAATATGAGTTATAATTGACTCACAGTCTCATGGCTTGAGTGTTTGCTGGATATGTGGAAATTGATAAGGTCTTCTCCAAGAATAATATATGATACACCATAACCATCATCAGCAACCTAAACAGAAAAAACAACAACAACAAAGAATTAGTTATTATTTGGTGTATGCATACAAATACTCACCGGCCACTTTATTAAGTACACCTGTCAAACTGCTCAATCAACTGCTTTAATTAGTCAATCACATAGCAGCCACTTAATGCATTTAGGCATGTAGACATGGTCAAGATGATCTGCTGCAGTTCAAACCAATCATCAGAAGGGGTCAGAAAGGTGATTTAAGTGACTTTGAAATTGGCATGTTTGTCGGTGCCATACGGGCTGGTCTGAGTATTTCAGAAACTGCTGATCTACTGGGATTTTCACACACAACCATCTCTAGAGTTTACAGGGAATGGTCTAAAAAAGAGAAAATATCCAATGAGTGGCAATTCTTTGGGCGCAAATGCCAGAGAATGGCCAGACTGGTTAAGTAACTCAAATAGCCACTCGTTACAACCGAGATATGCAGAAGAGCATCTCTAAATGCACAGCAAGTCCAACCGTAAGGTGAACAGACAACAGCAGCAGAAGAATATGCCAAGTACTAGTAAGGTGTGCCAAATAAAATGGCCAATGAGTGTATAGTTTATTTAGAAGTACACTACCATTAAAATAACAACACACAAATGACTTACGTTTAAAGCATATTAAAATACAAAACAATTATAATGCTATTTTACCACCATTTTACTCTATTTTTTAAATTAAATGTAAATAAACAAATACATTATTGGCAATATAGATACTGAACCCGATACTTATTTTTTTGACTGAATTTTTGCAAAAATTTTAAAAGTATTACATCAAAAGTATTGCAAAAGGAAATAGAAACGATAAACCCCACACCCCAAACACTCCAAGAGGTCATAAGAATATGAAATAAATTAGAAATTATCATAATAATCATTCATTCATTTTCTTAATCCCTTTAATAATCCAGGGTCGCCACAGCGGAATGAACCGCCAACTTATCAGCACATGTTTTCGTATTGAATTTAAAATGTAGCTTCTTACCTATAAAGCTTTAAATAATTTATCTCCTGTTTATCTACCCAACCTTCTTTCTCGCTACAATCCATCTCGCTCTTTCGATCTCAAAACTCAGGGCTTCTGGTATTACATAGGATAGCAAAGTCAAGTAAGGGAGGTCGTGCCTTCTCATTTATGGCTCCTAAACTCTGGAATACCCTTCCTGATAATGTCCGAGGCTCAGACACACTCTCACAGGTCAAAACTAGATTAAAGACCTATCTTTTTAGTAAAGCATACAATCAGGGCATCACTTAGCGGTATGATACATGAATGTGCTCCATGCAGGTTTCTGCATCCTGTTTATATACACTATGAACATCAGCTATGCTAATTATTTTCTTTATTCTTTATTTCCACCTGGGGATACTCTTCCCGAGGTCTTCAGACTATGCAGTGCCACTGATTTGATCCAAAACCAGCAATGAGGTTTCCATATCTTGGACCAGGACGTATCCTGAGCAGCTGCTGTGGTGGTAATGGAGGAGTGGAGAGCATGAGACTGATTCCTGTGACGCTCCTGGGACAGACGAGTCTTCGCTGAGGTCCAGCTTTTCAGCCTCCGGCGCCTTGACTGCAACTCTGCACGCTTGGCCAGAGGAGAAATGGTCATGCCCAACTGAGCCTGGTTTCTTTTGAGATTTTTTAATTCTTCACTTTCACCAATTGGTGAAGTTTTTTTTCCTCGATGCTGTCCCTACTAGCTTGCATGGTTCGGGATCTGTAGAGCTGCGCATCGATGGATTGCTCTTCAGTGTTTGGACTCTCAGTAGTGATTATTAAACCACACTGAATTGAGCTAAACTGAACTGAGCTTAAACTCTGAAAACATGCTGGATAAGTAAATTAACCCCGGATTAGTAAATTAACCCCTTTATTAATCTCGGATTAATAAAGGGACTAAGCCGACTAGAAAATGAATGAATGAACACAGCGTGTGCCCTTCCAGCTGCAACCCATCTCTAGGAAACATCCATACCCACTCTTCACACTCATACACTGCGGCCAATTTTTTTGCCTACCCAATTCACCCGTACTGCCTGTCTTTGGGCTGGCAGCGGGGAGAACAAGCAAACTCCACACAGAAATGCCAACTGTCCGAGGCTTAAACCCGCAACCCTTGCTGTGAGGCGACAGCACTTCCTACTGCGCCATTGCTTCGCCCCATAATAATCATGATATTAATGTCATCATTATATAAGCATCATCATTATACTTAAAACTCAAGACAGATTTTAGAAAATTTAAATAATATTTATTATTATCATTATTGTTAAGAAAGGTATGTTGTAACCTTCAATTGTAACCAATATTTGACAGAAGTGTTAGATTAATTAATAAATGTAAATGCAAAACTTAAATTTTTTTTGGTTTAATTTTTTTTTTAAATAATATATCTATATTATAATATTACATAAAATATTATATAAATTTGTATTTAAATAAAAAAAAAAAAACATTTACACCAATATTATAAAACAATAAAAACTTGCAATGCGTCTGTTTCCTTTCAAAAAAAAAAAAACAACACTTTTGAAGAATAATCTGAACACCAGTTGTCATTGCACCTTGTCTAGGCAGGATAAAATATTGATACAAAATGAACTTACAGGTCCAAATCCACCTCCACTGGTGACATATTCTGGATGTTTCTTCAAGTCAAAGAGTTCCATCTGCTGGAGAGGAGTCTGACTGGTGGACAACCTCCAGGGCTCTGACAAAACCTGGATCAAACCCAGCTCGTTACAGACTATGTAATGTTTCTAGGCTACAAAACTGATAGATTTGCAGATTGTTTTGTTACAGGTCGCTCACAAACCTCTTTGAGGAAAGGTGAATCTTCACCGAGGTACTTGGACACTAAGTAGAGGCAGAAAAGATGACGGTCAATGCCTTTTCCAGTCATGGCCAGTTTGTATAAATTCTGGTGCTTTTCTGTGGCCGCCTTCAGCAGCTTCAGTCTCTCTTCTCTCTGAGGAAAAAAAAAAGATTCATGAAATAGAATGATTACTGAAATTTGCAGAAACAAACACACTCACTAGAACTACTGTACAGTAGCAAGGCAAGTTTATCCCCAGGTAACGAGGATCATTCAGAATACTAACTACTGCATGCATCATGATAGATCTATTAAGAAAATATATATGTTTGACTTTTTCTTTTCTTAGAATGGTTTAACTTGCATCAACCAGGATCAATATCAGAATTACTTTTGCAGGCTGGACAGAAATGACGCTATGCAGTTCAAAACAACGATCTGAAGGTTCACAACTTGGCTGAAGTACTTCTTTTAGACAGGTATGTTTTAAAACTATTTTAGCCAAGCAGAACTTATGTAAACCGTGTTCTTATTTATGAATTGGTTTATATGCACAGAAGTGCTGTTTAGCAACTGAACACGTCCGGCAAAAGATTGGCTATTTTCAAGTTCATGGAGTATCTTTTACTGCATCGAAAATATAGTCGGTTAAATAGACCTGAGCATACCTTTAGTTGTTCAAGTGAAAAAGGAGCTGAAAACAAGCGATGTACGAGGATCAGCAAGCACAATTGAAAACGAAAAGTCACTTATTGTCTTGGTAACGTAAGCACAATGTAAAAAGATGACAGGATTTTCCTGTTTTTAGCACTCCTTTTTTCTGATCAAATTTTTCAGTTTAAGAACAAAACATCAGTAAATGTGCTCTTCTGCCTGACCAGCTGTACTGAGGTGAAGTTTGATTTATATTCACACATTTGTTCATTTTTGAACAGTGACACCCAGTGATAGTTCTGGGAAACTATAATTCCTGCTGCCGCTGGCCTGTCCACAACTCTTTCATTCATTTTCTTGTCGGCTTAGTCCCTTTATTAATCCGGGATTGCCACAGCGGAATGAACCGCCAACTTATCCGGCAAGTTTTTACACAGCGGATGCCCTTCCAGCCGCAATCCATCTCTGGGAAACATCCACACACACACAAACACACTCATACCCGCATGTCTTTGTACTGTGGGGGAAACCGGAGCACCCGAAGGAAACCCACGCGAACGCAGGGAGAACATACAAACTCCACACAGAAACACCAACTGAGCCATGGATTGAACCAACGACCTTCTTGCTGTGACGCGACAGCACTACCTACTGCGCCACTGCTTCGCCCCTGTCCATAACTACGCTAAAATGCGTGTCTCCAAAGAGTTTTCTAATTGGTGAATGACATGATCTAGTGTTACAGTATATCTAATCAGTGCACGTTCGTGAGTTCATGACTTAAGTAGGCGTGGCTTTAGACTGCAGGGGAGGGTCGTAAAATTTCTAAGCTATTATATTAATGCTAGCATTCTGGCAGATCACCTACTGCACCTTTAAATATTGTGAAACCATCAAGCTGGATCCCTATTACATTTACAAATACAACCGCAGGCGTTTTGATCTAATTTCTGGTTAATGATGTCAGAATTTACTGGTATTTTGGAATGTATGTGTGAACGGTCTTTTCCTGAAAAAATCAGAAACGTCCTTGCCTGTGTGAACTCACTTTTTTTAAATTTACAAACCCATTGAAATATTGCACATTTCACTATTACACAGAGTAGCCATTTGGCAACAAATAAAGTTGATTGATTTACAAAAAACTAATTTGATAAAAACTTTGAGTGGTGATTGTGAATATGTCATCATGTCATCACAATTAACTGGAGGTCATGTCTACAGTTTTTTTGTGGATATGACATGAGTTGATCCTTTGTTTTTATTGGCATTTACATTTGCATTCAGCAACTACTCACAATAAACGCTAGTCTGCCAGGAATCGCGCCACAGAAAAAATGGACATCGTGTGACTTAACGAAAGCACATCATTGGCTAAACTAAGGTCTTCTCTTTCCAACAAAAAAATAGAATGTTGGTCTTTAAGAAACAGTGGCAGGAAATGAACATAATAATAATGTTGCCATATGGCAACACAATGCGGTAAAGGGCTAAAACAAGATTCTCTCAAAGGTATAACACTAATGCTAATATAATGTTTGTTTAGAATCTAGTATAGTCTTTGATGTAATCAAAAAGTCAAAATGATTAGCTCTCCTGTGATTTTTTTTCTTTTCTTTTTTAAATATTTCCCAAATTATGTTTAACAGAGCAAAGACATTTTCACAGTTTTTCTTATAATACTTTGTCTTCTGGAGAAAGTCTATTTTTTTTTATTTCAGCTAGAATAAAAGCAGTTTTAAATAATAATTAAAAAAAAACATTTTAAGTTCAATATTATTAGCCCCCTTAAATATATATATATATATATATATATATATATATATATATATATATATATATATATATATATATATATATATATATATATATATATATATTGGTTGTCTACAGAACAAGAAACTATTACACAATTTGCCTAATTACCCTAACTTGCCTAATTAACCAAGTTTAACCTTTAAATTGGACTTAAAACTGAATACTAGTATCTTCATAAAATATGTACTGTAATCATTAGAAATGAGTTATTAACACTGTTATGTTTAGAAATGTGTTGAAAAAACCTTATTTTTATTAAACTGGGGAAAAAATATCCAGGGGGCTAATAAGTCAGGAGGGCTAATAATTCTGACTTCAACTGTATATACAGTAAATTGTTCATAGGGGTGTAACACATCAAGATAATAACTTAATAACTTTTTTTAAAACTTGTAGGTTAATCCCAAAGCATCCTTTACTTGGGTAAAAGCACAGATACTCATGTTTAAAACGACTCTGCTAAAAGTTGAAGTACCGACTACACTTGTGTACTCAAGCTAAAGTAAAGAATTAAGGCCTCAAAAATGTACTTAGGTAAATATCCGGTTTCCCCGCATGTACACTGTAAAAATGCAGGGTTCCACACAATTCATTCATGTTGTCCCAACACAAATCGATTAAGTTAACTTAACACTTTTAACAAATTTATGTGGATTGAACTTAAAAAAATCCATTAAGTTGTACCAATGAAATCTCAGTATTGTGTCGTTTAGGCTCATTTAAAATAAGTAGTTAGAACAAGTAAAAATAAATAAATTTTAAGTGTATCCCGACACAAACTCACAGCATTCATCATGTAGTTTAGCGGCTGTTGGATCAAAAATGTTCATACACTCTAAAAAGAATTATGTAGGCCATGTATATCTTTATAAATAATTTCTTACATTTTAAACTGAATTCTGTCCAAAATATATATTTTTAAAAATTATTTATATTTGAATATTTTTTCATTGAATATACTGAAAATATGTTTTCTTTTGCTAAAATAAATACTTATTGTATTTGACTGCAAACTATTTATTTATTTTTATTTATTTATTTTTATTTTTTGCTTTACTAGCTTTCAAAGATAACCGGTTATTACAGTATTGTTTTTCCAGGGTATTGTGGATATTTTATTTAATGGATAAACATTAATTCTATGCTAAAAGCTACAAACACATGCATGTCTACAACCTACAAAACATGTGCATGATCTTTTATTATTTGAATTATATTTTTATTCATAAACTGCCCAGAATAGTTACTTTTGTTGTTGTAAAACATTTGTTGCCTGACTTTAACAGCAGTTTAGCAGTTTAATTTTATCTCATGAACATTTCATTCATGCCCCCATGACAAACTGGAGTATTAGACGCAAATAAGGAGTAAGGACTGGTGAATGTTATGGAATTTAATAACGCACGCCAAATGGAAAGAAAAAAAACTTCTGCATTTCGCGATGTGTGTGTGTGCTTGTGTGCGGTCCTTTACTGACAGCCGCGTGTATGGACCTTGTCAGAAAATATGGCCAAAAGTCCTACATGACGGTAATAGTTTGATTGTAGTGCTTACTTCAATAATGCCACTAATGTATACATACTCCACACGGCCTTATTCCATTTCTGTTTAGTTCAGTTATGACTTTAGTCAGATTAAGGTAATCAAAAATCGCTGTTTGGAACTTATGTAGGCCTACAGTTCAAAATGCATGTTTAACTGAATAAACAGTTAAACACAAGTACATCTTATTGGACATTATTTATTTTCATCACCAATAATCATAGTAGAACAGTTTCTCAAGCAGTTTGTGATGCATTTTGGAATCAGGAGATGAGCCCCTGGTCTAATGCGCCATCTGGCTTGAGAAACCCGTTCTCAAAGACTTATTATTTGGGTAGCACACATATTTTGAATGCCTTCGGCAGAATTCAAATGAGCCATTTTAATCCAGATTATTCCAGATTAATTCAGAGATTAATCTAAATTTAAAAACTATAATAACAATAGATATAATAATCTATGCCCACCTATAAAAATCATATAGTCAATAAAAAAATCTATTAAAAATACTTGTTAAACAGCATAAATTCTGTAATAGGAAATATAAACTCATCAGGAATGCATAACGTTTTTAGAAAGTATTTCATTGTTTTAGTACTAAATGTACAAATCTTTACAAAAAAGCACTTATTTTTAGATTGTCTATCAGATTTCTTCAGAAGGGAAAGATGGGAAATACTGTGAGAATTTCTTTGGTCTGTAAAACATCACATTTGTTTAAAATTGACAGCAGTGCTAATAACTGAACTATATACTGTATTTTTTTTACCCACCGTAGCTTTCTCATCCATCATGGCATGAACAAAAGCACAGGTCTCATTGGTGCAGGAGCGCACAGTCTCAGTGCGACCTTCTCTGAACAGACGCGTCATGGATGCTTCGTACGTCAGACAGAACTTGCCTTTATCCTGCAGTAAGAACAAATTAAACATATTACACAGAAATCACATGAAGAAACAACACAAAAGTCTTTATAACTTTCTCTTACCCTGAAGTGTGCCAGCTGGAGGGCGAGCTGAATAAAGCCATCAGGGCTGGTCTTGCATTTCTTGATTAAGCCTTTGCCAAAGTCGTTAAAGGGGAAAATGTGCATGTCTACATCGTCTGCCAGAGTATTGGCTACTTTCAAAGAGCTGCTGATCACTGTCTGGCACTGTGAGTGTCAATGAAAAGAGGTTACTTCCTTCACTGTAAAAAAGCTGGGTTCCACACAATCCATTTAAGTCGTCCTGATGCAATGGTTGTTAACAATGGTTTTTAGAATTTTAAGTTGACTGAACATAAAACAATCCCCCCCCCTCCACTTGTTTCCACTCATTTTAAGTAAGTAGTTTGAACAAGCAGCAAAAATATTTATTAAACTATGAAGTGTACATGATTCGTGTTGAAAACACACAATGGATATTTTACTGACCTCCTCTGGGATGTCCCACTGCAGTCTCTGGGGTCCCGGCATGTTGGGATGGGGGTTTCCTTTGCAGTGGCCCTCCTCAGTATAGCCCAGTCTCACTGGATCCGATGACAATACTTGCTGCACAAACATACAGTACACATTCAAATGAAATTAACAGTTTCTTACAGTAAGGTTACATCAAACTGTTCCAAAATCATTGTGAAGAAATGAAAATTTATAAATAGAGCCAACTACTTAAAGAGATTTATTTATATATATATATATATATATATATATATATATATTTATGGTGAGCTGTCTTTAAGGTTATAATACAGTTTTCATCAATTGCTTTGGCTCAATTTTTGAATTCAAGTTTTATTTTTCAAAACAGTAAGTTCTGATCTCTGAATAATTAGCTTCTCGTTCACATCAGATTAGAATTTATTGTTGATTTGAGCAAATTGCAACTCCTTTGGTCAACAGTAAGTACAATTGTGTTTGGTTTCTACAAATACTATTCATATGTGGCTTGTTGAGTCGATTCTCATTATTTCTCATCATGTAAATTATCACAGTCAAAACAATCTATTAAATTATCAAAAATTTGGGTCATACTTTATATTAAGTTGCCTTAAAGGGTCATGACACCCCCACTTTCGGTTCAGGTCTACCTCAGAATTCTTTCAAAAGATGCATCATAAAAGCAGGAGAGGGCATGGCCAGCAGGGAAGAAGGAGGCGAGTGAACAACTGTTGTCGTTAGATCACAATGAGGAGACGCATGATTTTAAAGTTTACAAAGTTAAAATGCAAAGAAATAAACAGCAATTTAGTGCCCTGCTACATTTGTTATTCATAAATTTATATACAGATAACCACAATTTATGTCATTATAAAGATAATGGTGTTCATATAAACACTATAAATAAGGACTTTTCCCTCAATCCCCAGGTCTGAATGCAGACTCAGTGCAGCTGGTCTCTTACCCTGTCTATTTTACCATTAGCCTTGCTGGTTATCTGGAGGATTTAGACAGCACGGCAATGTGTCTAAATGTGAACGAATTCCTGATAAAAGACAAGTCCCCCATTCTCCAATTCTCGTACTGCTCTCCCGACAAAAATGCTTGCCGCACACAAACAGCTTTGCTTTATCGACCCTGACAGCATCGCTGGGAAAAACATGCAACAAACCCCGTGGATCATGGAAACAAACACATACGAGCCTTCTTGAATGGCTAAATACTGTGTGCCGTGGGTCCGTGTCAAAATTAATCTATGCCCAACTATAAAATAAACGTGAAAAATCTTTCAAGTTCTGTTTCTAATGCCAATGGTAACAAAGTGGAACACACATGAAATTTGTTCAGTAAATGTGATTCACATATTGTGCAGATCTTCATAAAAAAATGTAGAATGATGCCATTATATAAACAGCGTTTTTTATCCAGTTTTTAAGGCTGACACATGCCAGTATCTTAATGATTTTTTTTTTACCTCCCACAAATGGCCAACGATGGGTGCATCAGCCCAGGAGTGTTCTGCATTCAGTCCCATAGTGCCGTTCTTGAATACAATAAGGTTCAAAGACTTATCAAACCATCTAGAGAAAAAGAACACATACAAACATATTTAAAAACACACTTTTTAAAGTTAGTCACAAATTTAAGATGTTCTAGCATTTTTTAAAGGAGTCACGCTCACCATTAATTATTAAATATAACACTTTTATAGTAGTAATTATGAAATATTACAATTTAATATAAGTGTTTTCTGTTTCATGTCATAAATAGTCCTAACATGAAATTCTTAATTGTAGCTTTGTAGTTTTAGACTTTACTAGTTATTTAGTGGCTCTCAATCCTTTAGAAATTATTCTAATATGCTTACTTGGTGCACATGGAAGTTAGCCGGCAGCTAGCTTTCTGCAACTCTTACATGGTCACCCACAGAAACTAAGCAGGGCTGTGCACGGTCAGTACCTGGATGAGAGACTACATGAGAAAGCTAGGTTGCTGCCGGAATTGGTGTTGGTGAGACCAGCCGGGGGTGCCCAACCTGAGGTCTGTGTGGGTCCTAATGCCCTAGTATAGTGACGTCCAGTGAGCGCCATCTTTCGGATAAGATGTTAAACCGAGGTCCCGACTCTCTGTGGTCGTTAAAAATCACAGGATGTCCTTTAGTAGGGGTTTAACCCCTTCATCCTGGCCAAATTTGCTTACTGTCCTCTGTCTATCATGACCTCCTAACCATGATTGGCTTCATCACTGTCTTCTCTCCACCAAGTCCATTAGCTGGTGTGTGGTGTGCGGTCTGGTGCAGTATGGCAGCTGTTGCATCACCGAGGTGGATGCTGCACACTGGTGGTGGTTGAGGAGATTCCCCCAAAAATGTGTAAAGCGCTTTGAGTGTCTAGAAAAGTGCTATAATGTGAGGAATTATTATTATTATTATTAAATATTTCTACCAAAAACAGTTGTGCTGCTAATTTTTTGTGGAAATAATGACCTTTTGTTTAAGATTATAGAAAAAAGACAGTTCAGAAAACCAAATTTTTTTTGCATTTATAATATTTTCTTACAATATATTTTAATAAAATATCTTCTAAAAAATCATATTTTATTTTACATTCAAGTCAAACAGGTTTGGAACAAGTTAAGAGTGATTAAATGACACAATTTGACTGAACTATCCCTTTAATAGAAAATATTTTAATAACCTAATTTAATTTAAGAGCTCTTAGTCACCTGTCGTAGCATTTTCCATGGAGCAGAGATTTGCCATAGCTGTCCAGTGACTGGATAGGATTGTCTGGCTCATAACGCTGCTCGGAATCATCCAGAGTAACAAAGAAAGCAGCCTTCTCCACAGCATCCAGGGACTGCTTATTCTTTCCACGAATGAAAAACTGTGAACGGGCTTTGGCCCAGGGAACTCTGGGTAATGGGAAACAGAAGCATTGATAAACTCATGTTGTTTTATTGACTTTGATTACAGAAAGAGAGAAAATGCACATCTGGTTCCATAAATGAAGGCTCAAATCTGTAAACATAGCGGCCACAAAATGTTCTGTTCTCAAATCCAGGGAAGCAAAAAAGGTGGTTAAGAATAGATTATATGCTGGTGTTAAAATGTATTGCTTTAATGCACTCCTGCATTGGGCTCACACATACACTCTCTACTCTTGACTACTAAAAAAAAAATTCCCGCTAACATTTGAGTGATGTTGAGTGCATACCTTAAACACAGCTGATTAGCCATTGTGTTCACCTGCTCAATAGAAAGGACTGTGACTGGCCCTGAAGGTCACCAGTACAACACTCTTCAAACACCGTATGAAAGCTGTGAAGATCAGTCGATCCATCAGTGGATCGCTTCTATATCAGCTCATAGACAGACCAGCTGATTGATGCGACTTTGCAAACACAGATATTTAATGGTGCTCAACAGGGCTCAAATGTTAGCAAAGAATGGATGTTTGGAAATGAAATTCCAGTGTTGTGACAACACAAGTCACAAGATATTTTAAATAATTTTAAAATACATTTTTTATTTAAATTTAAATTCTGTGAATAATATTTTTTTTTCATGAAAAAATGCAATAAACGTACATTTTGGTTAGTATATTCTGTCATAACAGTTCAGTATAAATTGATATAAACAGTACACACTAAGAAAATTGCTAAGAAAATTACTTGTTTTCAACCCAGGCTCATTATTGATACGTACCCCTCCATACATTTCTAAACAGCACAAAATATGTCCCAAGAGGTACTTTTTTTAAGGTTTTGTTTTCATGAATCCACCAGAGGCCACTGTGTATGCTTTTTCAGATCTCAAATTTCTCTTGCGAGTGCCATTCACACCTGTTGGTCTGACCGATTGACTGACCCCCCCTTCTTATTCCCTAAACCCAACCCACAGTGTTTTCAAAAGCAATCTAAAAAAAGAATAGTGCCCGCGGCCGCCTGATTTTTACCAAGTTCGTAAGATCTTCCCTGCAGGCACAGGACATCATCATGACGCCATATTGATGTTGTACCCCAACGTCATGGGGACATTGGATTTTGTTTGGAAATGAAAATCAGATTGACGTCAGAACCCAAGGTCAAGTCCAACCTAAAATCAATCTTAAATCAAGCAAATATCAACATCTAATCATGTTACACCTTGGCGTTGTTTGGACGTTACCACTATAACATCTATAAGACGTTGAATTTTGATCACTTTCCAACACGTGATTAACGTAATTTGGCGTCGGTATTACACGTCAAAATAGCACTGTTTTTAGATGCTGGCTATGCATTGAATTTTGGTCATCTGACGTCATGACTTAAATCTAACCTAGTATTAACGTCTTATGATGTTGTGTGCCTGCTGGGTTACCACATTCTCACCCTTTTATTTACTTGTTTATTTTTTTTTGCCTTTTGTTTTTGTTTTTCGTGCTTTCTGAAACCGTTCTTTGCCAGACTCCAACCCTATCGTCGCAGTCAAATTCCCTCTGCATCTCAAGTCCGCTGACGTACATAGCGAGCCACTGGGCAAACTTGTGACAGTGGAAAAGCCCTCCATGTTGAGGTAAGCAGACAGCTGATAGCACAGGGTACGGTTTTACAATGAGCCTGTGCTGTTTGTTTTAATGATTTGAAGTCTTTGGAGACAATGACTTTATACACAATGCACATTTTAGATTTAAAACTTTACATTTTTCATTCTCTTAGAGCTCTGTTACCTACTGCATGAGATGTATTTTTTAATCCATAACAGGAACACTTTAAATGAATTGTTTTAATATTTTTCCAGTCTTTAATAAATGTATTTTAATAAAACAGAAGCACTCACCTGTCTCCCGCAGTCAAAGCAGCCAAAAACTCTTCACCTGGCTGTGGTTCGGATTTGTCTGCCAAGATCCTCTCCATCTGCTGCTCAATTTCTCGAGGCAACAGCAAGCGTCCGTCATAAAACATCCACACCTTGTAAAAGCGGCCCTTGTGGTACACGGCGATGTGTTTGCTCTCATTCACATGCTGAAGGACATCTGATATATACAGGAAATATGGGCTTTAAGCATGAAGGTGTACACATGCATATGGAATTACAGTAACGTTGTTCTTTAAATCATATAGTGATTCTTGTGATTTAAAATAGGCACATGTCATATTAAAGGGATAGTTCACCCAAAGTTTTATATGTACTCCCCATTTATTCATAAGTGGTTCTAAACTTTAATGAATTTATTTCTTCTGTTGAACACAAAGCAAGACATACTGAACCATGAAGAGAAAAAAAAACATCTATAGGAGAAACAAAAACATTACGGAGTAATGTATCAGAATGATAATGCACCAATACATACAGCAAGAGTGGTGATAGAGTGGATTGGTTAACATGAAAGTGAAGTTGAACATCAACCATGGCCTGCACAGTCACCAGACGCAATATCATTGAGTCACAATTTACACAATTCACCTATAGCGCATGTCTTTGGACTGTGGGGGAAACCGGAACACCTGGAGGAATTCCATGCCAACATGGGAAAACATGCAAACTCCACACAGAAATACCAACTGGCCCAGCCAGGCATCGAAGCACAGACCTTCTTGCTGTAAGGCAACCACTGAACCACCGTGCTGCCCCTTTGCCCAACATTTTTCAATAAATCTCGCTTTGTCTTCAACATTAACAAAAACAAAAATTAAGAATCTCAAACAGGTTTGGAACAAGTGGAGCATGAGTAAATGATCTTAGTACACGATTAAGTGATTTTCATTTTTGGGTGAACTATCCCTTTAAGATTTGAATTGTTATGGATTAGTTGATTAGTTGTCAGTAGGCAATTATGCGAAAAGCAGATGAAAAAAGGCAAAGTAGATGAGAAGAAAGGCTAAAATATAAAGTTTGTATAAATATATTCCTTTTTATTACCAATATATCAACAAATGAAATGGATGGATCGCAGATTTCCAGATTTTTAGCCCATCATTTAGTCTATGTATTTAATTGTGTAAATGTACGAAAATGTATATTTATTTGGTTTTAAAGTAATTTCACTAATATTATTGTAATATAATAATAGTAATATTAAAATGTCCATATGATTTTTTTTACAATACAGATTGTGAAGGAATATTTACTGTCTTTTCTGTCATTTTAATTAATATTTAAAAGTTATAATTTTTTCAATTATTACTATTATTATTATTATTACTACTATTATCAGTATTATTATTGTTATCATTATTATTATTATTATTATTAATAATAATAATAACAATAATATTTTTATATTTTTATTTAGTATATTTTAATAATAATAATAATAATAATGATAATAATAATAATAATAATAATTATTATTATTATTATTATTATTATTATTGTTGTTGTTGTTGTTGTTGTTGTTGTTGTTGTTGTTATTATTATTATTATTATTATTATTATTTAATATGTGTATACAGGTGTTAAAATAGTTTTAATCATTTTTATTTTATTCTAAATGAAAAAAAAAGTTTCCAAAATAAAACTTGGTAGCACATTTTAATAACTACACACTATGAATCATTTACTAAGCATTAGCATCTATTGAATTCATTATTTGTTAAGCATGAACTCTACATTGATAAACGTTAGTAAGCAGTTTATAACTGCAGCTACAAATGCTTTTTCAGCTACTATTCATGCTTTATAAATCCCTTATAAATGACCATTAAAGGCACAACATTTTAAGGCTTTACAGTACACTTATCAGTAAATGTATCAATATGTTCTTTAGGGCAAACATGGTCTATTTCATGTAGCAAAAACAGCTTTTAGTTGACTTGCATACTAATTAACTTAATATAGCATTTATAGTCATTAATCAAATATTTATAAATCAGTTATTTATAAAAAAAAATGTACAACAAATATTAATATGAGAATATAAATCCCACATATAAATATTTTGTCATGTGGTGCTCTAATTTTAAGTTATGTCAGTTGTATTTATGTCAAAAAAATATTTATTATATATATTAGTTACTTATCTAATGACTTCAGCATTTACACTAACTATGCATGCAATCCAACATCCCTCTTAAGTGTACATTATAAATGAATGGCATTGAATATAACATTGCATTTATTTCACTGCTCCTAATGTATTGCCAGATGGCAGTAAAACATGTTATTTCCTGTTCCTGATTCATCCTGTTTCTGATAACAGGTTAATCATTAAATCACGCAAATAGCTTATCAAGTTATCGAAAATGGTTAAGCACACAAAACAAATTCCTTACCATCTGCCTCCTCCAGAAACATCAGCTAAATAAAGCGCAGTGTTAACAGCAAGCCTAAATTACAAACCTGCTTCGTGCATTTGACGCTTGCAGCAGCCACTAGCATCTACAAAGAGCAGATTCAATGCGAAATAAAGGCAGGCAAGAAGGAAGCTCTACCTGTTTCTACACCTGGAACCCGACTGGTGTTGAACATACGCTCGTACTGAGATGAGCACATGGGGATAGTGTTTAGAACCATGAGCTGTGAAGCAGAAGGGAAGGTCAAACACTAACAGGAGAAAAAAAAAACAGAGGAAGAAACCCCACATACCACACTATGGAAACCTGTAAAACCGGAAGATGGAAAAATAGAAAAAAAAAGAGTGAAGGATCATCGGGAGAGATGAATTCAACTTGGTGACCAGCCTGCAGATAGCAGCACAGTTAGAAGATATTAAATGATTTACTAAATCATAACTCATTTCCAAGGTTCAAATCAAATGTGTTTTGTTTATTTTGGTATTTTAGGATTATTAGTTAGTGGTCAACAAATATTGCACTTTTTTTGCAGTTTGGGCTGTTTATAATTCTTAACTCTAAGATGTCAAATTGTTTTAAACCCCCACACACACACACGCTTCTTTGTTGTTGTTTTCTTCACAGTATTTTCTGTAATAGGGGAGAGCAACCCTTGATGGAGGTCCCAAATATCAGCTGATTTCAGGACTGTGTGCCACTGTTAGCTCTAAATTTCAGTTTTTGAGTGCAAAAATGTAATTATTGTAAGGTTTTTTATTATTATTATTACAAGTTGTGTTTATCTCAACAGTGAAAACTTTGCTTTTTAACAAACGTCACTTTGGAGATTGTATTTGAAGAAGTCTCTAGCATAATGCCTAAATTGATGACAAAAACTGACGATGTTGCTGCCATTTTAAGATTGTAAGGCTAAACGGCATGAAATGCCATCAGTCTACAGAAATTTCACAGTATTTTTATGTTGCAATCGGGAGATCACAATAATTAACCTCAAAAAAGCCAAAGTAGCGCAAACACAACCAGATTACTGTTGTGTTTGTGATTAAAAAAATTATAAACACATGAGGGCATTTCTTCGTTCTTTCTTCTTACTGAACTAGTCTGCAGTGACAAAAACAGGAGACTCATTAGAAACAAACAGATGGCCAACTAAAAAGTAGCTCAGGGTTATACAAAGAGTGGCCAACACAAAATACATACATTCCTGATATGTAAGTCCCATCTCACACTTAATACACTACAACTACTATGGTATAAATACAGCACTACAACATACAAATAGAGAGATCATCTTAGAATGTCACTCACTAGTTAATATAATGATTTGATCAGCTGTAGTTTGAAAATACGTTGTTTTTATCCTCTAAGGGTTTATTATGTGGTCTCTGTCACCATGTGGTGGAACATCAACCGTCTTTGCATACGCGCTGTATCTTCGAAGTTATAAATATTTAAAAAATGGCACTATCCTCATAAATGAACTGCATAGTTGTAATCTAAACAACTACATTCTCGACCAAAAAAGCCTAAAAGTACATTATGTTGTCCAACAGCTGCAATTTCTAGAGAAATACCTTATGGAGAAAGTCATATTTATTTTAGTTTGGCTAGCATACAAGGAATAATACATCATTTATTTTTTCCAATTGAGTACAGTAAAACCACTGTTAGCAAAAATCTAATTAGCCATTTAAAGTTGAATACTAGTAAAATAACTAGCAAAATATGTACTGTTGTCATGGAAAAGACTAGGTAAATTAGTTTTTAGAAATTAGTTATTAAAAATATTATGTTTTGAAATGTGTTGAAAAAGTCTTTAATCCATCAAACAGCACTTAAAAAATATTAAAATAATAAAAATATATAGTATATGTATATATAAATAAATAAATAAAAAATACAAATAATGAAGGATATCTAATAATTTTGACTTTAACTGTATATACAAAAATAAATACTAAAGTAATTAATTATCTCATAATTAATTACATATTTAAATATTCAACAGGCTCATTTTCAAAACGTACGCTATATACATTTCTGGAGAGCACCAAATACATCTCAGGAGCTACATTTTTTTTCAAGTTTTTGTTTTTCGTGAATCCAACAGAGGCTGCTGAGTAAGTTTTTTTAGATTTCAAATTTCTTTCGCGATTGCCATATGCGCCTGCTCTTCTCGTGTAAACCAGAGGCCGCTGTTGACTGACTGACTCACTTCAACCTACCCTAAACTCAACCAATAGTGTTTTTAAAAGCACCAATTGACCCGCCCACCCACTTCCCTAAACCCAACCGACAGTTTTAAAATGCAATCCAGAAAAAGAAAAGCCCTTTCCTGATTTTTACCGCGTTTTCAGACTTTACATTCTTACCCTGTTATGTACTTGTTTGTTTTATTTTTTGTCTTCTGTTTTTGTCTTACCTGCTTTATAGAATCGTTCTTTGCAGAACTCGAACCGCGTCGTCGTGGTCAACTCCCAACATCTCAAGTCCGCTGACGTACATAGCGAGCTAACTGGACAAACTGGTAACAGAAGGAAAGCCATCCAAATGGAAGTAAGTGGTCAGCTGCAGGAACAGCATCATACCACACCGTAGTGTTCAGCTGTGTCCCAAATCGCATACTTTTGCACTATTCTATGCCATTTTGTAGTATAAATAGTGTAAGTAGTGCGTTCACACTGAAAACTCTAAAAATAATAAGTGTACTTTAATAACCCGGATGATGCACTCATTCAGCTGTTAAAATGAAGTGTGAAATGATGGACACTTCACGCACTCAACGACCGCAGGTTTGCTTACATAGCGGAAGAGGCGGAGCTATCGGACGTACATGTTGGATAACTTTATTTATTTTGGATGGTGAAAGCAAAATTCTCCTACGAGAGTGATTATAGCACCTCCTGATGGTGAATGTGGTTATACTCACGCCAGGTAATATTGGATAATTCGGTCGTTTATTTCACTTATTTGGCAACCGTCAAACGTCATCAGGGAAACGGTTTGAATTTCCGCTCAGTAAAAAACCATTAGTGTTCCATTTGGGACGACACTACATACATGTACTATCCTGTTGAGTGTGTAAGTGCATAAGTACATAGTGCATGAGTGCATAGTGTATAGTGTGCCATTTGGGACGCAGCTTTCGTTTTAAAGATGAAATGCAGCCATACTGTGCGTACTTCTGGCTACGTAATTTGCGATCTCCAGAAATGTATATGGGGCTATGTTTTCAGAATGAGCCTATGTTAAAAATAATACATCTGATATAATAATTAAGCTCTAATTTTTTCAGGTTATACAGTGCACCTATTAGTCGACCACTACAAACCAGCTAGCGCTACTTTTCTGCAGTCCGCTGTGCTGTTGTCTGAGGCTGAATCTGGATGTTGGTCAGGTTTGGCCTCTGCTGCAGCTGAGGAAGGAGCGAAGGTTATGGGGACAGGTTGTGGCAGGACGAGCCCCTCCACTTACCTGTCTCAAGCCCGGGAATACGGCAAGTGTTAAACATCCTCTCCCACTGTGCCGAACACAGTGGCACTCGGTTCTCCAGCAAGTATAACTGTGCGTGTGGTGTGTTAGTGCACATACAGTAGCATATGCAGCAACATCCAGGTGTAAGGAACAAAACAAAGATTGTTTATGAGGGAGTGCTCGTTCTCAGTCATGCAGAGAGTGTTGAGGGGTTAGAGAGAGAGAGATGCAGGGTATGACAAGTAAACTAATTAAAGCATAATACTAAATATATCAAGGAAAAAAACACTGACTAATGAAATAAAATATAAAAAATTCACAGGTGGGTTAATAATTTTGTACTCTATATTGTATAGAAAAACACCATTATATTTTCTTCATCACACATATAAAGTTAGGTCCAGAAATATTTGGATATTGACACAATTCATTTTTGGCTCTATACATCAACGCAATGGATTTGAAATGAAAAAAAGATGTGCTTTGACTGCAGACTCTCAGCTTTAATTTGAGGGCATTTACATCCAAATCAGGTGAACGTTGCAGGAATTACAACGGTTTGCATATGTGCCTCCCACTTGTTAGGGGCCAAAAGTAATTGGACAGAATATAATCATAAATCAAACTTTGACTTTTTAATATTTGGTATAAAATCCTTTGCAGTGAATTACAGCCTGAAATTTCATCATCACCAGACGTTAGGTTTTATTGCCAGGCCTTTACAGTAACTGTCAGTTAGTTCCTGCTTGTTCTTGGGGCATTTTCCCTTCAGTTTTGTCTTCAGCAAGTGAAATACATGCTCAATCGGATTGAGATCAGGTGATTGACTTGGCCATTGCATAACATTCCACTTCTTTTCCTTCAAATACTCTTTGGTTGCTTTTACAGTATGCTTTGGGCCATTCTTCATCTGCACTGCGAAGCTACGTTCAATGAGTTCTTAAGTATTCGGCTTAATATGAGCAGAAAATATTGCCTAAAACTCTTAAGAATTCATCCTGCTGCTTTTGTCAGCAGTCACATCAATAAATACAAGAGAACCAGTTCCACTGATAGCTATACATGCCCACGCCATGTCACTACTACCACCATGCTTCACTGCCTAGGATCATGAGCAGTTCCTTTCCTTCTCCATACTCTTCTCTTCCCATCACCCTGGTACAAGTTGGTCTTGGTCACATCTGTCCATGGGATGTTGTTCCAGCACTATGAAGGCTTTTTTAGAACTCATCTGGCCTTCCTGTTTTTGAGACACACCAATGGTTTACATCTTGTGGTGAACCCTCTGAATTCACTCTTGATTGTTTGACACACATACACCTACCTCCTGGAGAGTGTTCTTGATCTAATTAACTGTTTTAAAGGGTGTTTTCTTCACCAGGTTTACTTCAACAACACTTGTTTCCGTGGTTTTCCGGGTCTTTTGCTGAGCTCACTGTTGCGTTCTTTCTTTTTAAGAATGTTTAAAACAGTTGTTTTGGCCATGCCTAATGTTTTTGCCATCTCTCTAATAGGTTTGTTTTGTTTTTTCAGCCTGATGATGGCTTGCTTGACTGATAGTGACAGCTCTTTGGATCTCATCTTGTGAGTCGACAGTAACAGATTCCAAATTAAAATAGCACACTTGAAATGAACTCTGGACCTTTTATCTGCTCATTGTAATTGGGATAATGACGGAATAACACACACTTGGCCATAGAACAGCTTCGAAGCCAATCGTCCTATTACATTTGGACCCCTAACAAGTGGGAGGCACATACGCAAACTGTTGTAATTTCTACAGCATTCACCTGATTTGGATGTTAAATGTTAAATACCCTCAAATTAAAGGTCACAGACTGCAGTAAAAGCACATCTTGTTTGTTTCATTTCAAATCAAACTTAAATCACGCAGCTCCAGATAACTCAAAACAGTCACTAGTCAATCCTCCATCTTTAAAAAGTCTCTGTAGTTGTCATGACAAAAACACAGCTGTCATCTCAACAAAAACCTTGCCTTTGGTTTCATTTGATTGGAGAACATAAAAGACACAACTTGGGTATTGCCGAACATAAGAAAACCCTTCAAAAAAAGCTCTTTCATTGCAAATGGGGCGTTCGGTGTGATCAAGGCCTAAAGAAACTTTTTCAATATAACAAACTAATTGTGAATGATGGTTTTTTGAGCAATCATCAATAACCTTTATTTTGAAGAATGTAAGATTTCAATACCCATCATAAACAAACTGTTTACTCTTTAATTAGGGTTTTTTATTATTATTTTTTTTGACAGTAAGTAGTATGGGGAAAATTAGGAACATTTGTTGAAAGTTTTTTGTGTTCCAAAGAATAAAAACATTTTTACAGGTCTCATTTTGGAAAAATGTTTTTAAGACACACATTGAAAATGTATGCTTAATGAAGATATTCTCCCTAATACATTTAAATTTATGTGATTTCCTTCGTCATTGGTAAAACTAGGAATTGCCTGTGTATAAAATTCTATACTCACAGGTTTGATCTGTGCTCTGTCCAGTTTTCTCCTGTACATCATCATGGCATGGATGGAATTACCAGCTCGAGCAGCTTGGAGTGAAGTGGGATTCACATACAGGAAGTCCTTATAAAAACAAAAACGCAAACAACATTTTTTAGAAATCACTACACAAAAAGAATGTGACACCAACATAAAACTGTTGATTTCTCTCATATTATGATGGATTACTTTTGGATTCTTTGGATGACTTATCATCCTCTAAATAATGCATCGTCAGATTGAGTTAGTCTTCTGAAGTAATCCACAACTTGGTCATGCTGGCGAATCTCCTTCAGAAATGACAGCGACTCTTTGTTTAGACGTTTGTGGGCATTTGAGTAATTGCTGTCATTTGATATGCGTTTTTGACTGTTTGGCATAATCTTGTGACTGAATAATTTACAAGTTGTATACCCCATCAACTGTTTTCGTGTCAGTGAGCTTATGGAGTGCATAGCAGCCTTACCATTGCATAGTAATTGCTGTTGACCATGATTGGACTTCGACCTCTGAGGTAAATGTACTCTTCCCACCAGTCGCTGACCTGAAAGTGTGAAACAAATTTATTTAAAGTATTATTTAATGTATTATTAATTATTTAATGTATGTATTATTTAAAGTATGGCCAGTGGTGTAAAATAACAAATGACAAATACTCACTACAGTAATTGAGTAGTTTTTCTCAGGAATAAGTAGTTTTAAAAACGGTGTACTTTTACTTTCACCTGAGTACATTTTTAGGGCTGTATTGGTACTTTTACTTCACTATTTCCTTCGACCTGCAGTCACTACTTTATTTTTTCTTGTCTACGGGGATTAGCAAAATCAGTCATGTGATTCCTGTCAATTTAAATCGCACATAGGTAAATCGCATCATACTGAACTACCTCAAGACATGGGCACTTTATAATTGCAGCATACTGTTTAGAAGCATTAAAAGTGTCTAAGAAGATGTCCAAAATCTTTACACGCTTTGAACCAGAAAGTGTTGCATGTCAAGATGACGGATTTTTACTGTATGATGCTCGAAACGGTCTTAAACAACCAGCAGGCACAAGATGTCAACATGATGTCAGATTGACATTGTACCCCAACGTCGTGGGTACATAGCATTTTGTTTGGAAATGAAAATCAGGTTTACATCCAAACCCAATTTCAGGTCGCTGACAATGTCCAACGTCTAATCTAAAACCAACCAAATATCTACATCAATAATGATGTTACAGCTTGACATTGTGTGAATTTTGGTAGGCATACCTGCCGAATAAATGTCAGTATTTGATGTCAATATGACGTTGGTTTAAGATGTTGGCTCTACATTGGATTTTGGTCGCTTTCTAAAGCCTGATTTATACTTCTGCGTCAAGTGACCGGCGTAACCCACGGCGCATGCAATGCGCGTGGCTGTGCATTTATACTTCTGCGCGCTGTCTCTTTTGGTCTGCATTAACACTTCCGAAACGCTAGTTGGCAGTGAGGTGTAAATGTTCCTCTGTGTCGAGTTTCTTCGCTGCAATTTAGCTTTTCCTGAACACTTCCGGGATTTACAAGTGGCTCAAACTCGCTCATTTTGAGGCAGCAACCGGCGGACGTGCAGCAACTTTAACTATGAGATAAACACAAAACAAAACTTTCCATTCGGAGCTCCTTCACGGTACTCTACACTTGTAAACAATCGCTACATTGGGTTTGCGCCATTCGCGTCGCTCTCGGTCCCGCCCCGACTCGTCAGCGTAACCAAGCCGACCAATCACAGAGCTTGCGCTACGCGTTGTTGCGACGTGTAGTTACATTTTTTGAGAGGTGCACGTCAGTGACGGCGAAGGGCTATGCGTCAGCGCCGTAGCATACGCCGGTGTTTGACGCAGAAGTATAAATCAGCCTTAACACAAGCTAAAATCAACCAAATATCAACATCATTTGACGTTGTTATTGGACATCAAAATAACATTGTCCTTAGACACTGGCTTGACATAAAAATTTTCATCACCTGACATCACTACCTAAATTTAACCTAATATTAAGGTCTGATGACGTTGTGTGCCTGCTGGGCAATAACTAAATGCACTACAGAATGTTACTTTTACACATATCCACTTCACGAGTTCACACTTGCATTCGTTTAAGTATAAAGCGTATTTGGCGTGCTGTCCGGGGGGAGGGCTCTGAGCTCGAGGAGACACCCCAACTCGAGTTATTCCCCTTATAAGGAAACAAAGAGGAGTTGGGATTCGAGCGAAGTATCTAGCCCGGCCCCAGAGCGCTCCCCCCGGGAATGAAATGCAAGAGGTGAGGTGACGGGGTGGTGGAGGGATGCTGAAGTCGTGAGATGCTGCAGGTAAGACAGCTTTGGTATATATAGGCGTTGCTCAGAAACTGATTTGATGATGGGATAATTGTCAATGACGTATTCGATACTGAAACTTCTGCGCATGCTCCTCCCGAAATTTGTTTAAAAACATCACTTCACGAGTTCACACTTGCATTCGTTTAAGTATAAAGCGTATTTGGCGTGCTGTCCGGGGGGAGGGCTCTGAGCTCGAGGAGACACCCCAACTCGAGTTATTCCCCTTATAAGGAAACAAAGAGGAGTTGGGATTCGAGCGAAGTATCTAGCCCGGCCCCAGAGCGCTCCCCAAAAAATGCTATTTATTACAGGACAGCAGCCGGACAATGTGCAAGCCCCCAAAAATTTGCTGATCTTAAAAATTTGGAGGGGTGCTGTTGAGTTATAAGGTATGTGTTTCGGGAGGAAGCAGTTGCTGTGTTGATAGTGGTGCATGATGAATGTCTCTAGCAAGAGTGTCTGCTCCCACAGGAGACGGGCGTCTTCCGTGGGAGTGGTCACTGCATTAGCAATGTTGTGTGTTAAAGTATGCATCACTGTGCTGACAGTGGTGTATGATGAGGTATGAGTCTCTCATAGGAGTGGTTACTGCGCTTGCAGTGCTGCGTAAGGTGTACGTCTCCCGTCGGAGCAGTCACTGCGCTTGCAGTGGTGCATGATTATAAGGTGTACGTCTCCCGTAGCAGCGGTCACTGTACTAACAGTGGTGCATAATAGTAAGGTGTGTGTCTCCTGTATGAGGTATGAGTGGTTACTGCCCTAGAGGCAGTGTGTAATAAGGTGTATGTCTCCTGTAGGAGCAGTCGCTGCGCTTGCAGTGGTGCATAATTATAAGATGTGCGTCTCCCGTAGGAGCAGTCACTGCATTTGCAGTGGTGCATAATTATGAGGTGTACGTCTCCCGTAGGAGCGGTCACTGTACTAACAGTGGTGCATGATAATAAGGTGTGTGTCTCCTGTATGGGGTATGAGTGGTCACTGCCCTAGAGGCAGTGTGTAATAAGGTGTACATCTCCCGTAGGAGCAGTCACTGCGCTTGCAGTGGTGCATAATTATAAGGTGTACGTCTCCCGTAGGAGCAGTCACTGCACTTGCAGTGGTACATAGTTATGAGGTGTACGTCTCCCGTAGGAGCAGTCACTGCGCTTGCAGTGGTGCATAATTATAAGGTGTACGTCTCCCGTAGGAGCGGTTACTGTACTAACAGTGGTGCATAACAGTAAGGTGTGTGTCTCCTGAATGAGGTATGAGTGGTCACTGCCCTAGAGGCAGTTTGTAATAAGGTGTACGTCTCCCGTAGGAGCAGTCACTGCGCATGCAGTGGTGCATAATTATAAGATGTGCGTCTCCCGTGAGAGCGGTCACTGCATTTGCAATGGTGCATAATTAAGAGGTGTACGTCTCCCGTAGGAGCGGTCACTGTACTAACAGTGGTGCATGATAATAAGGTGTGTGTCTCCTGTATGGGGTATGAGCGGTCGCTGCCCTAGCGGCAGTGTGTAATAAGGTGTACATCACCCACAGGAGCAGTCACTGCATAATTATAAGGTGTGCGTCTCCCGTAGGAGCAGTCACTGCGCTTGCACGTCTCCCATAGGAGCGGTCACTGCACTTGCGGTGATGCATAATTATAAGGTGTACGTCTCCCATAGGAGCGGTCACTGCATTAGCGGTGGTGCATAATAAGATATGCGTCTCCCGTAGGAGTGGTCATTGCACTAGCAGTAGTGTATAATCAAGTGTGTGTCTCCCGTAGGAGCGGTCACTGCACTTGCAGTGGTGCATAATAAAGTGTACGTCTCCAGTAGGAGCGGTCACTGCACTTGCAGTGGTGCATAATAAAGTGTACGTCTCCAGTAGGAGCGGTTACTACACTTGTAGTGGTGCATAATAATAAGGTGGGCTTCCCCGGTGGGAGCGGTCGCTGGACTAGCAGTGATGCTTGATTAGGTGTACGTCTCTAGTGGTAGCTGTCACTGCACTTGCGGTGGCACATGATAAATAAGGTGTGCGTCTCCAGTGAGAGTGGTCACTGCGTTAGCAGTGGTGCATGATAATGATGTGTACGTCTACCATAGGAGCAGTCACTGCGCTTGCAGTGGAGCATAATAAGGCGTGTGCCTAGAGTGGAAGCAGCCACTGTGCTTGCAGTAGTACGTAATAGGGTGTGCATCCCCAATGAGATCGGTCGCTGTGCAGCAGCAACCTTATAATAGAACTCCTTGAAGGGGTTAATGACCAGGGTTAGGAAAGGTTTAGAGGTTGAAATGGTAAAAAAGGGGGCGACGATAGCGCATTTCCACTGACTTTTAGGTTTAATTTCTGTGGAAAACTTAATTGATAGGATTAAAGGAACTTAAGGTAGTGCAAGGAGCGTTGAGCAGTACCTGAAGTTTTGAATGAAGTTCCATGGTTTATACTGAGTGCAATTGCGACTTGAAATCGCAGTGAAAATAGATGGGGTAAGCTAGTAATGGGATTCTGGATGATTTCTGAGCTGAAGTTGCTTATCAGCTTGGTGTTAATATTACTCCAGAATTACTTATCAAATTTATTTAATTAAGCAATTTATTTTATAGACGCGTGTTGTCTATGTAAACGTTAATAACGTACTTAAGTTTATACATGTTAAGTACCTAGACGATGGATGTAAGGAATATAGTCTATACGTGGCCCAGGATCACAGGTGGGAGGAAAAGAGAAGAGGGGCTGCCGGCGTTAGTGACGTCAGCGGAGGCAGCCTCACGCTGGCACTTACGTCGGGGCCTGACAGAAAAATCAGGGACTAGAGCCGTTTGCGGAGGCATGCTCACGCTACTGATGAACCTAGAATCACAGGTGGGAGGAAAAGAGAAGAGAGGCTGCCGGCGTAAGTGACGTCAGCGGAGGCAGCCTCACGCTGGCACTTACGTCGGGGTCTGACAGAAAATTAGGGACTAGAGCCATTTGCGGAGGCATGCTCACGCTACTTATGACCCTAGAATCACAGGTGGGAGGGAAAGAGAAGAGGGACTACAGGCGTAAGTGACGTCAGCGGAGGCAGCCTCACGCTGGCACTTACGTCGGGGCCCGACAGAAAGTTGGGGATTAGAGCTGTTTGCGGAGGCGTGCTCACGCTATTGATGACCCTAGAATCAGAGGTGGGAGGAAAAGAGAAGAGGGGCTGCCGGCGTAAGTGACGTCAGCAGAGGCGGCCTCACGCTGGCACTTACGTCGGGGTCTGACAGAAATTTAAGGACTAGAGCCATCCGCGGAGGCGTGCTCACGCTACTGATGACCCTAGAATCACAGGTGGGAGGGAAAGAGAAGAGGGACTGCCGGCGTAAGTGACGTCAGCGGAGGCAGCCTCACGCTGGCACTTACGTCGGGGCCCGACAGAAAGTTGGGGGTTAGAGCCGTTTGCGGAGGCATGCTCGCGCTACTGATGACCCTAGAATCACAGGTGGAAGGAAAAGAGAAGAGAGAAGGGGCTGCCGGCGTTGGTGACATCAGTGGAGGCAGCCTCACGCTGGAACTTGCATCAGGGCCTGAACAAACCTGGTTAATCTGCAAGCGGCATGAAGGAAGACTCCGCTTGTTAAGTGGTGACCTATTGGTGACGCAAGTAATACTGTTTCCGGGTCCAAGCTGCCACTCATTTGAGTTGAGAAATTTCTTCGTTTATGATCACTTTAAATCCTCATCACACAATAAAGTTAATTTTATACAATAAAGTTAATTTTATACAAAATCAGTGTACACAAGCATTGCTTGCTGCATAACAATTACCAAAAAACGATAAGCAATTTATAAATTTTTATCACTTTCTGCCCGTCAGATATAAGGTGTGGACGTATGTATAGGGTATATGCTGAACTACTGCTTTTCCCATGCTGATACACTTCCAGTGACCTGTTATTGTGAACTTTCTCCGTTTGTACAGTTCCTTATACAGCGTCGATGTTATAATGTCATTAAAATACATTCAGTTAAATTAACTTTAGCATTTATTTGGTTGCTCAAGCGTAAAATTAGACAGAAGCTGTTTACTCGCACGCGGTCGTCAGAATCGGCAGGCTAACGCATAACCTCCATTAAACATACTGGGGTCACATAAATGCTCATATTATAAAGATATGGCGATATCACTCAGCTAGTGGAGATCGCTCATTTTAAAGAAAACAGACCTTAAACTCACTGGCTTGCATTGGCATTCAATTCGCCCGAAGTGCTTAGCCCAGGTTACTGGGAAATTAAGAGTCCTATTGGCATGCTTTGGCATATACCCCGTTGTGATAATGATTTTGAAAGTAATAAATTGCTTTGTAACATTTCATGAGTCTCCCCATGCAGTAAGTTAAGAAATTATTTGTTTATGATCAATTTTAAACATATTACACGATAAGTTAGTTTTATACAGAGTCATGTTGTACACAACCATTTTTGGGCTTGCTGCATAACAAATACCAAACTTTTTAACAATTTATAATTAATCACTTGCATCATGTATGAGGCATAGACATATATATTGTGATCATGATTTTCGAAAGTAATAAATCGCTTTGTAAACGTTATAATTACCATTTCATGGGTCTCCCTATGCAGTTGAATAGAGCGCTTGGACCCGGAAGCCGCTTCACGTGACGTCACACTCACGAGCGGACTGGCTTGTTTTTCCTAAATTTGGGGCGCCGAGAGCAGCTATTGCGGGCGCTACTAAGTGGAAATGTTCCGTGCGTGGGGGGTGGATAAGCCCGTAGCGGAGACGTGCTCACGCTGTCATGGCGAATTGGCCGATGGTGGCGCTTCGCCTGTAGAGCGGTGGCCTGGCACTCGCTTGATCTGGGCCGGTGGTTTCCAACTGGGGAGCGGCTCAGGTTTGTTGCCGGTGTCTGGAGGAGCGGCGGCGTGGCGGGCCTAAGTTAAGACCGCGGACTCTGTTGATATGCTCTGCCGAGTGTTGATGCGCTGGACGTCGGCTTGGAGTTTGCAAGAGGAGCCGTGTCATCCTCATGGAAATTTGCTGTTTGGACGAGGCTACAGCGATTGGATGTGCCAATGCTGAAGTCGTGAGATGCTGCAGGTAAGACAGCTTTGGTATATATAGGCGTTGCTCAGAAACTGATTTGATGATGGGATAATTGTCAATGACGTATTCGATACTGAAACTTCTGCGCTTGCTCCTCCCGAAATTTGTTTAAAAACATCACAAATTACATGTAAACGGATCAGCTTTTTACAGCGTAATACTCACTACTCACCACTCTTGAGTACTTTTGAAAGGTCTAGTTTTTACTTATACTTTGAGTAATATTCGCAACAGATACTTTTACTCTACTTGCCCTACATTTTTAGGCAAGTAATGGTGATTTACTTGAGTATGATTTTTCAGTAATTTTTTCACCACTGAATATGACACATCTCATGTAAACATGCATTAAGGTTCCATATTTAAAAATAATTTTATACCATTAAGGACCTAAGATTTTTTTCAATTTTATTTAATTAATTTCCCAAATTCGATAAAACAATGCTTAACAATTTCAGGATTCCATTTTTTTCTGTATTGTGTTTTATTGCTGTCATTAAATGTTAGGATTTAAAAAGCGTATTTAATTTGTTAGAGTTAAGAAACAAACGCAATTTTATTATTCTTGTTAAAGTTTAAAAAAAACTATGTTTGCGCCAATAGCTCAACTGCGCTTCAATTGTTCTGAGTTTGATTCCTGCATCATGGATATTTCCCAGTGCTGTCCCTTTCTCCCACTTCAACTTTGCCTTCTGTCAAACTACTGCTCAACCAAAAAGATAATCTAAAAAAAGCAGACCTCAAAATCACTTTTAGCATTGAACTCTATTGCCTTTCGCTACGGAATCAGTTCTAATGAGATAAGAATGCCTGTAGAATAATAGTTTGACAATGCGATTAAACATTAAACATTGAGTGATCTTACGTAATTGGAAGTCCACCAGGATTTCAGCTTCAGGTACCACTGAAGTTTGGGGCCCAAATTCTTCTCAAAGTCCTTTGCTAAACCCTCCATACGTTTGTACTGTTCATCATCCATCAGAGGACGTGCCGACTCCAGGTACTGAAAAAAAACAATACATATGTGAATAGGTGAGGTAGGCTTTAGGCTGATTCCAATTTATTAAATCATGGTACCGATGTCCTTTTTCAAATGATTATGTTTTTATGGTTTTAAAAATCTAAACATATGTTGAAAAGTATATATGTTAAATATAAATATATGGTAAAAATGTTTAAAACTAATCACAGAATGATTTGACATTAGCTTTCTGGAATTATCCTACATGATGCATACAAAACAGTTGACGTATTGAATGAAAAATGCAGATTCACTTTCTGCCTATAGGTGACACTTAAAGGCAAGCAGGAATAATTGTGATTTTCTTGGTTAGTACTGTAAAGAACCAGAGCACACATATGTATGCAAGACATCATTTAAATATGTTTTTGGTACTGTTGTCTGCTTTTGGTACTTCTGCTTTGTACAAAGATCGGAGAAATGGTCTGCTTTACGAATATTCTAAATCATAAACATCTTAAAAAAATATTATAAATGTATATTTAACATCAAACAGGAGGCATCTAATAGACTAAAAGCAATTATTATTATGCAGCAAATGTGATGTAATCGCAGAGTTGGCAGCAGTTGTGAAAAGTTGGCTGAACAAAAGTCCTTTAGGTTTCTTTTAAAGCTTTGAGGAAAAACCATGCATATATTTTGTCCACGGGCTGTCCAAGGCTTCTTAAGTAAACAGCATTTTTTTTTATAGCATATAGTATAAAATGTTTATTACATAAAGCATGCGGTAGGCTTGGATATATAAAATATAGCCTTTCACTCATTTTTATAAGTGTCCTCCAAATTTATCCCTCCAATGTATTATTATGTTTTATTTAAAATTAAATGCATTCATTTAACAAGTCCACTAGCTGACTTTTGTTGAACCAGTGTTTCATCATGGCAGTTACTCAGAGTCAAATGGCACTTTTGTTGCACATGTTGGTGATGATTCTCTGTAAACCAATAGCAGTCAGAGACTAGTGCCACCATATTGGTACCATATCGTTGTGCTAGGTACTCTGGGTAAAGAATGCCAAAAAACTGGTAAAGTATGGCACATTTTTTTCATACCTGCCAGCAAACACAGGACGTCAACACTGTGGGACGTTGCATTTTGTTTTGAAATGAAAATCACATTGACTTTAGAACCCAATGTCAGGTCGATGTCAATGTTCAACGTCGGACAGACATTACATTTTGGTTACTTTCTAATGAAACCTAAAAAAAGATCAAAATATCAACGTCTCATGATGTTATAGCTTGACGTTGTGTGGACGTTACCAATATGACATCCATCTGATGTTGGATTTTGGGTTGTCAAACCTGACAAATAAATTTCAGTATGTGACTTCAATATAACATAAGTTTAAGATGTTGGCTCGACACTGGATTATGGTTATTTTCCAACACAACCTAAAATCAACAAAATATCAACGTTATTTCATGTCTTTATTAGGTGTCAAAAGAACATTGTGCTTAGGCGCTGGTGACTTAAACCTAACCTAATAATAACGTCTGTAACAACCTCTCAGAAGAAACAGGACATAAATGCATTTTTTATAAAGTTTACAGAGATGATATAAAAAGAAAGTACCAATAAAAATAACTTGCTTTTTAAAACAATGGGTTCACCTGGAGCTGGGCGATTTTTTAGATTTTTTAGATTAATTCGAATTGACGTTTTGACGATAATTTAATTTTATATTAAGTCGAGAAACCGCCATTTTTTTATAGAAATATTTGATACATTATAATGGCTCCAATGCGCTTTGGTTCACTCTCTGTATGAAGCAGGTCGCATACCAGAAGTGCCGCTCGGCGACGCACAGCACCATGGATTTTAGCCATGGATTTTAGAATTCTAAACATAAATTTCTATACACACACAGAGCGCCATCTGATTAGTTTCATGTTAAATATCATGCGAATGTGCGCGTCTGGTGTGTTATACTTTAACTGTCATGTGCACGCCGTGTCGCGGCACTTTATGGTAGTCATGGTAGTGGCGGCCTGAACACAGAGACTGGACAGCCTAAATTAACCCAATGCATGAAGTTGTGAACATGCATCGCAGAGCTGGTGCAAATACAACAAATACAAGCATTTAAGTGTCTTCAGTTGTATTTTTCATTTGTTAATACCCTTGCATCAAACGCGCTTCATGCTACTCCAGCACTGCGAGGGGATTTACATTCAGACTAATGCAACAAGTAAAATCCTACATGACTTCATGCTTTACTAAGTCACGTCTGTGTGGATTGTCAAGACATATTCCCTCATCAAGTCGATAAACTCAATCTCAACATGTATGAAGGACGTAAAAACCTGCCATGTGAAAAAACGCGCTCACAGTTCGAACTGCGCTGATCTTTTGGTTTGAACACGAGCAAAGGTGAGCAGCTGTGGCCGTGAAAATGAAAGTATAATGTTATTTAGCGGACCTAGTTGAAAACCAGACAGATCAGGCAGCATAATACAGAGAGCGGTGCAAAGCTTATCAAATGATCGATTTTTAAAAGGGGGAAAAAAAAGATAGATTAAATATATTATTTTATATTAGAGACACATATGGTGCTTGTATTTGCTCCTGCTATAAGTCTACAACTTCACACATTGGGTTAAATTAGGCTTTGCAGTTTCCATGTTCAGTCCTTTACTTCCACTGTATCTTTTTAAGAAAAAGGCAGCAGCATTACAGCCTGTCATTCAATCAGAAGACAAAGTCAAAACCGAGCTGACAGCCAATCTTTCCTAGGCTCAGCAAAACTTGCAAAAAATACCTCTGTATTCCTGCAACTGCAATATTTACATAAATATTTTTTATTCAAATCTTCTGCAACGATATTTAACTCGTGAATTTGTCTTACACCTTGTTGACCAATTTATTTATGGCATGGCCATTAAAAATACAATGTTCCTTAACCAGATGGTTTTTCAAGTCACTTATAAAGAGAATGTTACTTCAGTCATGTTGTTTTAATGTTTTAAGTTTTTAAAGTTTTATTAAAATTTTCCACCCCAATTCAGTGTTTGGAATTGCTTTCCAGTGCTTCTAGCACAGGGGTCTCAAACTCGATTTTTAGTCAAATTTATTTATAGGAGGGCCGTTTTATCATTTAAGTACAAGAAAAAAGTGTAAACCTAATATAAATGATGCATATTTCATGCATTACCTGTCACCAATGATAATGGTGTAGTGGACACACAGTCAGTCATTCTTCCACAGAGTATATGCAGTCAAAATACATATGTACATATTAAAGGGGTAATTAAAATTGCTATGAAAATACTACAAATAGTAGGCATATTAATTATTATTGTGACCCAACCAATTGTTTTGTCCCAATAAAACAGCGGAAAGCAGGGTTCTTCCACTCTGGTCTTGTAAATTCTTGTTTTGGTGGCAGAGCTCTGACACTAGCTCAGTCTCGTTCTCTTTCTGTCATTGTGTGTCTCTGTGTGTGCGCGCGCCGTTGGGGGTGTACGCAGAGTGTGCGCGCTCCCGCTTGCTGCGGCCGCGCGGTCTTTGCGTGCCTCAGACGCGCGCGCTCTTGTACTCGTGTTTGTGTTTTCGTCTGTCTGCAGCGTGGAGTTTCATTCCCAGCGTCTCAATCCAGTTGGTTTCGGTTCTGGTCGGTGCTGGGATGAAACATGCATGCTGCGTGTGTGAGCGCATGGTGAGTGTTGTCATTCATCGTGTGCTTGTGTCTTGCGTTTGTCAAAGCACGTGGCTATGTGTTTACATTGTGGTCACGTGCTTTTGTCGTGTGCTTCAGTGTTGTGTTTGTGTTGTCATGAACATGCGGTTAATGAGTTCTCTCATTGGCTGCATGTTCTTGTCCTGTTTTATGTGAGCGCATGGCTTGTGTTGTCTCTCTGTATCATGCGCTCTCCCGTCTATTGTCTTGTCCCACCCTCCTTGTTAACCCATTATTAGTTAATTGTGTTCACCTGTTTGTGTGTTAATTTTCTACAGTTTATAAACCCCTCACAGTTGCTGTCCTGTGCCAGTTTGTCATCACATTTCGTCATTTGAAGTCCTGTCGTGTTTCCAATCCTGATCCTTGCCAGCCTGTCCAGTTTGGTTTTGTATGTATTTGGTTTATTAATGTTTTCCCCCTCGGGGTAGTTTATTTTGCATTTTATTTTATTTTTATTATTTAATAAATTCCCATTTTTCCTGCACTTGAGTCCTCGCTCCTTTCCCCTCACCAACCCTGACATGGGTAACCTAAGTGACTTTACTGGAAATTGTTCCTCTCAATATCTTTGTTTTTTGTAAAACTATAGCAAAGAGATAAAACTATACTGTATTTTCACATTTACTTTAGCAAGTTCAATGTAACTAGCAGTACAATTTTACTAATGTACATAGTTTTTATGCAAGTCTGAATACGCATATGAGGAAAATAATAAATGAGACCATTTGAATCGAATATTAGCAAAATTATCATATTTGTTACCCCATTAGCATTGCGTGTAAGCCATAAAGAAGTGTTTGTACAAAAAAAATAGAGGTGTTATTAAACTTATAAGAATCCAATGACCCCTGAATACGTAAAAAAAAAATAGAGCTTTCGTAAAAATAGAGTACTTCTGAACATATATTTTAACGTTAAAATCAGCCATAAAATTAAAACACATGTGTGTTACTCTCGACCACACGCTGAGAGAAAATGAAAGTAAGCCTGTAATGCAGTAATATGAATGCAGTGCTTTAAATGTCGACTAGGTGGCGGGTAAAAACCACAAGTGGCCTGAAACAACTGCACAACAATGATAGAGGTACAAAAAAATCTGTTTTGGCAGGCTGAATCTAGTATTATTTTGATGTCAACTGCAGGCCAGAGGGAGGAGGAGGGCCCGCAGTCTGAGACCCCTGTTAGCATTAGGAACAGAGAGACTATCACAATTTCTTATAATAAAATCAAAAATATGCCAATTGTGGGTCTGATAGACAACAATTTCTGGCCTGTCAATCAGTGCATTTCTAATAAACATCATATTTGATCTTTTAATAAACTGTATAAAGTTAAGATGTGACTTACTCTTCTAACGGTGTCTTTTACAGGAGGCACTGGCAACCGTGGTAGTGAACTCTGGAAGCTGTACAGCATTGGCTTTGGCCCAGAAAATAACTTCACCAACACCTGAGCAGATAGCGATAGCATTGGGTCAAGAGTCAAACATGAGACCAGCCGGAATACTTTCCAATGATAAAGCCAAGCCTTTTCTAGTGAAGAGATATATCGCAATCACTTTGACACAATTACATAGAGAAAGCTAAATTCAATAAAAACCTGCTAAAACCGGAACAGTGCTAAGATTATGTTATAAAACAAGTGCATTAAGACTTTAGACTCTTGCTGGATATAGAGTTAGGAAAATATTTACTAAGCTGGTTTACTTAAAGCAAGTTAAATGAATTGTTTACCTTAAAAATGATACTCTAAAAAAACTCTGTGGGCACCTTGATGTCAAAATTAAATAAAAATGTGTCAAGAACATTTATCAATTTGATGTCAATCTAAACAACATTAAATTTCTATCTAAAATTGAAGTCAAAAATCAAAAATTGATTTCAGAACTGTCTTTTAATAAATTTTTGACATGTTCAATTGGAATTGAAGCTTTCAGATGAGTAAAACTTTTCATTATAATATAATTTCATTATATTATAACACTTTGTGTGATTATTTTGGTGGTCAAAAGGGCATTAATGTGCAGATGTCTAATAGACGCCAAGATTTTGACATCAAATCCTTTAGCGCTTTTGACACTTTTTTGACGTTAATGTCTATTTGTCATTTAGACATTCATGTCATTAAATAATCAATAATCAATAATACTTAATAATAAATTTAGATTTCATTTAACAATCAAGGTGCCAAATAATGGGTGAATTGTTACATTAAGAGATGGATTATCTATCTGTTTCTCCACACTTACCAACCAAATCTTTGTTTTTAAGGACAGAGTTCCATGCTGGTTAAACATCCAGCCATGCCAGGACAGCAAGTACTTGAGAGCGTTCCTCATAACGAAAGTCACAGCAATCCACAGTCCCGTGCCAACAAGCACACCACCAACAATACGTTGGCCATCTTCTGTTATGTATTTACTGCAGGGAAACAAAGCTGTTAGGTGACAACTGCAGTGCCCTTATAGACGCTGTAAGAGATTTCAACAACACAGCGCAATACTATAAAAACACCAATTAAAAATCTAATTAAAATCAGTTAATTGTTGATAAGTAGTTAATGAAGCTGCCGAAATTTGAATTCATTGACTTCATTTCACTACTCACATATTTATTTAATAATAATGTTGATTAAAATAAATGGCTACTTTACCAAAACTTGTTATGCAACACTATGTAATGATTTGTCATTATAACCTCTGTAGTTACATATGGTTCATAAACGGCTGCAACATTTCATAATAACTTCAAGAACGTGGGGCTGTTTGTTGTATGACTACTCGTAAAGTAAACTGGCAAATTGCCTCTGATTCCATGATAAAATATTTCCATAAAGTTTTATGTACAATCCTGCAATCTACTGCAAACTACAAACCAACACTTTTGATGCTTTTCATTAGCAGTTTAGACATTCTGCAATTTTCCTGCTGCCTGTTTACCTTTATATTTACTATACAGATATCAGAATATATTTACTTTATATATATATGTAGATTTCTTTAGCCCATTATTGAGTCTATTTTTTATTTACTTATGTAAAATGGTGTAAATATATATTTATCCAGTTTTTATATCAATTTAATAATAATAATAATAATAATAATAATAATAATAATAATAATAATAATAATAATAATAAAATTATTTTAGTGGATATATTATATGAGAGACATGGTTCTAATTGGATTTGCATTGTAAATCTTTAAAAATAAAATTGTTTTTAGTTACTATCCACACTCTAAATCATTCTACATAAATCTGCAGAATTTAATTTTAATTATTTATTTGTTTATTTTACAAAATTCTGTTCATTTTCTGTTATTTGAAATAAAAACATCATTTTGACTGATTTAGCTTTCAGATGATATTAAATACACTGGTATAGTAGGCCCACTTGGAATCTGCGTGCATAGAATTCCACAGATTTTTCGCAGATTTTTAGCCTATTAATTCTGTTTATTTACTTGAGTAAATATGTGTAAATCTTTATTTATTCAGTTTTTAAATTAATTACTGTAATATTATGGACTAATATGAAAATGTTCATCTGATTTATGTACAATGCAGTTTGTAAAGTCATATTTTCACTCTTTTAGTGGATATATGAAACAAGAGACTTGCTTTGTTTAACAAATAAAGTGAATATAATTTGTTTTGCATTTTAAACATTAAATAAAAGTTAAAAAGATATTATTTTTTATTTTATATATTAAGGTTTTAGTAATGATACTCCCAAAATAAATCCGCAGAAATCTGCAGATTTTTACCAAAATTCTCAGCAGAAAACATCCGCAGATTCCATCTAGCCCTACTAATGCCTAATATAAGTGAGTGTTCTTCAGTGGTTTACCTGACTGGTAGGTGTGTCGACAGCTTAGTTAATATTCCAAGGGAGGGGTCAATTTTGGCATATTTCGTACTGGACATGTAACCAACCAACACAACCACGAGCCCAGAGGGACTTCCTGGATAGACCCCTGTCATGACACCATTCTACAAAACAAATTTAATATAATATAATATAATTTAATATAATATAATATAATATAATATAATATAATATAATATAATATAATATAATATAATATAATTTAAACCAATCAATTGCATATATATATATATATATATATATATATATATATATATATATATATATATATATATATATATATATATATATATATATACATATACACACACACAAACATTTTTTATGTCCAAGCACAATTTACTTATGAATGCAATTAATTACGATTAATCTGTGCCAGCACTAAATATGATATAATATCTTATATTGCATACAGTAGGTGATAAATTACTAAATGAGCAAATAAACAAATTATCTTTTAATTTAATTAAACGTTGACATTTCAGGTGACATTCTGAACTGATTAGATAACTGCTTGAGAACTACTTTAACAGCAACTATTAAATCTACTGGATAAGAAAGTCACTGAGGTCACCTTGAACCTGATAAACCTCTTCTTCCAGGAGTGGATGCCAGACAGATAGATCTGACGCAGGGCCTCGTGGCACAGATGCAGGTCGATGCCATCAGGAGTGACAGTGAACTGGAAGGCCACAGCCTGATGTGCTTCTGCCATGCTGACTTTGCACTACAATGGTGAGTAAAACAGCAGTTAGACAAGATTCAAAGAAGGACTGGGCTATACTGGAACAATATTCAATTTGCAGTATTGTTGTTGAGTCTTGTGTAGGGCTGCACTACATTGAAAAATTTTGATATTGTGATTTTTTATTGTATGAATTCTATATAAATACAGTAATTAAATACAATTCTGTAACTCCTTGCATATCTTGCGACATGACTATTGCTCACACAGCGACATCAAACCCAGGCTTATTCTGAAAATGTACCCCGTTTACATACTGGAGAGCACCAAATACGTCCCAGGAGGGTTGTTTTTTTCAGTTTTTGTTTTAGCGAATCCATCGGAGGCCGCTGTGTACGATTTTTGAGATCTCAAATTTCTCTTGCTAGTGCCATTCGTGCCTGCTCTTCTTGTATAAATCCACCAGAAGCCGCTGTCGACTGACTGACTGACTGACTGACTGAGGATTAGCCGGACTTAAACCTAGTGGCGGTGATCAACTCCTCTCTGCGAAATGCTGCCATACGTACTTCTGTCTACATACTTTGAATTCTATACTGGTTTATACTGGTTTCTGCGTCAAGTGACCGGCGTAACCCATGGTGCATGCAATGGGCGTAGCTGTGCATGCGCGTTGTCTCTGTTGGTCTGCATTAACACTTCCCAAACGCTAGTTGGCAGTGAGGTGTTAATGCTCCTCTGTATCGAGTTTCTTCGCTGATGTTTTTGCTTTTCCTAAACACTTCCTGAATGTACAAGTGGCTCAAACTCGCTCATTTTGAGGCAGGAACCGGCGAACGTGCAACAACTTTAACTATGAGGTAAATATAAAACAAAACTTTCCATCCAGAGCTCCGTCATGGGACTACACACTTGTAAACAATCGCTCCATCTGGCTCGCGCCATTCACGCGGCTCTGGGTCCCGCCCAGATATTATCAGCGCTACCAAGCCGACCAATCAGAGAGCTTGCGCTTCGCGTCGTTGCGACATGTAGTTACATTTTTTGATAGGTGCACGACAGCAATGCCGACGGCCACGGCTTAGGGCTATGCGTCAACGCCGTAGCATCCGCGTTTGTTTAACACAGAAGTATAAATCAGCCTTTACACCGGTCACTTGACGCAGAAGTATAAACCAGGCTTAATGCAGCGTTTTCATCTTAATGCAGCTGCGTTGTGAAGTTAATGTTTGCTTTTTTAAATGATTTTGTGTTTTCATTTGAATGTTTCTGCGTTGTGAAATTAATGTTTGCTTTTTGAAATGTTTTTGTGTTTTCATCTGAATGTTTCTGCGTTGTAAAATGAATGTTTGCTTTTTAAAATGTTTTTGCATTGTGATCTTAATGCATTGTGTAAGCATTATATCGCAATTATATTTTTTGCTGTATCGGCCAGCCCTAAATAAAAATTGCGAATTTTAATTTCACGCAGACTTTAAAGTTCGCTTTTTATGAAGGTGACAATGCAAACAGTGCACATTCACAAATATCATTAAAGTCATTTAATAGCAACATTTCAATTCAACATTATCAGTGCCCATGTTTCTATTAGGACATTTAAATAGCCATAAGAATGAAAATATGTTTTGTGTTAATTTCCATTATTTTCCTGTTGTATAATTATTATACAGTGGCATAAAATGCTCTTAAAATGACTATAAAATCAATCATTGCAATAATCAATGCAACAATGTAGGTCTAACATCAGTAGTCCAGTCTAGTAGAATTTGTTTAGCTCATCCATGACATAACAGATTGCAAAATGCACTTTTTTTCCTGACCTCTGTGACTCTTTCACAACTGTGTGTATTGTAAACATCCATCTGGCGTACATTGAGTTGCACAAAAGTTTGATAGGTTAAAACGGTGTCTGACTTTTTGGAGCAATAGTAACTTGAAAGTTTACACAATGTCTGTATAATAAAGAAAAAAGGTCTTAGGTATTTGATTATCGGATATAAGGCTTAAATGGCAACAGAAAGTACGCATTTAGGTGCGCATCTTTCCTTGTTTTCAAAACAAAGGCATAATCTTCAGGTAATAAACTGGTTTGTAGAAAACCAAGCACACTGTATACTTCCTCAAACCAGCTAGACAACTTTATTATGTTGCTAAATTAGCTGTGTACACTACAAAACCACTAATTTACAACAAGTATAAATAGTCAAAATACCTTTTTTTAATCTAAGTAATAAATATAACTTGCAAGTTTATATTTTTCATAATAGGTAATACAAATAATAATAGTAATAAAAAGTATGGCAAGGTTTACTTCTTTGTCATGGCAAATCCCCAAAGTATGGTGCAGGCTTAAAAACTATTTGCGAATGTGAGTTACCACACGGTTTTAACAGCATCTGAAAACAATTACAAACTACTGAACGGATTCCACTGCACCACAACCACTCATACCTGAAAATGTTTGGCACAAATTTCCAGACTAACTGAATTTTTGTGTTGCCAACCTAAATTACAACAGAATAACTACAAGAATATGATTTAAAATATAAATATACCTGTTTGACTAGATTACATTCTGTTACACACATAAAAGTCATTTTTAAGATTCTAATCTTCAAAAATGAAACACTCTACTCTACATATGCCTGTTAATTTCAGTGCTGTATTTTGACAGATTTCGCAAAGGCTTCAGCTATACTGTCAGCTGGTACCAGCCTCAGTTTTGACTTGACTTGTGTGGGGGTCTGTATCCATGTCTGGATGACAGCGAGAGCGAGATGAGATTAGACCTCAGATTCGATGTGTGGCTGCAAGTCACAGATACTTTACTGCAATTTTTTTATTATTGGCTCATCTAAATTAACTTTTCTTTTGATTAAAAGCTGAAATATTGCCAGACAGACGAAGCAACTTTCGGTTTTGGAAGAGAGTAGCCTCATTGATAAAGGACACACACACACAGGATAGATTCTTGTAGGCCTATTCATTACTAATTTTTTAACATTAAACGCATAATATTCAAGGGCAAAAAGGAAGTTGAACTTCGGAATAAGTGATCACTGCGTTTGCCGCGATGGTTGCTTTGTTTCTCTGCAGTTGGCTTAATGGCGCGGCATTGTTAAATCACTCTTGTTTTAATAAAAAATAATATTGTTTCTTATTACACATTGTGAGATGATAGTCACATGATTTTTAAAATGAGAGTATGCGTTGGGTATTTATGGCTGTTGATCTTATCTACCCACAATCCACCTATAGTTAAACATCACGTATGTGCGTTAAAGGTACGTGTATAAATTAGTTGTGTTTCCACCTTTGTCAGGCAAAGTTTGCAGATTGCTTCTTTAATGTTTTCAAGTTCTCTTTTTGCATTTGGTTTGAACCCAAAATATTGGCAAACAGGCGCTTTTGCATTGCATTTTCACACTAAATTGTCCGTCATTCTCTTTCTGTAAATTGGACTCCTCTCGTTCTCCTCACGTGATAAATGAAATATGATGCATTGTAGCTATGTTCAGATAATGAATTATAGTTTAATTATAGTGCATGCTCTTGTCTTAAGTAAATTATTTAGAATTATATTTTCCATTAATTTCGGTTCGGGTGATTTGAAAAATCCACCCCTCGCTAGGCATGGGCCGGTATGCGATTCTGACGGTATAACAACCTTGGATTACTTATTGTGATTGCTGCTCTAAAAAATATTTGTTTTAAATGGCTGGGTAAAAAAACTCAACCTTTTTTTCCTTTTAAACAATATATTTTAAGAAACATTCATAATATTTTGGAACAGTAAACATGTCGAGCCAAATAATTAAAATAATTTATTGACTTCTGCTGTCTTTATTTCGGCACCTTAGAATTATAAGGTTCTATCTGACATTTTTGTCAAAATTGAGTTATTGACATATTCTTATTAAATGACAACTTATTTATATTATGGGATGTTTTAATAAGTTTTTTACATTTTAAGACTTTTTGTTTAAAAACAAATCTTACCCACATATTGCTTGCTATGGAATGCAAAAACTTTGAAGCTCAACATCTCAAAATCATTCAGAATGCAGATACTGTAGAACCTTATAATTCCAAGGTGACGATTTATGTGAAAAACATATATATATATTTTTTTTTTACAGTTTCAAATGCCATCTTTGGATATTTTTTTCTGATGGAGATACTGTTGTCCTAAAAAATGTAAATAAAAAAAAAAAACCGTACACATACCTTAGGTACGATATAGCAGAAGAATTTGACGTTTTTTTTTTAAACCTTGACTTTTCCAAACTTTGGTATACCTTGAAAACGGGTATCATCCCATGCCTACCCCTCGCTGACAAAGGTCCAGAATTTGTCCCATACATAAGCTCATTTGTCCAATTTTGACTGCTATACCATGATAAATAGTGAAAATAACCCATCAAAAAAGGTTTTAAAACCAAGGTTTTTAAAACCTCTGTCGGCTGTCACTTCAGTGTGACTTCAACTAATCAGTTTTGGCCAATGCTAACGATTATTTTTCATGAGACTAATATCCAGCTGTGCAAGAAAACATACAATCCTACATAAGAGCAGTCATCTTTCGCAACTGTATTGTTCTAAAATAGTTACAATAAAATGTTTTAATACAAATTTAAATACACATCAGATGTTTTAAAAGTAACTTTTTATCTAAGTCTTGGAACAAAAAATGACCAATGAAAAGGTGTGAAGCACCAAAAGATCGATTTTAAAAATATTTTGAATCCTTATTTGGCTATTGTTGTTATCCATGAACCATCCGACAATTTATTTAAGCTAAAAATAGTGCTTAAAATGTCATGAAAATGCAATATTGAAATTTCATAATGAAATAGTAACCTAAATGAGCCCTATAAGATCCACTTTTTAAGAAAAAAATAGGAACCACCCCTTTTACCAGGCAAGCTACAAGCCTGCTCTATATGTATGTATTATCGACTCTAAATCTGTGTCGTTTAAATCATGCACTCAGAGCAAACATATTCAAGATGCTTCTGACTAAAGTGATTGTGAAGTTTCGCTTTTCAGAGCAACACAGGCTCACTGGAAATACGTGCTTCCGCCTACATTTTTGTGAAACCGCTAAAACGTCCTTCAACATATGGTTTTATTGCATTTTCTAGATGAAATGAATGCTACAAGGCAGTATGACAGCTTTTGTTCCTTTTTACTAGTCATTTACAGGAACATATTATTGACAAATAAAGGATTATTTTCATGCAGTTCTTTGCTGTAAGAATAAACAATTTGACAGACAGGTTTATCGTTATTACGTTATGTCACTTGTTTTTTATAGTGGTGTAAATTTTTACCAGTCTATTGCAAGCGATGAAATATCGCTTTTTCTCTTACACTTTCCTTTGAACACACTATTGGTTGGGTTTAGGTCAGCGCTTCACTGGTCTATAGGGTCACGTTTACACTGTCAGTTCTTGATGCCCAATTCTGATTTGTTGCTTATCTGATTTGTTTGCCTGTCCATTTACATGTTCTTTCAATTGTGACCCATATTTGATTCATGTGTTTACACTTGCCATACAAGTTACAGCGTCGCACATACATAAAGGTGGGTTCTGGCATCTGTGCCACACTAGCCACGATGAAAGAAAATTGCTGCGTCCCAAATCGCATACTTATGCACTATTCTACGCCATTTTGTAGTATAAATAGTGTAAGTAGTGCGTTCACACTGAAAACTCTTAAAATAATAAGTGCACTTTAATTACCCGGATGATGCACTCATTCAGCCGGTAAAATGAAGTGTGTAATGATGGACACTTCACGCACTCAACGACTGCAGGTTTGCTCACGTAGTGGAAGGGGCGGAGCTATCGGACGCACATGTTGAATAACTTAATTTATTTTGGATGGTGAAAGCAAAATTCTTCTACGAGAGTGATTATAGCGCCTCCCGATGGTGAATGCGGCAATACTCACGGCAGGTATTATTTGATAATTCGACCGTTTACTTCAATGATTTGGCAACCGTCAAACATCATCAGGGAAACGGTTTGAATTTCCGCTCAGTAAAAAAACATTAGTGTGCCATTTGGGACGACACTACATACATATACTACCCTGTTGAGTGTGTAAGTGCATAAGTACATAGTGCATGAGTGCATAGTGTATAGTGTGCCATTTGGGACGCAGCTCTAGTCTTGCTTTTAGCTCTGTGAAATATGCGAAGTTTGCCCAACTTTAAAATGATTTTCAGGTGGCGGTGGAGGGAAAGGATCATCATCGCAGCTTGCGCCCATGGTGTCCTCCATCATTCAGAAATATTTGTGGGTACGAGAGAGATCTGGTGGGACACTCTTCCTTCTACTATGTCATTCAACCATGGAGAAGTACATTGACTTGATTCGGCCAATCAGAAATGAGCTAACTTTGCTTAGTTCAAGCATTCTCAGTAGTATTATCTTACCCTGTCATGCTGCGTGGTGACAGACAGCTATAACACTGGACTGATTTCACATATACACTCACCGGCCACTTTATTAGGTACACCTGTCCAACTGCTTGTTAACACAAATTTCTAATCAGCCAATCACATGGCAACAAAATTGAACAATGAAAAAATTGGAAAACGTTGCCTGGTCTGATGAGTCTCAAATATTGCTGCAACTTGTATTAAAACTTGTATTAAAGGTTCAGGCTGGTGTTGGTGGTGTAATAGTGTGGGGGAATATTTTCTTGGCACACTTTGGGGCCATTAGTACCAGCATCAAGTCAACACCACAGCCTACATGAGCATTGTTGCTGACCATGTCTATTCCTTTATGAACACACTGTACCCTTATTTTGATCTTCTACTTCCAGTTGTATAATGCACCATGATATAAAGCGTGAATCATCTCAGACTTCTTGAACATGACAATGAATTCACTATACTCAAATGGCCTCCACAGTCACCAGATCTCAATCCAATAGAGCACCTTTGGGATGTGGTGGAACGGGAGATTCACATCATGGATGTGCAGTAGACAAATTTGCTGCAACTGCATGATGCTATAATGTCAATATAGACCAAAATCTCTGAGGAATATTTCCAGTATCTTGTTTAAACTATGCCATGAAGAATTAAGGCAGTTCTGAAAGCAAAAAGGGGTCCAACCCAGTACTACTAAGGTGTACCTAATATGAGTGTAGCATTCTGTTTCCCCTCACCGAACTGTGACTATACCTGAAATTTATTTTTGAATGTACAGTAACTAGCAATCTGTGAGACATGATATTTTAAATATTTGTAATGTAATTAAACATAATAATAATCATAATTATAATACAAACAATACTAATAAAAACTAATATTTTATTATTAGATATTAATATATGAATACAATATTATAATAAATAGTCTTCACTGCTCCACAACCTGTCAAGCCAGCATTATTGCCACAAGTTTAAGATTGTTTATGACGACGAACTGATCATCATATAGATCGAGTTAATAAATAAAATAACCGTGAAGGTTAAATATTGTTTTAAAAGGCGCTATGTTATGTATCAGCAAGTCATATTTCAACCCCCAAGCAAGAGTGATCACGTGACGCAGATGGAAACTAGGGGAAAGGTCACGCGCCGCTCTACGCCACAGGACTGTGTTGATGATACACGCTGCTGAACGCCATTATGGGTCACACACCGTTTTAAAGCTTGCATTACACATTCTACCACAACAAACACGAGATAGATAATAAGTTACTTTATTATTCAACAAAAAAAGGAACTGTCGACTATTCATATATTTGCATAGCTGTTTTGCATAGTTCCTGCTCCATCGGCGAACTATTAAATTAAAGTGACAGTTCACCAAAACCTAAAAAGACATATTTACATTTTTAATCACAATACGCTATTATTATTATTATTATTATTATTATTATTATTATTATTATTATTATTATTAATATTGAAATTACTATTGTATATAAAGTCGGTCATTGGTGTCACAGAATGGATCAACAAAAGGTTGAGTAAATTAACTCACCCTAATGTTTGACAAAACATGGATTAATAACATATTAATAACTGGACAAATAATACATAATAGCTAGGCTAACTGATTAGTATTGTGTAATAGTTCAATAAACAATACAATAAACCTAAACCGATCGAAACACTAACGCAAATAGAAGCTTGGCAATATTGACAAGACTGCAATCAATAAAGAAATCAAACATCTTGTCAAAGCAGCAGTTGTTTCCCGCGCATAACAATATCTGAACGTCCTTGTAACGTGTTCGCTGCTTTTAAGATGCCCTCACATACCCGGGCACCTAGTGGCCCCATGTGCGACATTCACCAGGTGCTCTTGGGTGTCAGAATGTCAACAAACATGCACGTATAATACACATAAAAGTTATTACGCAACGTCAATGACATTTATTTTTTGTTTTATTCAATGAAGTATTAAAAAAAATGAGTGGATGTCCAATATCACCTTGTGTGTGTCTGCTTTTTTAAGAAGGACGTCTGTGTCAAACCACGGGACAAGAATATATCAGGCTGTGCGCTAGCTGGTGCACTTTCACCTACTTAAACCGGAGCTCCACATTCAATCTCATGTGGCTTCTTAAAATATAGTCGAATCATTTTAGATTCTTACCTCTGCGTCTCTTCCTAAAGACACGGACGATGCGGATTGCTGTTTCACTTCAGGAGACGCACCGGTATTGCCACTGCCTGCTTTATGTGTATGAATGAATTTAGTAAGGGTAATTTAGTAGGCTGGACCCGCCCCTCATGCTCACGTCACACCGCAGAGATAGCGGCGCGGTCTTCAGTGCACTGCCAAGGGTTGCGTAGAACTCCTTTATCTGGGTTGTAAATATGACTTCAAAGGGTTCGATTTGTTTTCGTACTTGTGGTTATTGACAGGGAGGATTCTTAGTGGCTTCTAGAACAAAACAAAAAATCATTAAAATAATTTTTAAAAAGGAGGCCAGTGATACTGAAGATGAATTAACGGGTACTGCAAATCAACTTTGAATCACAGAAGTAAATGACGTTTATAATAATAATAATAATAATAATAATAATAATGATAATAATAATAGTAAACTAAAATATAACAGAAAACAGCTTCCCAATTTTTAAACAGGGACCAAATCATATACTATAATTTTACTATAGAGGGACTAAATGTAAACGTTATGCATTGAGATTTATTCCTTTTGTTTCCAACGACTTCATATTTCCTAGTACATATTTTATACTATTTTATAGTTTTAACATGTATTATATACACTGTAGTCAGTGTGTGAAATATAGGGGACTAGAGGAGAGCAGGGCACAAGTAACACTTTTTGGCTTTGGTCAAATAATGAACAAAGTAATGAGGTTAGACAAACCATTTTTTTTTTACCAATAACACACAAGCTTCTTCTACAAATGAGCATTGAAATTATAATCGCCAGACCTATGGTTTCTGTGCAGTATTGCCAAAAGTGCCAGGAGTAAAAATGTTACTATGTACCCCACCTGCGGGACAAGTTGTAACAGATAGGGGTTAATATGCTTAAAGCCAGATTTCACAAGTAATTTCATTTCTGTTAAATTTAAACAAAAGCTTTTTTTCAGTAATTGGCTTATTCTTTTTTCTTATCTACATAGCACAGTATTTTTATTTATTAATTTATTTATTGGAAAACTAATTTGAATCTATTTGCAATGTTATCCATTTGTCTATTATTATATAATGCATTTATTTGCATTATAGCAATAAAATATTTTTTCTATTTAAAACAAATCTATTAAAAATATTTTTATTTAAAAAGTACTCAATATTAGGTGTCCAATAGTGTGTGGCATAATTGTAACACCCTGTTACAACTAACCCCACTGAGTCATGTTTTCCTCAAAACTGTGTGTTTCTTACATCTTTCAAAATGTTTTCATCTTTTAGCCTAGAAGACAGTAAGCACAACAATATAAGATTTTACTAACATACTTTCACAGATTTTTTTAAAATAAAAAATATTGCCTATAATAAAAAATACTTTTATGGTGCAAAAAAGGTTTCTCCTGTGTTTCTCATCCAAATTTCACCAAACTTTTTCAAGAATTGACCAGAAGGCGTCTGCCAACACTGTGGTGAAAACCTTAGAAGCATGCCATAATTAACCCTGAGCAAATACCTTAAAACTTTGTGTTACATTTAACCCTGCGTTACTTTGTGCCTTGCGCTTCCCTATACACTGCAACTTAGTAGATTTAACTACCTTAGAGTTAAAATAAACACTCCCTCAAAGTTTATATGCAAACACTATAAAAGTGGTAACTTGATCAGTACTTAGAGAGTGTTAATTAGCAAACTCATAGTGTGGAATATTAACACCACAAAGGATCATGAACACCACTCAGTGTTATGTGTTAACAATCTTAGGTCAAATTTTCAACACTGCACAGAAATAAAAATATATCTTGTTTAATGTCAACAACACTTTATTAACTATTCCTTTAATGTTTAAGAAAAACAATTCAAAACAGTCACAAACCATATTTTCTCATATTTTAACCAAAAGGAGCAGTTTTAAGACAGCTTTTACTAGTACAGCTAGTAAAGAACAAAATAAAGATGAAAAATTATGTTTTTTTTTGTGAGATATTTAAAACTAACGTATATATAACGATTTGGATGTAAAATGTCTTTGTACAAACAGTTTAAGTATACTTTTACTCATCAGTTGCTTCTTGCTCCTCGTGGCAGAAGAAAATGGGGTCTGGAAAAATCCTACAGGGATATTGCTGCATAAATTCCCGGAAGTAGTCAACACTGTATTAGCGTTAGATACATGTAACTTTGTATGACAAGGAGCCAAATCAACTTCTAACAATTATTTTATTTTTATCTAACTCTAGAATTTCAACACTTTACTGTGAATTACCACAACACTCGAAATTGAACACTGATGAATTTGTTGTGTGGGTCAGCTATTTTCATTAGCTTGTTTTAAAAATATGCGTGCTTCTGTGAACAAAATCCATACATTTATTTCAATTATCCTACATAACATTGGATAATCAAAAACAAATTTGTGTTTTCAGTGTTTCGAGGTATTATGAACTCTTATTTCAATAGATGGCTCTTACACCTTTTCCATAGTCTAACTCAATGACTTTAAACACTTTCCAATTGCATTTTAAGCTGTTCTATCACTACAGCTGTGGTAACCGATTTGCATCCACATACTTCTCATCAAATTTAGTTTATTATAATGTTCTATATTAAGCACAGCATATAGTATAGTATTCGAAGCAAAATATTTGATGGTATATTTGTCCAAAGCCCATTATTAAAACTTAAATGCTGTCTTTCTTAAATGTGAACTATTTACATCTTCGATATCATATTTTACCTTTAATATTTACTTATTTCAATGATCAGATTTTTTCAAATGCCGAATATCAAAGTATAACTATTATTTGTTTTTATTAGAGACTATATTAAATATAAACCAAAATGTCCAATGGGTGGTGCCAAATCTCAATCTTTGTCACTGAATTGTTCGTTCAGATTCATTCAAAATGGCTCATTTATAAATTAATTGACTCATTAGGAATGACTCGCTCAAACATTTCTTGTTAACCTCATTTGTTAAGTGCCTCTTCAATGGTAAAGCTTTTAAATCTTCAATTTAAAGGGAAAGTCATGCACTTTAGTTTTACAGGCGACTGTATGTACACATGATGTGCAGTGTAGTTATCACCGTGAAACTAAAACAGGTATAGTGAGGGTTTAGATTTGCTCTTGGTATTGGTATAGAGTGCATGTATTGAATGAACAGCAAAAATTATGTTTTGTGCTTTTAAAAACATTCAAACACTTAATAATACAAATGACAAAAATTGAACACGTATGCAGCAAACGTCAATTCACATGATTTCACTGTAATCTGGTTTTGAGGTATGAATGTTCAGACTTTTAAAGAGGTAATGCAATTGAACCATTTTATCACTAGTATGGATTTAACCATTTGAGCACATCTGTTACTCTGGCTAATCTGGTTGACAGAGCATTATTTTATTTTGAAGGCAATTCAATTATTGGTTAGGGACATTTTAGTAATTTCTGGATATTGGTTTGGGCATGTCCCCTCCATCCATGCCACTTCTATGCCCTTGATATATAGCAATGAATTCTTTTTCCTGAAGTACATATTTCAGGCGTACTTCTTTACTTTTACTACAAAAGTGTAGTTAGTACTTTCACCAGAGTCATTTTTAACATCTGTACTTCTACTTGAGTCAATGATGTGTGTACTTTTGCCATCTCTGCAGCAAGAAGGTCACTGGTTCGATTCCCGGCTGGGCCAATTAGCATTTCTGTAAGGAGTTTGCATGTTCTCTTCATGTTGACATGGGTTTCTTCTGGGTGCACCAGTTTCCCCCACACTCCAAAGACATGTGCTATACGTAAATTGGATGAACTAAACTGGGCATAGTGTGAGTGTGAGTGAATGCGAGAGTGTATGGGTGTTTTCCAGCACTGGGTTGCAACTGGAATTTGATATGTAAAATAGATTCTGGAATAGTTGGAGGTTCATTCCGCTTTGGCAACCAGATCAGAGCTTACCTGAAGAAAAATGAATGAATGAATGTTATTTTTTACAGACTTATTTCTTATACATTATAGTAATTTAAACTACAGACATATTAATACAATCATTTGTATCTGTTTTAAATATGTTTTAGAGGCATTCTTTAAAGCATTCAACTTTCCAACTTTAATGAAGAATAATTTCACTGCGTGAATTAATAATACAATGAAGACTATGTGTTATTTTAATTCATTCATTCATTCATTCATTCATTCATTTTCTTTTTATCTTAGTCCCTTTAATAATATGGGGTCGCCACAGCAAAATGATCCGCCAACTTATCCAGCAAATGTTTTACGCAGCGGATGCCCTTCCAGCTGCAACCCATTACTCGAAAACATCCATACAAACTCATTCACACACATATACTACGGACAATTTGGTGTGCCCAATTCACCTGTTGTCCCCGCATGTCTTTGGACTTGGGGGGGAGAGCACCCGGAGGAAACTCATGCAATCATGGGAACAACATGCAAACGCACACAGAAATGTCAACTGACCCAGCTAGGGCTTGAACCAGCAACCTTGTTGCAACGAACCATAACGCACTGTTTCTTTTACTTTTTCTTTGCTCTATTGCAATTATTCTCTATTTCTTAATTATTCTTCTGCAATTTAATTATTATTTTTATATACGATTCACACCCTTACAAAATCACTCCGATCAATCTAAATTCAAGATTTTTTTTTCCAAAAAGAGCTATTCAAGGCATCTGGTGAAATATCGCAATATATATTGCAATAAAAATTAATAAAACATAATGTCAGATTTTCCCCCAATATCTTGCAGCTCTACAAGGTACAGTACACACACACACACACACACTTGGGCACACATGCAGAATTTATGGAGACAAAATATCTTCTCAAGTTTAGTGAAACTAGTAATTTTTCACTTTCCACAATGAGATCAGTTTGTAAATCACAGAAAATTAGATTATTATTATTATTGTTATTATTATTATTATTATCATCATCATCATCATCATCATCATTATTATTGTTACTATTATTACTATTATTATTATTATTATTATGGCGACGCAGTGGCGCAGGTAGTGCTGTCGCCTCACAGCAAGAAGGTCGCTGGTTCGAACCTCGGCTCAGTTGGCGTTTCTTTGTGGAGTTTGCATGTTCTCCCTGCATCCACGTGGGTTTCCTCCGGGTGCTCCGGTTTCCACAGTTCAACACATGTGTTGCAGGTGAATTGGGCAGGCTAAATTGTCCATAGTGTGTGTATGTGTGTGTAGAAGTTTCCCAGAGATGGGTTGCGGCTTGAAGAGCATCCGCTGCATAAAAACGTGCTGGATAAGTTGGCGGTTCATTCCGCTGTGGCGACACCGGATTGATAAAGGGACTAAGCCGACAAGAAAATGAATTAATTATTATTATTATCTTGGGGTTTTTTTCACAAGTGAGGGATGGACAGAACGTGCGAAGGCGAATTGGTTCAGCAGCAGCAGTAATGCGGTCGATGTACCGGTTCGTTGTGGTGAAGAAGGAGCTGAGCCTAAAGGCAAAGCTCTCGATTTACTATGGTCATGAGCTTTGGGTCATGACCGAAAGGACAAGATTCCGGATACAAGCGGCCGAAATGAGTTTCCTTCGTAGGGTGGTAGGAGCACCCTCATAGACAGGGTGAGGAGCTCTGTCACCTGGGAGGAGCTCGGAGTAGAGCCGCTGCTCCTCCACATCGAGAGCAGTCAGCAGAGGTGGCTCGGGCAACTGTTTCGCATGCCTTCAGGACGCCTACCTATTGAGGTGTTCCAGGCATGTCCCACCGGGAGGAGGCCTCGGGGAAGACCCAGGACACGATTGAGGGACTATGTCTCTTGGCTGCATGGTCTGGGAACGCCTCGGGATCCTGAAACTGAAACTGAAACTGAAAGTGTCTGGAGAGAGGGAAGTCTGGGGTTCTCTCCTAAGACTGCTGCCCCCGCAACCCAGCCCCGCATAAGCGGATAAAAATGATGATTATTATTATTATCATCATTATTATTATTATCATTATTAATATTATTATTGTTGTTGTTATTATTATTGTTATTATAATTATCATTTTGTTATTATTATTAAAATTATTATTATCATTGATTAATTTTCCTTCGGCTTAGTCCCTTATTTATCAGGGGTCACCATAGCGGAATGAACCACCAGTTATTTCAACGTGTTTTAAGCAGCAGATGCCCGTCCAGCTGCAACCCAATACTGGGAAATACCCATACACACTCATTCACACACACTCATCCACTACGAGCAATTAAGTTCATCCAATTGACCTATAGGTTATGCCCTTGAACTGTGGGGAAAACCGAAGCACCCAGAGGAAACCTACGCCGACACGAGGAGAACATGTTAACTCTACAGAGAAATACCAACTGGCCCAGCCAGGACTCGAACCAGACCTTCTTGCTGTGAAGCGATAGCTAACCACTGAGCCAACGTGCTGCCCTGGAAAACTTTATTAATACTGTATTATTATTATTATTATTATTATCATTATTATTATTATTATTATTATTATTATTATTGTTATTATTATTATCATCATCATCATCATCATCATCATTATTATTATTATTATTATTATTATTATTATTATTATTATTATTATTATTATTATTATTATTGGGTGGGTGGATCTAACAATGCAGAAAATTGTTTATAGACATCATGGTATGGGATATAATTAACTGTTTAATCACTAAAACTGTTTTACTCCCATGGCAAGCCCTCATGAAACATGGTTAGTGTGCATGTGTATGTTCTATTATGCAAAACATGACGGTTGCTAGTAGTATTTTTCCCTAGGATAATAACAACAGCCTGTCCCCATGGTGCTAAAGGCAAGGCACTAGAGAGAAGCCAAAGGACTCACTCTTGTGCAGGTAGAATTAAAAGCCAGAACAGAAGCCAATTTGACATTTACTTTTCCTGAAAGAAAGATGCATACAGTCTTTATTCATTCTCAAGAATAGTCTGAAGATTCATTAGCTTTTGTCAACCCTACTGCTAGCACTTTTAATCCTATTTTCAAACTATCTATAAAATGTTGTCTGGTCTTCACTTACATACTTTGTCACTATATACTGTATACACTGAAAAAATAACTCATAAGATTTACTTTAAAAAAAAAAAAAACCTTGTGACAATTTGCACGAACAAATTTCAAGTAAACCTGACTATACTCTCAGAAATAAAAGTACGCGAGCAGTCACTGGTGTTACCTTTTTTTAAAAGGTATGCATTTGTACCTAAAGGGTCCATATTTATACCTCAAGGGTACATATTTGTGCCTAAAAAGTACAAAAGTCTTCCTCTTAAAAACTTTTGGTACTAATATATACTTTCAAGGTACCGATATGTACCCTATAAGTACAAACATGTACGTTTTGGAAAGGTACCACCCCAGTGACAGCTTTTTCCGAGAGTGTATCTTATATCAGGTACAATTTTCTTGTCAATAGCATGTAAAATATACTTACTGTTTAACCTGTTAACCCTTACTGCAGTAAATAACTGTAAAAAACAAGTATTTTGCTGTTAAAAAAGAGAACAGTATTTTTCTGTGAAAGTAGTATAGGATTTATATGAATTCTAGAGCAAAAAATAAATTACAGTAATTTACTTTATCTACCTATTACAGGTAGTAACCGTCATAATAGTAAATTACTGCTCAACCATTACTGTCCCATCTACTCTGATGAGTTATGTTGCTGTTTATAGAAAACAACGATTTAGGCATTAACACACACATACACAGGCTGTGTGTCTTATTCAAAGCACAAAATTGTGAAAAAAGTTTTCAGAAAATGCTGGCTCTTTAAGGGAGCCAGGTGTTTGATTTGTTTACCTCTGAGTGTCCTCCATTCTCTGTCTTTCAATTCAGACGCAGAGTCTGATTTGGTTTAAGTCTTAAATAGGAATCTACAATAAGTAAGTAAAATGTTTTAAAAGGGTTTATTATTTAGTTATATTGTTGTTATCATGAGCTGTATACTTAAAAGCTACATTGTAAGCTAGTTAGCCTCTCCTCATATAACTTCATACATTACTTTTATTCATTCATTTTCTTGTCGGCTTAGTCCCTTTATTAATCTGGGGTCGCCCCAGCGGAATGAACTGCCAACTTATCCAGCACGTTTTTTTTTTTTTTTTACGCAGTGGATGCCCTTCCAGCCGCAACCCATCTCTGGGAAATGCATACACACATACACTTATTACAATTTAGCCAATTCACCTGTACCGCATGTCTTTGGACTGTGGGGGAAACCGGAGCACCCGGAAGAAACCCACGTGCACACAGGGAGAACATGCAAACTCCACACAGAAATGCCAACTGAGCCGAGGTTCGAACCAGCAACCCAGCGACCTTCATTTAGGTACATTTATTATTTGGGTATTGCATTCTGTATAAACCTTATTTTATTTGTTGGAAAAATATATATAAATGTAAATATATACTAAATGTAAACCCTATATGATTTTTTAAAAGAACTGGAACTATAGGTTTAATGTCAACATTTAGTAGCTACTAGAAATCAGTTAAAACCTGTAACATTTGTGCTTTCTTTTATATTCTGCATTCATTTTGATTTGTTTTCATGTGCCCTTTCGTTTTTTCCCCTATAACCTTGTTATATATTTAATGTAAAATCATATTAAATCTCTGTATGGTTTGTACAACATTTTTGTCTGTTTTATATTGCTTTGTTGTTATTATAATAAGAACAATTAACAACATTTTATTTCTCCGTCTCGTATTTTTGGAACGCAATGTCATGTTCATACTTGAACCGTAACAGCCCTTAACTTCAGTAAAATATGTGTGGAGAACTCTGATGTCCTCAAATCCGTAAAGTACAAGTATGCACTGAACAAACAACAAAACAAGTGTGCACTGCAACAAGCGCTCTTCTGACGACTTGAGAGTGTCTCACCAATGACGTTTCTTAATACAGAAGCGCGTCTCCGATTGGCCAACCCACGTGACCCGTGACATACCGTTGTCCAATGAGAAAGGAGAATAATGCGACCTGCTTTCGCACTTCTCCGACTGCTGAAAACGTGAGGACAGTCTGGAGCCTAACGTGTGGGTAAGTCAAAGAAAACATTGTTTTAATCGCGATTAGCGCAGGAGCCTTATGTCTTGTACACTGGAAATTATTTAAGTGCGTTTAAAGGTTTTATTTTTATAGTTCACACGGCTTAGAGCTGTAATAGTTGAGGTGTTGACAGATATGCATGCTTCACATGTGTCCATGGCAGTTAAATGTCCCATGCTCAAGCATGACAGCGCAGTGACAGCAATTTGAGAAACAGCTGATATTTTAAATCACAGTTAATAAGACTTCTTCTTCTTTTAGCTAAATAATATGACATAAACATAATAAAGTCAAACTAATTTTCCCCAAACTCGCAGAAGTAACAAATATGTACTTTATTTGTTAGAAATTTAATATGATTTTCATATTAATGAGCAATGAAAAAACATAGTGATAATTATTTTAAATCAATAATTTATCTAAAATGGCATGCTTGTCAGATGATTAGCAGCTTTGATTGACTGGTCCACTTGCAAAATGCTTATATCATTATGGCCTTAAAGATGCTGGTTTTATAATAACTTTATTTTATTATTATGTAAATTTCACATGCTCAAATCCAATTCATGTTGCAAGAAAAAGAGATTAAAATATTTATAAAAGTGATTTGTAAGTCTAAAAATAAAAAAAACAATTAAAACGGTTAAAATATGCTCCTCCTTTAACATTACCTGTAGTAAAAGTGTATTTAATTACTCTTGATAATAACTAAAATTGGAAAAATATGTGTAATATATTCATATGTAATTTGATGATCATGTATCATCTCCTCGTTTTTTTTTTTTTTCAATTTATTTTCTTTGTTTCTCTTTTAATTATTCTTGTTAAGGAATGTGAAGTGATTTTGTTGTATAATAAAACTCTACCTGCTGATTCTTGTTAATAAAGGAAAAATAATTATAATTATTAAAAATATGGCCTGCTTTAGTAGTTCAAGCCATAATCGAGGTAAAGTTGATTTTATATTTGGACATTCATTCAGTGACAACTTGTGACATGCTCCCTGTTTTGTTTACCATGGCACTTAGAAATTACATGTAAGTATGGCTTGAAAACAAAATTAGCACTATAAACAGTGTTGTACTTTTGATAGTCATTGGCAATATTATTTGTCTATTTAGAATTTGCAATGAGCACTTTCCTGAAATGGTATCATTAAGAAGGAACTCCAAATGTGTGAATCTAAAACCAAATTTACCTCAATCAAGCCATACTTGGAAAAAGTCACATTTTGATGTCCAACAAATACACAAAAAAGTCATCTTTGGGATTAACACTTAATTATCAAGAGGTGTTATTATGACACTTATGCCTTTCTGTGTGAACGTGACCTTTAACATGTCTTCATTTTGTCTTTGCGAAATAGCTGAGGAGTGAAAATGGATAAAAAAAATGAAAAGGGCGAAGCCAGAGGTATGTTTAGTGCTCATAGTCTTTCTTAGCAAAATATATTAGCATTTTATGTCTTTGTTACTCAGAAAGAAGTGTATTATGTACAGTGCTCAGCATAATTGAGTACACCCCATTTTGAAAATGAATATTTGTATCCATTTCTCAGTGAATATAAGCAGTGTATTTTGGTGCATTTAAACAAAACAGATTTATGAAACGGATATATTTATTAAAATAATATTTTAGTTACCAAACATATTTAGAAATTGAAAGATAATACAATTAAATTCAAGCAAAAATAAATGAATAAATACAGCCTACAAAAATTCAACTAAATGTTTATAAACTTTTTTTTTTTCTCTTAATTTAAGTTATTTTGTTAGATAAGCTCCAGATTTGGCTTTGGTATTGACTAATGTGTATGCACAATTATAATATTGTATAGCTTCTTTTTAATGATATGAATTTAAACGATGGATTCATGAGGGGTGTACTTTTTATATGCTGAGCACTGTATATTAAACGCTTTTATATATTTTCTCTAAATGCTCTAATAATTTGTTGATAAAGGTTCTAAGCTGTAAAACCCATATGTTAAATCCTTATCAATGAATGCTTTAGATTCAGAAACTGACTATTGTGGATAATGTGATTAAAATATTCTAAAGCTAATTGTTTTTTAATTTTTTTTTTTCCAAAGGTAAAGGTGGAACTAAACCAGACAAACCTGAGGCCTTTTTACAAGTAGAAAGGTATAAAACATGCAAACATGTACGATTAAAAAAGCTAAGACGATAAAATCACATATTTCAAATTGATTTCTGTAATGTGTTTTTTAATGTGTTGTTCCTGAGAAATGTAAAAAAATTGCACCCCTGCGTAGAGCTTATTTTTGCTTCCCTACAATAGCAAAAGTGTATTCAGACACGCACTTAAAGCTGTTGCTCCCAGTGCTTTAGATTCTGCGCCTAGATCATTAAAATAGAGCCCTATGTGCGTTTGACTTGAAACACGGCTGCAGTCGGTGATCACCGAGATTAGCCGTGCGCAAGTGGGGTGGAGTTGAAAACGGAGCCATCAAAACAGACACTTCGGCTATATATATTAGTGTAAAACCCAAAACAAGATGTCTGTTAATATAAATGGTTATTTTAATGATTAATAATGGATAATGAAAGCACTGGATATAATGAAAGCAAAAAAAAAAAACTGTAATGAAAAATAGATTGAACAAAAGTACATCCAAAATAAGTGAGCTACACTTTTCCCAGAAAGAGCCAGTAATATCAATGTCACTTTTAAAATTTCTGGATAAACGGCTTGACGGGAAAATAAATATATGATTACGTAGTTTATAATTTATTATTCAATAATTTAATTATTCAATAAAATAATTATTTAACTTAATTTATTTTTTTAAGAAACCTTTATTGGGGTGACATGGTCAATAATGATAATTATTTAATTACAAATCTGTAAGACTTTATTTTAGTTGATATTTGGGTTATTCACTAAAATATATGATTTAAATTTATGGAGCTGAATAGCCTACAGTAAATAGTCTGTATTAAATGATCAAAAATAGGTCTATACAAGCAATCATGCGTTTATAAACAAATTATTTAACAAAAAAAGATGATTACTGTAGTACTGTACTATTTGTAGTCTTAAGCATGATATGTACAAGATGAAGATGGCATAAAAAGTTCATTGTTTTGAAAATTTGCAGACCAAAGTTGTCTAGTAATAAACCCAAAACACACGTGGTTGTCATGCAGTGAATCCAGCCAATCTTGTAATATCGGTGTTGTCATTGTAGCTCCTGCTGTCGCTCTTCAGACGCTCATGAGCTGAGTCCGCTGTGTGATCTCAGAGTGCTTTCACTGTACTTTGATGCCACATGAGACAGTCACGTGGCGTCGGCGCAGCGTCAAGCCTGATAAAATTCGAAAGTTGAACGCACATATTGAATAAAAAATGCACATTTCAAAGCACTTCACGGGACCTTTAAGTAAACATTTTAAAAAATGTGTAAGCATTTGTTATTATCAAAACATCCAATTTAGTAAACTTGTATTTTGTAACTATCCGTAAAATTGCATTTATCCTTTTTACATTAGTAAAGTTTTGTAAACCTCTATCATAAACCTTTTCAATTTTTTGTTAGTATGTGTGAAATTTAATAATCATAGTTTTTGTTTTGCTTAAAGTTGCGTAATGTGTTGTTTAAATAAACGGCTGCAAAGTTTCAAAAAAATACATTCGTAATTTTTTTTTTTTGTCAGATGTGCAATAATTTAAATCACATCTTTGGGTGAAAATGCAGCTAATATGCGCTTGCAAAATAAATCTTGTCAATTTTGATTCACACAGACTAACTTGTTTTTGTAAGACGGTAACGTTTTGTAAATGTGTTCTTATACTGTGTAAAACTGTCTTTTTTTTGTCTTTCTAGAGTACCCAATTTCAATCTCCTTCCCAAGAATGTAAAGAGAAGAGTTTATGCCCTCAAAAGACTCCAGCTCCAGAGTGGCAACATTGAGGCAAAGTTTTACGAAGAGGTTCATGAGCTAGAGAGAAAGTATGCTGGACTCTACCAGCCCATCTTAGACAAGGTATGCAAATGAATTCTCTATAAACCCAAGTGTTCTGTTTAAACACGCTTGGCGTGTCTGAGGTAGGTTGGTGCGGGATAGTTCAACCAAAAATGAAAATTGTCATCATTTACTTACCATTGATTGGTTACCAACCAGTTTGAGCTTTTTTTTGTTCTGTTGAACACAAAAGAAGATAATTTGAAATATGTTGTGAACTAGTAACTTTTGACTTGAATAGTAGATTAACAGATTTACTGAACTATTTAGAGTTGTAGTATACCAAAAAATGTAAATGGTTATTTTATCAACCATGATTTGTTACTAACTAGTTTGAGCTTTTTGTAGATCAACAGATTTTCTGAACTATTTAAAGAGATGGTGCACCCCAAAATGAAAATTGTCATAATTTACTCAAACTTGACTTGTTACTAACAAGTTTGAGTTTTTTGTTCTGTTGAACTCAAAAGAAGATATTTTGAAGAATGTTGGAGTCCGGTAACCATTGACTTCTAAGTAGATCAACAAGTTTTCTGAACTATTTAAAGAGGTAGTTTACCCAAAAATGAAAATTGTCATTATTTTCTCACTTTTGATTTATTAGTGTTTTTTTCTGGTTAACACAAAAGAAGATATTCTGTAGTGTGTTGGAAACTAGTAACCATTGACTGATATAGTTTTTGTTTTTTTAGAAAAGTCAGTGGTTATCAGTTTCCAACATTCTTCAAAATATCATCTTTTGTGTCCAACACAACAAAAATAAAACAAAACAGAGAATTTTAATTTTGAATCCTGGAACACCATATTAAAAAGCATTCTTTAGCATGGAAGTTGACCTTCGATCCTTTGCGATGGTCTGTTGGGTCACAAAACGAATGCTATAGTCAAATCCGCCAGAACGAACGGCCTACTGCTCCCATTCAAGCCTGGCTGTTTCCTTGGCTGGAGACAATCTAGTAGTGTAGGTCATTTGTAAAGGCATGCTAGCCTTTTTGTCATACTACGGTGTAAGCCAAATAAATTCAGATCTAGAACCTACATCGAAATTGTTGTGGAACACACTTGTCTGAAAATGAATACTGTCAGTGTTCTGCTTTTAAGATAATGTCATGCAAAATTATTAGCCCTCCAGTGAATTTTTTTTTCTTTTTTAAAATATATCTTTAAAAGAGCAAGGAATTTTCAACAGTATTTCCTATAATATTATTTCTTCTGAAGAAAGCTGTTTTTCATCTCTTAAAAATATTTTAAGGTCAATAAGGTTAGCCCCCTTAACAGAAAAAATATATATATTATTTACTATATTAAGTAGCCTACTATCTTAGGTGTGCAATCTGATACAATGACACAAATAATAAAAGCAAAGTTTTTATTTTGATCTATTTTTAAGACAAGATCTAAATTAGATCTAAAACCGTAGGGATTAAGCCAAAGGAAGGTTGTATAACTCCTATTTTTATCCACAATCTTACCTTCTCCCAGTTTTCACTCCCTGAAGCATCTGACATGAATTCTGGACATGCGTTGGGGCTTCCCCTAACCAGTGCCTGATTTGTTAGTTGCGAGGTCCCCGAACAGATGTTACCAGAGGAGGGAGGTGTGTTGCTTGTGAAAGTAAAGAAGGAAGGGGAGATCGAGAACGAAAGATAGGTGTCACGGACATAAGTAAAGAAAGAGGATTGGGCAGTCCCTGAAGAAAGTGGGTGTTTGTGTGTATGAGGAGGGGGATCCGTAAAATGAAGTGCTAGATCAGATATCAGAGGATCCGGTACGCCTAAAATATGGATTGCTGTAAAACTCGTCAATGGCAGGAAAGCGTTTTTTCTCGTTAACATCAGGGAAAGACTTAAACGAGGTCATTTATCTATTTTACGTACACTATAATATCAGCCTTGCATGTAAAGCACAAATAATGTCCTTCAATCCGGTCACGTCCAGCAGCCGCCATCCTTGAACCAACGTCTGAATAACTTTTCTGTCTGTTTCATTGCTCCATTTGCTAGATGTTTCCCAGTTTTGTTTTTTTTTGCAATCTGAAGCATGTCAAATGCACAAAACGCCCAATTCATGCCACAGGATGTCCAATCTGTGGTCCAATTGGATGTCCAATGTCTTTGCATTGAATTTCCATGTAAATCTCTCATGCCTCTTCCGCATCTGTTTACAGACTGCAAAACAATTAGGCCCCCATCTCTCTCTCTCTCTCTCTCTCTCCCTCTCTCTCTCTCTCTCTCTCTCTCTCTCTCTCTTATGTAATGTAATGTAGTGATTGTGATTCCGTAGATGAGACGTCTTTTTTCGAGACACTCAAATACATCACATGCACTGCGTATGCAATGTCTATAAGTCATGTAAAACAATTAACTGTAAACTGAAATAGATTTAATTTGATTATATGGTTTGGAATTTAATGTTTATGATGTTATTTACATGTTTTGCCATTTTATTTAGAGTTTAATTAAGAATTTTGCAGGATTGCAAAAATTTGGGACTTTTTGTTGATTTTACATTGGATTCAGCAATCGCAGAACCGTGAAAAACTAGGGGGTGTGTCTTAATCTATTTTGTTTTGTTTGTCTACAGAACAAACCACTGTTTTACAAAGACTTGCCTAGTTAACCTAATTAACCTTGTTAAGGCTTTTAAATGTCACTTTGAGCTGCATACTAGTATCTTGAAAAATATCTTGTAAAATATTATGTACTGTCATCATGACAAAGATTAAATAAATCGGTTATTAGAAATTAATTTTAAAACTATTATTATAAGCCAGTGATTCAGAAGGGCTAATAATTTTAACTTCAACTGTATATGGTCATGATGTGACATAATAACACAATGCTTCTGTGTTCAGAGACGGGAGATTGTGACTGGTGCTGTCGAACCTACAGATGAGGAATGCGAATGGCACAGCGACAAAGAGGAGGATGAGCTTGCTGTAAGTGGATACTTCTGAGATCACTAAAAGCACATAATATCAATGCAAGTTTTAGTGAAAGGAAGCCCTGAACTGCTGAATACCTCTTGGATTTCTGATAAGAGATTTTGTCCCACAGGACGATTTGCAAAAAAAAGCTGCTCTGGAGGAGAAGCAGGCAGATTCAGCCAGTGCCGTTGATCCGAAAGGAATCCCCGATTTCTGGCTTACAATCTTTAAACATGTGGATATGCTGGGAGAAATGCTGCAGGTAAACGGATACACTATTCTCTTTAAAGTATTTGTGATTCAATAAAATCTTTGCAAACTTTGGCAAATAATAATTTTACACTGCTGTCAGATTAGAATTTTATTATTATTATTATTATTATTATTATTTTTATTATTCTTTTTATTATTATTCATTCATTCATTCATTTTCTTTTTGGCTTAGTTCCTTTATTAATCTGGCTTCACCACTGCAGAATAAACCCAACTTATCCAGCATATGTTTTACGCAGCGGATGCTCTTTCAGCTGCAATCCATGACTGGGAAAGATCCATACTCATTCACACCCACACACTATGGACAATTTAGCCTACTCAATTCACCTGTACCGCATGTTTTTGGACTTGTGGGAGAAACTGTAGCACCCAGAGAAAACCCACGCGAACATGAGTAGAACATGCAAACTCCACACCGAAACTACAACTGACCCAGCCGAGGCTCGAACAAGCAACCTTCTTGCTGTGAGGCGAACATGCTACCCAGTGCGCCACCTAGCAGCCCCAACATCATCATAATTATTTATTATTATATTTATATTATTATATTATTATTATTATTATTATTATTAATAATAATAATAATAATAAAACAGTGTATTATTGTTGTTATTTTTTGTATTATTTTTATTTAATATAGCTATTAGAATTTTAAATAGAATTCAAATTTTTAGTATTAATAAAATAAGTATAATACTTAAAAAAAAACAAAAAAACAATAAGCCATGAAATAGTGTATTAGGGCTGTTATGCATGACAAAAACACAATATAAATAAATAATAGTGATAATATTAATCATCATCATCATCATACAAATAATTTAATAATAATAATAATAATCAATTCTTCAGCTAGGCTCATAGGTAAAAGTCATTTATAGTAGTTTATAAATGGTGTACACATGCAGAAATAATTTTTAAAAAGTTGATGATTTGACTTGTTGCGTAAAGTTGATGGTTGTGGTGTACAGAGGATGTGGTGTTTTTAAAAAGCGACAGTTAAAAAGCGTGTGCGCTCCTGTTTTCTTGTGTGAAAAAACTGTTTGTAGAGGAAACACAACTGGTGCAATCCGTTCGCTTTAAAATAGACTAGGCAAATAGCGATGCTCGTGTACCCACAGTCCTACTGCTTTCAAAAGCTCAAGATTTAAAAACAAAATATATATCCTTTTGTAAACAGCAGCAGTCACTGCTTTCGTTTTAATCATTCTTTGAACAGATTATTAACAAAAGAAAAGTTTATTGAATAAAAAATACAAGTATGCAGCTGTATTTTACTTTTTTGACACATTTAAAATGTATGGCTAAGAAACAATTATTTCTTTATGGTGTGGTCAGAGATAAATTTGGTAAATCCTTAATTTTGAGCCATAAAAAGTTATGTGAAATAAAAACTAAGCTCATACACAACACACAAAAAGTGAGATGAATGAGGAGGCATGTGGACAACACAACATCTAAATTAAGTAATTTTAGCATGTCAAAGTCACATTTATTTATAAATATTTTCCAAACAACAACATTGTGGCTAGTGAAAATGGCAAGTGGCTAGTAACGTTGGAAATCTACTAGCCACAGTGGCTGGTGATTTAAAAAAAAAAAGTTAATGTCAAGCCCTGTATATATATGTATGTATATGCTCAGCACCATGCTGCGATGCGCATATGACACTTGGAAGTAACACGGACAATCGCATGTTAATTTAAATGAAAATATTCAGATGTCGCTCTGTGGCACCGAAGAAATATGAACAGTGTTCTGAGTTGTAGTTGGGTGCTGTGGACAGCTGCTGACTTGTGGTGCTGGTGTGCCTACCCTGATAGAAATCTGTTTAAAATTGTAAATTGTATGGTGCCAAGTGGCGCATCTGGTGTGCGACCCTCTTTAGTGACCCACCAGTGGTGATATACAGCCATATCACACTGCTACGAGTGTTATATTGCGTTTATACAACAGTTTGACGGCATAATCGTGTATATAAAAAAAGAAAATAAAAACACGTAGAGTCAGAAATGCTATTGTCTGAAGAACTACTTTCTTCCCCCATTGCTTCACATCTGCAGCTGATGTCAGAACAGCAGAAACTGTCGCTAGTTTATAAACTACATTTTAGTGCTAGTATTTGAATGATTCTCTTGCGTAATATCTAAAATGATGACAAAACGGGGGATTTTGCTGACATTTTAAGATGATAAGGCTGATTGGCATGAAATACCATACGTCTACAGAGATCTCCTAGTATTTCTGTTGCAATCAGGATATCACAATAATCAACCCCAAAAAAGCCAAAGCAAAGCAAACACTACCAGATTAATGTGGTAGAAATACAGCACTACAAAATAAAAAAGTGAGATATCCGCTTAGAATGTCACTCACTTGTTTTTTAATGATTTGATCAGCTATAGTTTGAAATTTAGTTATTCGCCCCAAAGGACTTTATGCAGTCTCTTTTGTTATGTTGTGGTGGAACGTCAACTGTCGACTATGAAGAGCTAATGGCTGCTGACGAACTGTATTTGCAAAATGATAAATATTTAAAATAGGCACTATCCTTATAAATAAACTGCATAGTTGCAATCTAAACAACTGCATTCTTGCCTAAAAAGCCTTAAGTAGATTATGTTGTCCAACAGCTGCAATATTTGTCAAACTGTAGTGAGTCTATTGATCTCCTGTCAGTCTATGTGGGCGGAGTAATACACAAGAGTGAAGAGGCTGTACGAGTGATGTCATTGCAGAATATTGCATGGCTATACACCAATCGGATTTGAGGACCGTTGTGTACAAACTCAAAACTAATTTATTAAATATATATTTAAATGTCGCAATTTATAATTTGTTTTCTGTAAAAACAAAATGTTTACAGATATATGCGTGTATATGTTGCCAAGCACAATTCTTTTTTTATTTTGTCAATGTCTTTTTTATTTTTGACAAAATGTTTTAGTTTTCAATGATATTCATATTACTCATTTTATTTTTTTAGTTCTTAAAGTTGAACTAATTAAATGAGAAACTTTGATTATAATAATAAAAAATATTTGGTTAATTTATTTTATTTCGATCAACATTTTGTAAAATAATTAATTTTAGGGCAACGCAGTAAAGCAAGAAGGTCGCTAGGTCGCTGATTCGAACCTTGGCTCGCTCAGTTGGTGTTTCTTTGTGGAGTTTGCATGTTCTCCCTGCGTTCGCGTGGGTTTTCTCCATGTGCTCCGGTGTCCCCTACAGTCCAAAGACATGCGGTACAGGTGAATTGGGTTGGCTAAATTGTCCGTAGTGTATGAGTGTGTGTATGAATAAGTGTGTGGATGTTTCCCAGAGATTGATTGTGGCTGGAAGGGCATCCGATGCGTAAAAAACGTGCTGGATAAGTTGGCGGTTCATTGTGCTGTGGCGACCCCAGATTAATAGAGGGACTAAGCCGACAAGGAAATGAATGAATGAATAATTAATTATACTTACTTTGAAGTAACTTGAACACATTCCGTCAGTTCTAGTTCAGTGAGATATATGCACACAGACTTTTCATTTCCAGTCAGCCAGCCCAAGCATTTCCAGTGAACTGTTTTTCTATTACAAAATTGCCACATTTAAGATCTGAATTCTTGAAAGATCAGTCATCTTCAATGCCAGATAGATATACGGTATAAAGTGAGTCTCAGACTGGGCAAGAAGCACTGCATTAAATTCCATTTTTTTTCACCATGTCTTAAAATATGACCATTTATTTTACCACAATATTTTTAATAAAGTTTCTGTGCTAACCTGCTGCTTTGTATGACGCTAGAACATCATCTTGTTTCATCTCGTTTTAAACTTGAACAACTGAATGAATGCTTAAGTCTATTTAACTGATTATATTTTAATTACATTACAACATCTATGCAGTAAAATGAACCTTATGAAACTGAAAATAGTCACTTTAACCTTTCACTGGAAGTTTATCATTGGCTGAAATACACTAGCTGTGCATAGAGCCTATTTAAGGGTTAACAGATTATTATTTTCTTTTTTCCCTTTAGGAACATGATGAGCCAATCCTAAAACACTTGCAGGACGTCACTGTGAAGTTTTCTGAGCCTGGACAGCCAATGGTTTGTCAAACCAGCTAAACAAGCTTCTGTTTTCAGTTTTAAATGAGTAGACACAGGCATAATTGTTTTCAATATTGTTTGTCAAAATCCAGAGTTTCACGTTAGAGTTCCACTTTGAGCCCAACAGCTACTTCAGTAACACAGTCCTCACTAAAGTTTACAAGATGAAATCAGAGCCGGACGCAGCCGATCCGTTCTCTTTCGAGGGGCCAGAGATTGTGGACTGTGAAGGGTAAGATGGAGAAATAGCTAGAAGTGATGTCTAGTACAAATCTTTGAAGCATTTACCTACCAGTAAATGTTGCCGTTAATCTCTGCGATACCAAAACTAAATTAAGCAGTCATTAATTCAGTCTTTAGTGTAACTTGAACCTTCATTCAGCATTGATAATGATAGTATTTATTAGCGGTTACTAGTAATAAGGTCCCTGACTAATTTTTGTAGAATCATGTGACTTCACTGAGGAAATGGCTGCTTCAAATTCAGTTCAACATCATACTGTAATGAACAATATGGTTGTTTTTGATCAAATAAATGCAGCTTTGGTGAGTTACAGAGACTCAATTATACTAAATCAACAAATCTGGCTGCTTACAGTGACTATACGCAAAACATGTCTTGTGTGGCTTGTTTTGGTAGAAATGTATTTGATTCTGAGTGTAAATCTAGACTGCGAGTGTTTCTAAATTATGCTTTGCACCTATTGTTTTTCAGTTGTAAGATTGACTGGCATAAAGGCAAAGATGTGACAGTCAAAATTGTTAAGAAGAAGCAGAAACACAAAGGAAGAGGGACCATTCGAACAGTTAGCAAAGAGATCCCACAAGATTCATTCTTCAACTTCTTCAATCCAGTTAAAGGTGAGTTACACTTCATCATCTTTTGCTTGAATTTGTAATAGTTCAGAATCAGTTTTATTTCTAAGTGTGCTTCACACACACAAGGAATCTGTTTTGGCTACAGAAGCTTTCAGTGTACATGAAGTGAAACAGTGACAACACAAAATAAATATGAAAAAGGACGATAAACATTAAACAGATTCAGTTAGTCAAGAAATCTGAATGTTTAGTTGTATGTACAGATTTGTTATATATACAGGTTATATGGTGCTGTGTACAAATGCGAATGGAGAAAATATTGAATTGTATATTGATATAAGGTGCTGTGTACAAGTCCGTATGAAAAAGTATTGCACATTTATTGCACATTGGGGAATATTTAACTGTTCATGAGGTAGATGACCTGAGGAAAGAAACTTTTCCTGTGTCTGGTTGTTTTTGTGCTTGGTGCTCTGAAGCGCCGACCAGACATTTATAGGTCAAACAGGTAGTGTGCTGGGTGCGAGGCATCTAGAGTGATTTTGCGAGCCCTTTTACTCACTCTGGTAGTGCCAGTGATTCGTTCAGCAGTCAGGACTATTTGCTGTAGTCTGTTTTGGCAGCTGAGCTGAACCAGATGGTAATTGAAGTGCAGAGGATGGATTGGATGACAGCTGAGTAGAACTGTTTGAGCAGCTCCTGTGGCTGGTTGAACTTCATCAGCTGATGAAGGAAGTACGGTCTTTGCTGGGCTTTTTTCACAATAGTGTTTAGTGGTGCGGCTCATTTTCCCAGGCAGAATAACAGAGGAAACTATTTACCTGGTGATTAATAATTGATTCATAAAAAATTAAGAACTGTTTAATTTATTACTATTATGCAAATGTGACACAGACTGACTAAAGTATGACAAAAGACTGAAATCTTGGAATTAAGCTAACTTTATTTTCATAAGTTTTTATTTTTTATATGACCTCTGATGATTTATATCAGGTTGTTCCCAAATTTTATTTAATTTTTTCATTTTATTTAGCAACATTTGATATCTGGCTAACATGGTAAATAATTAATGCAAAGTTTTTGACAACTGACCGAGGTAAAATCTGCGGGGTATTTTTTGATAAGAATATAAATGTTTTAAAGGGTCTCAAAAATCATATTTTGCATTATACTCCATGTATAATATACAATACAGTGTTGTTGGAATATTCTGTGTTCAAAATTTTCTTTGTTTGCTTTTGTGTTATCTGGGCACCAGGGGGCATCACAAAATAATTTTACTCAAACAAATAGAACATCATACTATGAGAATGCAAACGCTTCTTCCTCTAGAGGGCGCTTGACAACTGCTGAATTACTTATTGAGCTCCTATCAGGTCTGTCATAAATAAGAAACATCTGAACACTAAACAGTCTTTTAAATCTACTATTTGCTGACAATTAATTGAAAGTCCACCAGAGCAATGTCTATAAAGGTATGCAGAAGAGCATCTCTGAATGCACAACACATCGAACCTTTAGGGTGATGGGCTCCAGCAGCAGAGGACCACACCGGGTGCCACTTCTGTCAGCTAAAAACAGGAAACTGAAGCTAAACTTCACACAGCCTAACCAAAATTGGACAATAAAAATAGAACAAATAGGACAATAGAAATTTGGAAAAACGTTGTGTGATCTGATGGGTCTCGATTTCTGCTGCAACATTTGGATGGTAGAGTCAGAATTTGGCCTCAACATCATAAAAGCATGGATCCATCTGCCTTGTATCAACAGTTCAGGTTAATGGTGGTGGTGTAATGGTGTGGGGGATATTTTCTTGACACACTTTGGGCCCATTACCAATTGAGCATTCTGTCAACACCACAGCCTACCTGGGTATCGTTGCTGACCATGTCCATCCCTTTATGACTACAGTTTACCCATCGTCTGATTGCTTTTTTCACCAGGATAACGCATCATGTCATAAAGTACGAATCATCTCAGACTGGTTTCTTGAACGTGACAATGAGTTCACTGTACTTGAATGGCCTCCACAGTCACCAGTGTCAATCCAATTGTGCACCTTTTTAATGCGGTGGAATGGGAGGTTTGTGTCATGGATGTGCACCTGACAAATCTGCAGCAACTGTGTGATGCTATCATGTAATGCCTTGTTCACCCTAAAGGATTTTAAGCCTGATTTGAGCCCGATTTGGAAGTTAACGAGCTCGCCGACAGATTGGGCTGTGATCGGGAAAAAATCTGCGGGTGCTCGGCGCTCGCCGCTCTTTATGTGTGAACTACTGAACAACGCGTCAACGAGGCTCGCTGACGCGTCGCCGACACCTCGCAGACGGAAATCCAACATTTAGCATGCTAAATATTTCAGAGCAGTCGGCCGACTCAACCCCACGTGTTGTCAGATGTAGTGACGAGCTGCAGCCAATGAGAGAGCAGATCAGCATGAGCTGAATGCCTGTGTGTTCAGGAGCTCAGCAGAAACATCTGTGATTGGTCAGAATGGGCATCGGTGCACTCGCTTCATTCTGCGTTAACACAGACATGAGAGTAGGCTATATTAACAGTGGAACTAGAATTCTGTAACTATTAGAATTACCATACTGCTCATTCTGACCGTTCTCATATGAAACGCCATATTGTCACAACATATTTACATTCAAAGCTATTATTGAAATATTAAAATTAAGCTTTGAATTTCTGGCATCATATTTAATGACACCATTACCCTAAAAATATAATCTTTATTTGTTAATACAGCCTATAAATATGTAGTTAAGATACTAAAACACTTAAAGGTCTTGGCTTTCATTTTCACTTTCAAACAGGAGCTATTTCACAGCACAGATTATGCTGTTTTGAAAGATATCTGAAGTAAATTGATGTTTTTTGCCATCAGAAAGTTTTGTTTATGTTAGCAGGAAGTTGCTAGGCAAGAAAATGCACACATATTTAAAGTCACAGCGAAAAGTATCAGACATGCATGCAGTCTTTTTGACCAATATGGTAATTTAAGGCAGAAATGCTCAGTTCTTTACTGTTTTGTAATAAAAAAAAATAACAATGTCAGAAAGAAATACACTGATAGTTAGAAAACGGCAGGGTGTTATAAATATGTTAGTTTTATTTCAAAGAGTTATACAATTACAAAAATTAAAAACTCTCTGTGTATCTATATACTTGCAGATGAGTGATTAATCCGCTGATAAATCAGCTGATTTGACGATGTTTGTAAATGCTTGAAACGCTGTCAGTGATGTAATCAGCACACAAGCAGCAAATAATGTTCAGCTTTTTCTGACGACTCCTACCTCAAAGTTTCATTGGCTGTGGTTTGGTAGCTTGAATGAGCTGTTGGGGAATGAGTTGTAGTCAGATCATGTAGTGTGTGACCCCCCCCCCCCCTCTTGTGGATCATTCACAGAGTGTTGTGTAGTGTGAACACCACAGAGATTAAAAGACACAAAGTCAAGTCATGTAGTGTGAACGGCACAGCGATCTGCTGATGTTTAAAATCCTGTAGTGTGAACTAGGCTTTAATTTGGGCCAAAATCTTTAAGAAATATTTCCAGTATCTTGTTGAATCTATGCCAAGGATTAAGGCAGTTCTGAAGGCAAAAGAGGGTCCAGTCTGGTACTATTAAGGTTTACCTAATATTATATAGTAATTTAGAAGATATTTAATCATGGAATATGCTTAAAAACCGCTCTTTAGGATAATTTCAAATGGCTTGGTAAAACTGTAGATTGTTCTCTAATTTAGATTTTCAATGTAAATAAATGTAAAGCGTCTCTATTAGTACGTGTATACATTTATACACACATTTAAAGGCAATAATATAATTTGTTTAATAACTGATTTTAATTTGAGCAAGTCTTATAGTTGAGCTTCTAGTTTGGCTTAAAAAAAACTGTTTAAACTTTAACAAATTCATGTTAATGTTAACAGAACAAAAACATTTTCCAATGACTTATTACTTTAATTTCCCTAGTTACCCTAATTAAGCCCCTTTATGTTGCACTTTAAATTGAATTACTAGTATCTTGCAAAATATCTAGTAAAATATATCATAAAGCCAATCAAAATGCTTATTAAAAAGTGTTATTATAACTATTGTTTATATATAAATAATTAGGCAAATAATTTTGACTTCATATATATGAAGTCATAATTAAAAGTACATTTTATATATTATTTTACAAGATGTCATTTTTCAGTTTCTAGCAGCATCTCATTATCAACAAATGATTACTCGGGACTCTTAAAAATGTGTTTATGAAGTTCAAAATACTACATGGATCATTTATTTATCTTAGCATGCTGTACATATGTTTTTTTCTTCTTTTTGTTCTAAAGCAAACATTGCTGTTTTTGTGGATGTCTCTTTGAACTTAAATGATCTGCATCTTCCCACTGTTCTTTCCTGAGGAGGGCTGTGCCTTTTACAGATCATGCTTCAATTACTCCTGCAGCAACAAACTCAAATCTGTCAGCTTAAACGCTTGATTTATAGTTTTTGAAGCATACAGACATAAAGCACGCACATCTGTCAGATTGTGCGTTGAACCTCCCTCATTTGGGTGGGAATATGTTTAAGTTCGACATGTATTGTGACGTGCATGTCCTAAAACTCGGAAACACAATTAAAACCTCTGAGGGAGTCCAGATTAAAACTCCCTACGTGTACGGAGGCTGAGAGACTGCTGCTGCCAAAAACCAAACTTGATTGAGGGTGGGTGGGCCGAAGATAACTATACCAAACTTTATTACGATAAAGTTGCCATGATAACATTATTTTAAATGTTATTAAATTAATATATATGTATATGTGTGTTTTAGGGTTTCATGACCCTTTAAAAATCTGATGAATTCACTTTTAAGTGAAACATTTAATTTCATTTTTTTTTTGTAGCTCAGCAATTAAGACCCAATCCATGTTCTACCCCTTACCCTTTCCCTTACCCCACGTTTTGCACGTTCACGTGAAGGGGTAGGGGTGTCCTAATTGTCTTTAGCTTGAAGGTGTACGGCTAAAGTAAAGGGGTGAAGGTTTTTTTTTTTAAATTTTTTATTTTTTTTAGGACCACACTCAAAACCACAATGGCAGTATTGCAGAACCTAGATGTGAGGAGATCCATAAATTTGTATTTTTTGTCATTATTATGAACTTTTACGGCAAAAACACATTTTTATATATTCATAACTGCGTTTATGTTTTACCGTCAAAAAAAAGCTAAATTTGGCGATCTATAATCCATAATCATTCCTCCTTTATAGCAGTCCCACAACATTCTGGCACTCGAATACCCTGTCAGAAAAGTCTAGTGGCTTTTCTAGTGGCTTTCTAATGTTTACAAAGATGAATATGGCCACTGTGGAATCACTACAGCAGTCGCCATCGTCTGATCTCATATGAAGCAAGAGATTGCGATAACAGATGCAGGTGCTGTAGTGCTTGCCCAATTCTTTGGGGTAAGTTTTGAAGCCCTTCCCCCTCATACTTGGTTGTAAGGGGGAAGGGGTAGGGGTGCAAAAATAGAATTGGGATTGGGCCTAAACAAACAAGCAAAAGTTCATATAAAATTAGAATAACGATCTCTGTTTGAGGAATTCGCCCCAAACTTCCCCATCATTTGTCCGTCTCTTCTTTGATTGTTTGGCATGCCAAATCAGAGGTTACCATGGGCCAACTTTGGCCCTACTTTGGTCAGCTCTGCCCGAGAGGTAAAGAGTGGAGTTTTATCATTTTTTTGATCTATTAATAGCCAAGCTTCAAAATAGGGAAATGATCAAAAACACTTTGGTCATTTTTGAGCGAGATGCTAATGGTCTAATCCGATTCAATGATCTATGCTAAGCTAAGTGTTTCTTTACTTTCAGTTTCCAACTGCTTATGTTTTCTTAAAGGCTTAACTCCCCTAGAGTTAAATAATCGAGTCTTACCATTTTTAATCCAGTAAGCGTGAAGCTTCAAAAATAGTAAAATTATCAAAACACTTTGTTAATTTTTGAGCAAGATGCTAATGGTCTTATCTGATTCAATGGTCTATGCTTAGCTAAGCTAAATGTGCTAACTCTAGACCCGAATATCAGATGAATGAGTTAAAAAATCAACAAATTAAAAAATCTGTCTAACTCTAGGGGAATTACATAAAATAAGTGGTGTGTTCCTTTAACTCGCAGCTTATTTAAGCTCTTTCGGCCACTGTAGAATACTTGATAGATATGAAAATAATAATAATACATCTATTTGGAGTGGACTTCTGTAATCCTCATGCACATATTGCAAACTAAATGAAGTTGAAAATGTAAAAAAACATTATACAACCCTAAGTCTAGTACTAAATAGTTTGTTCTGTGCATCTAAAAAGGTTCTTGTTCATTTTGTCACATAATAAACAGTCGCAGTGACTGCATGTTCCTTAAGGAACTTCTTCAGTTATTAATAGCCAAACACAGAGTCAAATAAACATCTCGCCTGTCGTCCCGCCTTTTTTATTATCCTTCTGTCATTCCAATCAAAGAATGTCAGTTGAATTTGTATCTTCAACTGCCATGACATTGTAGTGTTTCCCTCACCTCATTTGGCCTTTCAAAAATGCTGAACATTGAATGCTTTGCATTTTAAGCACATTTTTCTCCATCAACGCTTTACAGAGCGTCAGGTAAAGAATGTAACCCAACCTGTCCACAGACTGTGAGAAAGAGACGCTAGTTACGGTCATTGAACTTGTCACCGGATATGTGTGATTTATTGGTTACCACAGTGATTTCCGCAACATTCCAGTCATAGGTGTGCCATTTAGAATAAAATGGCAGCAATGAGGCTGTAACTGAATGATGTAATCCTTTCTATGTTGGAACGAATATCTGAACAGACTCTGAAGGGGATGTCTCCTTCAGGACTAACTTTGATCAAGTGTCAAGAAACTTATCAGAATAACTGAATAAAAAATATTCTAATTGTTTTTCATATTTCTCACTAAAATAGATTCAAAATGAGGCCTTTTGGGGAAGCCATATTCTCATTGAGATAATAGTTAGTTTACCCTAATTCTCATAACCACAATACAAAAGTGCAAAAATGGTGTATTTTTGTTACACAAAATTATTTCAGTCAAGTTAAGGAACATTTAATTAACAATAATCGAAATTTAGCTGAAAATGTAATTGTCATAATTGTATCATAATAATTAGCTTTATTGAGATCAAATGTGACCCTTTTTGGTAAGATTTAGCTTTATGCTAAATAAAATTGCTCTGTGCCAGTAATAATACTAATATTAATTAAATTTTTTTCTCTCTTTTTTTTCTAGCCTCACCTGATGGAATGGTGAGTTGGACTTCCTTCTGGTCTTGCTGTTTTTGTTGTGTTTGTAAACATCTGAATCGTCACAGAATGCAGTATGGGTATTTACTGCCTACACAAACATGTGCTGTAGAGCAACACTCCTCTATTCATGTCATTGACAAAAAAAATATTTAAAGGCTTCATGCGTCAGTAACGGTTAGTTGTAAAGGGACTAAGTTTAGTCATTCCACATTTATTTCTCAATTAGCACATGGCAACACGTCTGCAGTCAGTTATGTTAAACTGTGGAATGGTTTCATATCAAGTTGAAGTCTGAATTAGTAGCCACCCTGTTTATTTTTTTCTCTCAATTTCTGTTTAACAGAGAAGATTTTAACACATTTCTAAACATAATAGTTTTAATAACTCAGTTATAATAACTGATTTCTTTGCCATGATGACTTGCTTTTACTAGGTATTTTTCAAGATACTAGTGATCAGCTTAAAGTGACATTTATATGTGTGTGTGTAAATATATATATATATATATATATATATATATATATATATATATATATAATATATTAATTATAGATATATAATATATTAATTATAGATGTAGTAAATATCACATTTAACAACTATAGTGAGATTAGATCCAGCTGTGTATTTTTAATAAACTGTCTGGTATGTGCTGCTGTCACCTGAGGAAGTGTGCTCAAAGCACCCGCTGACTGCCTGTAGCACAGATCTCAGCATACGGTACAGTTCATGCCAGAGTGTGTCTTTATGGTCACGTCATGTGCGTTTTCAGCGGTGTAGTGTGGACGTAGATCATTTTCATTCCAAAACACCGTTTTTTAACTAATACATAGTGTAAATGGGGCATGTATAATAGTGGTTTATTCTGTAGACAATCGAAAACAAAAATAATGCTTAAAATATTCCGATCTGCTTTTATTCTAGCCGAAAGAAGTCTTTCAGACAGAAACAAAAAATTTACAGGAGGGCGAATAATTTTGACTTCACCTGTATAGTAAACATAGCATTATTGCAAAGCAATTTATCGTTTAAGTCTTGTAAATATTACAAGTAAAAAATCAAGTGTTTAGATGTGTAATTTACTCACTGTGTCTCTTAAATCCAGGATGAAGACTTGGATTTCACTCTAGCTACGGATTTCGAGATCGGACACTTCTTCCGAGAGAGGGTTATTCCCAGAGCAGTGCTTTATTTCACAGGAGAGGCCTTAGAGGATGACGAAAGTGTATGTAAAAAAATCTGACCAAATTAAATATGTTTATATTGATGTATAAATTTGCTCTGTTATCTTAAATGGTCACAAAAGTGCTGGGATTAATCACATGCATATATATATATAATTATAATTCGTGACATTTATTTTATTTCTAATAATAAGCATTTTCTCAAAAATATGCAGGCATGCATGTATGTATTTAAAAAATAATAATAATAATAACATTAACAGTAATAATTATTCCTTACATTTGTATAGCGCATTTCTGGACACTCAAAGTGCATATACAGCCATATACACAGTACACACACTTAAATGGTCAAAACAAACTTATTTTGGACGTGATTTTAACCATGATTAATTAATGCTCTGCACTAAAATTATTACATTTTATTAAGTTTTATTTTACAGCATTAAGATTTAAATTTTAGGGTTTGCATTATTATTAATAATAATAATAATAATAATTATAATTATTATTATTATTATAAGAATTATTATTATTAAAATTATCATAACATTTTTATTGTAGTTTTTTTTTATCATTTTAATTATAATAACAAAAAAGAAAAAATTAAATGACAGTGTTTAATTATATTTTGAGGAAAAAAATCATTGAAAATATTATAATAACAGTAACATCCAAAATTGAACTCTAAAAATTATCTTTGCATAATTCTGTGTTTTACAGTTTGAAGAGGAAGATCTTGAAGAGGGAGAAGAGGAGGTGGGAATCCTTTTATTGACATCCTTATATTTCATTATTCAAAAATATACACTTTAATATGAAATGCTGTGTTTTTCAGGACCTGGATGAGGAAGGTGAAGAAGAGGAGGAGGGTGATTTTGACCCCACGGTAAGAATTCTGTTTTCATTTAAAAACACTATCAATTGTTATGATATGTAAAGCTATGGATTACTTTAAGCATTGTGAATTCATGCAGAGATGGTTTTTTTTCTATGAAAAAGTAGCATGTAATTAACAGTTTGTTCTGTTTTTAATCAAAATCTTGAGTAATTTAAGCAATTAATCATTTATTAAGTTTGAGAAATTTGAGTGCCTTTAAACTGCATCATGCTATGAACTGCATCATGAGGCATAATATATATATATATGCACACAGTTGAAGTCAGATTTATTAACCCTCCTTTGAAATTTTTATTTATTTTTTTTAAATATTTCCCAAAGAATGTTTAACAGAACAAGGACATTATCACAGTATGGCTAATAATATTTTTTCTTATGGAGGAAGTCTTATTTGTTTTATTTAGGCTCGAATAAAAGCAGTTTTAATTTTTTAAAAACCATTTTAATGTCAAAATTATTAACCACTTTAAGCTAATTTTATTTTTCTACAGTCTACAGAACAAACTGTTGTTTTACAATAACTTGCCTAATTACCCTAACCTGTCTAGGTAACCTAATTTCCCTAGTTACGCCTTTAAATGTCACTATAAGCTGTATAGAAGTGTCTTGAAAAATATCTAGTCAAATATTATTTACTGTCATCATGAAATAAATCAGTTATTAGAAATGAGTTATTAAAACTCTTATGTTTAGAAATGTGTTGAAAAAAATCTCTCAGATAAACAGAAATTGGGGAAAAATTAAATGGGGGGCTAATAATTCATGGGGTGAAAAATTTTGACTTCAACTGTCAATGCTGTCATTGTCAATTCTGTTATTGGTTTTAAAATAAGTTCAACAACAATTAGCAACATAATCAAATGTTCACCAACACCTTTAAGCATTTTGCATTATTTTACATTAAAGAATAAAAATGACAATTTATCAGTTTAGGGAAAATGCTTAATGTTTTTTATCTAAATTTTTCCATCAAGCTAAGTTTGATCAATAAAGGATGGATAATGTGAAGTTTTAATAAATCACAGTTGAAGGAGACCTATTATGCAAAAACCTCTTTTAAAAAGAGCTCAGTCTCATTTCGATTTAATGTGACAGTCATTAAAATGACACAATTAGGATCAAAGTCTAAAAGAGTTTTAAAACATTATTTGTGAGGTAGTTTGAGCTGAAACTTCACATTCACACACTAGGGACATCACAGAGACCTATTTTACATCTTGTTAAAAGAGGGCATATTAGGTTCCCTTTAAGTCATCAATCAGATTACAAGTTAAGTGCTTGGTTGCATGCAATTAGACTTTTACTGCTGATCTTGGTCTGAATTGAAAGCATTAACCTGTATGGTGATTTATGAGCAGTTGCATGCCTGATGTGTAAACCTGTGTGTTGTCCATCTAAATTCTTTTTGCAGGCATAATTCATTACTCAATTCATGCATTTCTAGGTAAGAAACGCCGGAAGGAGTTTGCTGCTACTTCCCTTCTATCTTGTCATCAATTTTCCCTTTATAGTCTTTTTGTCCTCCTTTGAAGGATATTGCACACTGAATCCGAATTTTTGTCCGTAATTTTCACACGCGTTAAAATGTGTGTGTGTGCGTGCGTGCGTGCGTGTGTGTGTAAATATAAATATATATATATATATATATGTGTGTATGTATGTGTGTGTGTGTGTGTGTATGTATGTGTGTGTGTGTGTGTGTGTATATATATATATATTATTTAATATTTATTAAAAATTTTTTCATCCAACATTTTTGTATGTTAGTTTGTTGATGCAGTTTGGTTTGTACGTTTGCTTGCGTGTCTATTTGTCCGTGTCGGTCTGTATCTTCATAGCTTAGAAAAACATCTAGTCTTTGTTTAGGATCAATTGGTTCATGGAAATTGGTGGTCTTCATTTAATTTGTGGGTTCAGTATCACTAGCTAAGTATCAGACTTTAGATCTGTCGCAATAATCCCAAAGGTCTTTGATAAGGAGGTGGATTAAGGGTGGGATTGACCCAATATTTCCTCTTTATTTTTCGTTTCAGTACGTAGAAGACAAACTCGAAGACTCTATTTTGTATTGTTTTGCAAAATATTTGGCAACGGATTAATTAATATTTATGATATTCGGTGGGCAAGGTTTGTGTGTGTGATGAATTTTTCGGATTTAAATGTATAAAAACTTAAACTTTGGTCTTCAGTGTGCAAAAACCTCTACTTTTATGTACGGTGGATGAGAGAGCTCAAAGGTGCTGCAAGTTAAGAAAACATGAAAATAGAAAAACACTAACAAAACTGAGAAATTCTCACAACACATGCAAATACAGGAACGTTCTACAAATTATGCAGGTCACGTAGGTTTGCAAGCCCAAAACGTGGCAAACTTGGCTGCTTCCTGTTTGGAGTCAGCGATTGTTATTGAAGATAAACAAAAACAAAAAAAAACCTCACCACTCAGATCTATAAAAATACTGCTTACTATAGAATATATAATTGCCAGCTTTATCATTTTGAACACTGCTCTATTTGTGTGTATTGTGAGTTTGCATGCTCGTATTGTCAAATTAATGATGTTTCTCAGTTTATTTGTTTTTTTTTTTCTATTTGCATGAGTCTTCTTATCTTGCAGCATGTTTGCTATCTCTTGAGGTTTTACACATACTTTTGTCAATTTCACATGAGATGGGGATTTGGGCACTAACTGTTTCAAACAGATTTGAAAACAGTTCAGCGATTTACTATTAATTTACTAGCGATTTGCTTTTATTTAATTTTTAGCAATTAAAATGGTTATAAAAAGTAAGTATTCTGGACACATTGACTTTGTCTGTATGAAATATTTTGCAACCATTTTAAAAAGGAACCAGAACCATTAGATTTGGAATTTACCAAATGAAAATGTGAAACTGACATTTGTGAAGTATCCTTTGGACGTTTTCAAGCTAAACTTCACCTTCATTAAATTAACCCTAAAGGAAAAGTGTGTTTTTCTTTGTCGTTATCATTTAAAAAGAATAGGTTATGGGTTTTAAAAAGAACGGTTCACTTAAAGGTCTTGTGAAGTGATTTAAAATATGTGTTTTATTCATTGTTTGATGTAATCTCAACCAAAAAACGAAGAGAGGGTGGGGCATGGTGTAGCTTCTCCCCTTTTTAAAAATGCAGCCAATAGCATTTTGTTGTTATTACAGCTCTGCCAGTGAGAGTGGTTGAGCTCAACCACATCAAGTGAAAAGCAAACGATAAGCTTCTTGAAAGGGGTGGTGATTGTCAGATACAAGAGACCATTTGATGAGAGACTGAAGTATGAGGTGACGTGAGTAAAATCCTTAGCTATGTTTCCATCCACCTATTTCATGCACATTTTGCTCATAAAAAATGGAGATCATGTAATGATATAAATGTGTGTGAATGGACAAACCAGCAGGCTGAGCACACAGTAAAACATCTGAAATGTTGTTTTGGTCATTCTAAAATGCCTTAAACATTTCAGTATTAGGGTTGTTGTATTATTAATTACCTCTAGAATCCGAGCAATTGTGCTCTGAGTCTTGCATGTTTACTGCGTGTCAGGATTGCCTTCTGAGGCCTAAGCCATTTATTAAATGAAGAAAAGATTCACGCAGCTTCTCCTACCACAGCAAATTCCGTTTTTACTGTTGATATTTGATGCCAGTTAATTAGGAAGTGACGATTTTGTTCTCTTTCACTTGTTGGATGGAAACACTGCTTTATTCCCACATGCAATATTCTAGTTTTGCGCTTAAAGTTAATTCGCCTTTTTGGATGGAAACAGCTATTGATCCATTCAGGCGAAAGTGACAAACTACAATGTTTGTATCAGTTTTACATCACAACTGGTTTTGAAGCACACTAGCTAATCGATATCTGAAAAACTAACAATACTATTATTAACTAGGGCTGGGTGGTATATCGTGTTTGGGGATATATCGATATGATTCTCCAACGCGATTCGGTGTTGTCCAATATCGTTCATATCGATATGGTCTAAAGCCACACGTGTGCATTCTGCGCGAAACAGACCACTCCAAGGTAGCAAGCAAGCTCCACTTGGACAAATGTGGGCATGCTCGAATGATTCACTCCCTCAATCATACAAAAGATTTGTTCAAAATTAACGAATCATTCAAGAACGACCCATCACTGATGGATACTGGAAATGCATCGTATATCGTCATGCCTCCTAAAAATACCAGGATATGATTTTTTGCCCAAAACCAGAATATGATTTTTTGCCCATATCGCCCAGCCCTAATACTAACAGTTAAAACCCCTATTTAATACTCACAAGACCTTTAAAAAAAAAAAAAAAAAAAAAAACTTACCCTCAAGCCATCCCTTCTGTTTATGACTTCTTTTTCTGTGAGGTAAATACAGTCGGGAGTAGTTTTAAATGTAATCCTGGCTCTTCCCTGCAATATAATGGTGTTGCATAGTGACTTTTATTTTAAAGCTTTCAACAGAATAACAGATACGCTGCTAGGGCTTAGTGCATGTCTTATTAAGCAAAGTATTGCATTTTTGTTACAAACATAATTCTTATTTTTTTAAATAATGTTGGGTCCATTTTATGATAGATTTATGCTCTTTTGGAAGCTTCAAAATAAAAGCCACTATCCAACACAATTATGCAGCATGGAAGAGCCAGGATAAAATTTAAAATAAGCCGACTGAATTCATCTGATAGAAAAAAACATAGAGGATGGCTTGAGAGTAAGAAAATTATTGGGGAAGAATTTTTTTTTTTTTTTTTGCGGTGAAATTTTTTTTTTAATAAATTGATTTGGATGTAGGCTTACTTGCTGACTACTCTCTCTTTTTTTGTAGTAACACTTGATTCAAGAAATGACACACTTTAACTTCACCAAACAAGCATGTATTGTGAACCAGACTATCATTACTGAGGATTCCTCAATGCATAAAACATCATTCCTTGTGACATTTCTCTCTCTCTCTTCGTTCTGTTCTTCCAGAAAGACCCTCCTCCTGCAGAGTGCAAACAGCAGTAAGACTCAAGAACAGACAGCCATGGCACAACTCGGCTGCTGTCAGCCAATTAGACGGTGTGGATGCAAACCTAATTTCCTCGTGGACTCGCAACACTAATGCAATAGGAAACCAAACGCTGTTTAGAAAATGCATGTTTTCTGTACTGTTTACTTTTTACAGAGATGACCTCAGTGTTTTCGTTCATAAGACGTGTGATATCACACTCTGAAATCTAGCCGACAAAACGTGTAATGTAATGATTTTCTTTCGGAAGAAGTTTCTATGTTCAAAATGTTTGTCTGGAGCTGGTGTGTGAGTGAGGGCAAGCAAAGACACCCCTTGTATTTTGAATTCTTAACATTCATATGCAACCATTACCATTTTTGCAACATAGCAGGTTCTTGGACACTCCCTAGATGATATGACCTCCCAAATGGCGTCCAGTGTAGCATCACTCAGGGTTTTTCTTTGCCAACAATTTGAACCTGCTGCGTTTATGAATTTGACATTCGCTGAAATTTCCAGTTTCACTGTTACAGTTTAGTTAAGAAGTGTTTTGAAACTGGAAGCTGAACGATGTGGATTATGGTAATAGAATACTTATGGTTTGAATTTAGGGTTGGGTGTCATTGAATTCCCAAATACCTATGTGACGTACTGCATATCCATGCCATGCACGTTGACACAGGATTTCTACCATATTTTATTTCGCCATGTGATTACGTGTCGAGTTGCTCGATTCATGCACAGAGTTTCATCTATTACAGTATTAAGAATGTTAACAGCGGGTCTATCCTCCTCTATTTTGAACTGTGTGCAAGCCTTAGCCTTATCTGGAACTTTTTCGGGTTGTAATGCAACATTGTTTCCATTTTGTACAAAATAGACAAAAATATTATATTAAATGTTGTGGGACATGATGCCACAAAGTCTTGTTTTTTTGTTTTGTTGTTATTGTTTATATATTTCTTATTAGATTAAATGTTGTAGGTTTTTTTATTCATTTATAGTGCTCAAATTGGGTGTTCCTTTCAAAGGTGAGTGGGCTTGACAAACCACCTGTAGAAAACATTTTTATCTTTCAGGCAATATTAAATGGGACATGATGCCACACAATTTTTTAAATATCATTTTTATTAGATTAAAGGTTTTAGATTTTTTTTAATGCATTTTTATTAAAGGGTTAGTGGGCTTGACAAACCACCTGTAGAAAACGTTTTCATATCTTTCGCACTCTATTAAATGTTGTAAGACATGCCACAAAGGTTTTATTTTTATTAGATTAAATGTTAATATTTAAGCATTTATATTGCTAAAAATTAGTGTGCCTCACACAGGTGAGTGGGGTTGGCAAACCTCATGTAGTAATCACTCTGACAATCTATTAAATGTTGCAGGACAAGATGCCACAATGTTTTTATTTTTTATTTTTATTGTTATAACTTTTCTTTTATTCAATTAAATGTTATGGATTTTTTTAAGCATTTTTTAGTGTCCAAACTGAGTGCTCCTCATACAGGTGAGTGGGCTTGACAAACCACCTGTAGAAAACATTTTTATCTTTCAGACAATATTAAATGGGACATGATGCCACACAATAATTTAAATATAATTTTTTATTAGATTAAAGGTTTTAGATTTTTTAATGCATTTTTATTAAAGGTTGAGTGGGCTTGACAAACCACCTGTAGAAAACGTTTTCATATCTTTCGCACTCTATTAAGTGTTGTAAGACATGCCACAAAGGTTTTATTTTTATTAGATTAAATGTTAATATTTAAGCATTTATATTACTCAAAATTAGTGTGCCTCAAACAGGTGAGTGGGGTTGACAAACCTCATGTAGTAATCACTCTGACAATCTATTAAATGTTGCGGGACAAGATGCCACAATATTTTTCTTTTTTTTCTTTTTTTTTAATTGTTCTAACTTTTTATTCGATTAAATGTTATAGATTTATTTAAGCATTTTTAGTCTCCAAACTGAGTGCTCCTCACACAGGTGAGTGGGCTTGACAAACCACCTCTGGAAAACAAATTTTCATATCTGTCACACTCTATTAAATGTTGAAGGACATGCCACAACTTTTTTATTTTTTATTAGATTAAAGGATTTAGATTTTTAAAGCATGTATAGTGCCCAAACTGAGTATGCCTCTCAGAGATGAGTGGGCTTGACAAACCACCTGTAGAAAACATTTTCATATCTCTCGTACTCTTAATAAATGTTGTGAAGTATGCCACAAAGCTTTTATTTTTATTAGGATTTTTTAAGCATTTTAGTGTCCTAACTGAGTGCTTTTCTCACAGATGAGTGGGCTCAACAAACCACCTCTGCAAAACAATCTTTTATATCTCTCGCACTCTATTAAATGTTGTTGGACATGTCACAAAGTTTTTATTTTTTATTAGGTTAAAGGTTATAGTTTTTTCATGCATTTATAGTGCCCAAAGTGAGTATTCCTCAGGTGAGAGGGTATGCCAGACCACCTGTAGTAAACACTTTAATCATTCTGACAATCTATTTAATGTAGTGGGAAAAGATACCAGATTAAAAAGTTATAGATTTTTTTAAGCATATTTAGTGCCCAAACTAAGTTTCTTACACAGGTTGGTGGGCTTGACAAAGCACCTGTAGAAAATGCTTTTATCTGTCTCGCACTGTATTAAATGTTGTGGCACATGCCACAATTTTTTTATTCATTTTTATTAGATTAAAGGTTGTAGATTTTTGTTAAACATGTATAATTTCCAAACTAAAGTCTGCCTCAAACAGGTAAGTGGGCTTGACAAACCACCTGTAGAAAACACTTTTTTATTTCTGTGATGCTGTTTATACCAGACGTGACATGCACAGATAAATCTTGATACTCACACATAAATGAACGCATAAACATTTTGAGTTAACTTGCTTCAATCGCGAGTGAAATTCACTTCACAATAGACGCGGATTCGCATCAAAAACAGGGCTTCAGTCTGCACGGTGACTGTAGCTTCATTGCTAAATGGCTAAGATGGATATTATTAAGAAAATAATTGTGTTTGTGCTTTCTGAAGGCTAAAAAATCTAAGTTGATTAGTTTGGAGCCGTGTCTAAGTCCCCTAGAACCTTTCAGAGGTGCAGCAGCTCTGTGAGTTCATGAACTCCTCCAGAAACTGTACCTGGATGATGGAAGCTTTCAGCTGTGGTTTTGACCAAGACAAGCCCAGTTTGATCATGCCGCAGGGTGTCTATTTGCGTCTTTGCATTGACTTAACATATAAATCTCTCACGCTTGACCCTTATTCCACATCTGGTGTGAATGCAGCATAATACTATTAAAGGTTGTGATATAGGATGTTTTTATTTTTCATATTTATTAGATTAAAGTTTATAAATTGAATGCTTTTATAGTGCCCAAAATGAGCGTGCCTCACACAGGTGAGTGGACTTGAAAAACCACCTGTAGAGAAGACTTTCATCTCTCTCACTCTATTGAATGTTGTAGCACATGCCACAAAGTTTTTATTAGATTAAAGGTTATAGATTTTTGTATCCATTTATAGTCCTCACCCTGAGTGGGCCTCACAGAGATGAGTGGGCAATGGGCAAGCCTGTGCTTGCATGGAATCGTCAGAGGAGCGGAGTGAAAATGTGTTTTGATCTATGAGTGCAATACCTAGTTCAACCACTGGGTATCAAACTGCACTTTTTAATTGACTCTATGCACGAATTCTGCTGACGTGTTTCCGGTAGAATATAAGTCAGTCACTCTACTTCCGTATAACGCCTTCTACAGTGAAATCTTATAGCGGCGGAACCTAAATGCATTCAGAGCATGGCAAAGAAAACGGAAATTTACCCTTACATTGATGAGGGTCCTGTGCCAGTGGATGCCCGGCATCTGTAACATCATTATTGTTCAGTTTTACAACCCACGGCAGAAGATTAATGTACCGGATGAGGCTTACAAGTCTCCGTGAGGAGGTGGAGTGACTGAAAGGAGATTGCTTCGATGCTGCTTTTGGTGTTTTACAGCTCTAAAAGTACGATTAAAAGTGATGTACTACAATTTAACCCAGAGGAAACAAGTAACAAGTTGTAATTGTATGTTATATTAAATATTACGTTTTTACCATACTATAGTAAATTGTATTATACTGTACATATTGTAGTCCTTAAAGGGACTAAACCGAAAAGAAAATGAATTAATATTGTAGTAGTTACAACTTTCTGTTAATGAATGCAGCAACATACTGTAGTATTAACTATCAAAAAAATTGCAGTATAGTTAATATGTGTGTGTGTGTGTGTGTGTGTGTGTGTGTGTGTGTGTATACACAGACTAAACATTCTAGTGTCATGTAATAGGGAAATAACAAACTGAAACAAATGTGTTACAAGTGTTTATAAGCAAAAGCTAATACATTTCTTTCTGTTTTATACATCTACTTGCATTAAATCTGATTTAGGTTTACAACTTGCATCCTACAACATACAGAGTAACGTGTCCAGAGTAAGCGCAACTGTGAGGGAGACACCGTCCATGGCATGGCTGAGGGTCCGCACTGAGCATCATGAAGCAACACAAGATGGACAGTCATCATCTCTTTCTATTACAGCGAGCATCAACCAGATTTATACAATGGCTTGCCCTCTGCCCATTAGTAAAAGCTTGAGCTAAAGATTAAAGAGTACACACACTGTAGATAATTTATATGTTGTTGCCTGCGCTGCCGGAATATAAAGTTGTCAATATAATAAACATTAATTTTCAACATAATCATTTAAACATATATCACAGAACAGTTTGAGTGAACAATTGCTCTGCACTAATGTAAATATAAATAACTTTAGATACTTGCACTGCAGTGCATAGAGAAATATGCAATGATTACCTTCATCAAATGTACCACCTCTGACTTTTGATAAAACTCTGGCAGGCAACTACCGTCAGAACCCAAGTGATGCTCAATCACTGGTTGTATTTAATTACATTTAATGTTGCCTTTTAAAAAAGATAATGGTTTTAATATGATTACAAGAATAATGCAAAATGCATTTAAGTCCCATTAATGTAATGATTGGGATACCACCTCCAACTCATTTTGAACACGGAAAACCCTGAAATATATAAATATAAAAGTAACTAGACATTTGCACTGCAGTAATGACCTAAACTCTGAAAGCTGAACTACACTGTTTTAATTTACTATGATCTTTTATTTGAAGCTGCTATGACACACTCTACATTGTAAAAGTGCTATAAAAAACATGAATTTAATTGAATTGAATGTTTTGTGAGTATGGAGTCAAACTTGGCCCTAAATATTAAGTCAACCAAATCTCCTAGAATTTAACTAATTGTATCTGCTACTTTCTACAGCTAGAGACTGTATGTTTATACCATATTCATATCTTTAATTAAATCTGGTTTGTATTTAATTTTAACAGATTGATTCTAAGGAATCTGACAATAAAAAAATTAAAATAAAAAATAAAAACTCACTAAGCAGTGAATGATAAACTTCATCATTATTCATTTTTTGAGTGTATAGACCTACAAGCAGACTAAAATCAAACAGGACAAAAGCAACCCAACAATCACATCTGTGTTTTGAAAACCACATTCAACCCCTTAGAATCCAGACACGATGTTTTGCTCAGACAAATACAGATCACATGTTCCTATGAAAATATTAATACATTTTATTACATGTAAATGTCACATTGATACTTTCCAAACCTTATCAAGCTAATTTTTTGTCCTATTTTGCAGAAATGTAACACTTGAATTGACCACAGAAAGATGTAATTACTTTGTCCGCATAATTAGAAGGAAATTATAGTGGGAAACTGATCTCTAACCAAACCAGATTCCAGAAACCTTCAGCTATGTGAGGAATCTCAACACTGACAGTTTTGGTTCTGCGGTCATGAACGCCGGCTCTCCACGATTACACTGACTTGTGTGACATACTTCCTGGCATTCTCTTAGTATTTTTTCAAGTGTGTAATCCAGCTAAAGCGGGATGGGTTCTGTGTGGTATCATTCCCACTTCCACACCTCTTGCTCTGGTTTCCTTCAGCAGTTTGTGAGGTTGCTCAAAATTATCTTCAAATCTTGTTATACTTAAAGTGGTATGGGCAGAATTCTTCTGCACGACTGACTGCTGCTTTTTATCATCGTGGCATGGTTGGAATGACATTATTAGCATTGCAGTTTGGTGATACTTAAGAGCATTAAAGCAATTACAGCGGGGAAAATAAGTATCACCGTGTTATTTTCCTGGGAATAAAATTTCTAAAGGAGCTGTTATCATGAATTTGAACCAAATTTAGGTAAAAATCCAAACAAAACAAACATAGAAATAAAACAAAACAAAAAAATCTGAAAAAAATGAGATGTGTAGTATCAATGAAATGACACAAGGAGAAAGTACAGAACTACTAAAATGTACGTAATACTTTATATAAAAGGATTTTGGTGATGGCAGCTTCAAGATGCCTCTTATATGGAGAATGAATTCACATGAATTGCTCAGTTGTCACAGACCTCAACAGTGTAAAACTCTTGATAGTTCTGTGGGTCTTTTCTATCAAATCTAATCCTTATTTTATATTCTCTATTGGATTCAAGTCAGGTGATTGGCTGGGCCATTCCACAGCTTGATTTTCTTTCTCTGAAAGCATTTGAGAGTTTCCTTGGCTGTGTTTTGGATCATTGTCTTGCTGAAAAGTCCACCCTACTTTCATCTTCATCATCCTGTAAATGTAGATGTTGCATTGAAGAAGCAAATATTAATTTACGTTGATGAAGGGCAGAAGGTTGCTACAGAACTACTGTGAAAGTTCAGCTGCTGTCTGGGCTTTAACTGCCTTTCTAAAACCTCTCTTTTACCATGTGTTCAATTCTTTTTTCCTGCGTCATTTTATTTTATTTCACATAACCAGACCCACACGGAATCTGCACACGCAGAAATCTGCAAATGTTTAGCCCATCATGAGTCTATTTATTCACTTGTAAATGTGTTAATTTATATTTATTCAGTATTTAAATTAAGTTCACTAATATTATTAACAAATATGAAAATGTTCGTATGATTTTTTTTTTAGAAATACAGTTTGTAAAGTATTGTTTTTATCTTTATTTAAATATTTATATGAAAAACCTGCTTTAATTACAAATTAAGTGGATCTAATTGGATTTGCATTGTAAACATTAAATAAAAGTTATTAAAGATATTATTTTTATTTTATATATTAGGTATTTAGTAATGACATCCCCAAAATCAGTCCACATAAATCCGCAGATTTTTTACTAAATTCTGTGCAGAAATAGCTAAAAAGGCCCGCAGATTCCATCTGGCCCTATACATAACTTAATTTGTAAACTAATTAGATTTGTTTTCTTTACATATATGGATTTCTTTGATTGTTACCAACATTCTGAGAAAATTTCAAGTCAATAGCTATGTTTCCATCCAATAATGCAAATTAAATTTATGCGCATAAAAGGCGTGCAAATAAAGTAGCGTTTCCATTCCATCCAATGAGTCAAGGAGAACAAAATCGTCACTTCCTGATTAACCGCCGGCAAATATTAAAAAGTAAAAACAAAATTTACTGTGGTAGGAGAGGCTACGTGAATTTTTCTTCATTTAATAAATAACTTGCGCCTTACACTAGGCCGACACGGAATGAATGCATGGTGGTGTTTGAATGCATGAGATGCGGAGCACAGACGCTCTTGAAAGTTCGGGAGGTCATTAATAATATAATAACTAATAATATTAGTTATTAGTTTTTATAATAATATAGTTATTATTATTAAATTTTAATATAGTCATTATTATTATATTATAATATAGTTATTATAATAACTAATACTGAAATAGTTAAGGCATTTTAGAATGACCAAAATAACATTTCAGATGTTTTACGATGTGCTCAGCCTGCTGGTTTATCTATTCACACAGATTTTTATCATCACATGATCTCATAACAAAATCACATGATCTTTTTTTATTGTGCATACTGGAACTTGTTCAGTAAAAGTGTTTTCATCGCAGTTTATGATCATCTTTTGTTATCGAATAAAAAGTTTATCCTACTCAGTTTTGCACATATGTAAAGTACTTACTTAAAATGAGCAAAATTAATACAATTCTTGAGTCGTTTTTTGAAAACTTAATAGTTTTATGTTTAATGTACTTAAATTTTGTAAAAACAAATAGGTTAAATAAATCAATTTGTGTTGGGGCAACATTTAGTAATTGTGTGGATCCCAGCATTTTTTACAGTTTTCACCAAAAAAGTGTTTTGTAGTTTACACGAATTTGGCAACTTGCTTAGAAACATTACATGGTATTGTTACCACTTTTTTTATACTCAAAAGACACTAAATCTTTCACTATATTGTAGTGTCTAATATAGACTGAAAAACTTCATATGAATACAGAACAAAGAATCTCTTATTTAGTGTTGTCTGTTGGCTTGGAGAAAGTTCTGACTCCCCCACAGCTTCAAATGTCATGGCCATTGTGGTCTCGTCTCCCTCCCATCAGATACATATAAACACTCTTTCTTTCTGCCCCTCTCAAATTTTCTCAAATTATAATGCCACTTTCGCTGTCCCGAGTAGGTTCTATAAATAGGTACAAAAAATGGGACTTAATAATTTAGTTTCAATATATATATATATATATATATATATATATATATATATATATATATATATATATATATATATATATATAAATATAAATTTCTGAACCTAATAAAATATGTGTTCAGCATAAGGAAATCACAAACCGTGAGTCTCAGTCATCATTGTTTCCTTGTTCTCATGTAAATCCTATGGTTGTAAAATTCCAGCCAATCAAAACAAAACTCACATAGATGACAATCCACACAGTATTATTAATATACGCATGTTTGATTGGCTGTTTGTCAGAGAAATTACAAAAATTATAATTATTTCCCTTTATTTATAAGTACATCTAAACTTATATTAAACATACTATGCATTTGGGAGTTTTATTTTGAAAAAGAGAGAAGCAGGCAGGCTAAAATGGACCAGTTTTATGAAGCAAGCAGCCATGCTTGACCACAAAACGTGGGGTATACATATGAAAAATTTATTCAGCTCTACCCCAAAGAGAAAAAGGGTCCATTTGAATGTATCTTTTGTTAGTTTAACATGTATGTTATTAAATTTGTCACATATGTTTGTATTGAGGCAACAAACACATGTAAACTGCTGAGTATACATTAAGTGTGCAATGAATGTTTATTCATGTCATTTCACTTAGATCTTAGGCTTAATCTCAATATTATTTGTACTCCACCTTCCGCTTGACCCTTGAAAGTGTAAAGTAAAAATGTAATGTGTATGTATATAGAACATTTATTGTGTATGGCCATAAATTCAAAGCGCTTTACAATCATGAAGGGGGGGTCTCTCCACAATACCACCAGTGTGCAGCATCCACTTCGATGATGCGACGGAAGCCACAGGACAACGGCGCCAGTGCGCTTACCACACCTTATCACACACCAGCTATTGGTGTAATGGAGAGACAGTGATAGAGCCAATTCGGTGGATGGGGATGATAGGGAGGCCATGATTGTAAGGGCCGATAGAGGGACTTTAGCCTGGACACCGGGGTTACACCCTTGCTCTTTTCACGAGAAGTGCCATGGGATTTTTAATAACCACAGAGAGTCAGGACCTCGGTTTAACGTCTTATCCGAAAGATGGCGCCCACTGACAGTGTAGTGTCCCCTTCACTTTTACTGGGGCATTAGGACTCACACAGACCACAGGTTGAGCACCCCAGGCTGGCCTCTCTAACAACTCTTCCAACAGCAACCTAGTGTTCCCAGGTGGTCTCCCATCCAGGTACTGACCAGGCTCAGCTCTGCTTAGCTCCTTGAAACTGTGTGAATGGGTTGGGATAGAAACTACGACAGATGAACACATCATCATGACGTCACTAGTGCACGTTGCGAACTCCATGGATGCAGCGTTTTCAATTTATTCATATAGCAATTAACCATAATGTTCTACACGAGTGTTGATGCTAATCCTCTGTGAATGAATTGAAAACTTTGTGTTTTTGTCGTTTTATCCATTCCAGCTCCAAGACAGTTGATACATTGGTTGCCTAGTAACATAAAAAGCTTGCACACTATTTACTGATGTCAAATATGTGGCACTGTCGTTAGCAAAATTCAGCATTTTTCCCCTACCTCTTTTTTTATACATATTTTTTATTTCTCTTTTTTTAAAGGAAGAAATAAAAAAGAAAAATAAATAAATAAATACAATACAATACAATACAATAACACATCGGAACTTAAATGAACAGTTGACTGGTCACCAGTTTCCTTACAGGTCACATTAACAAATCAGCCTGATCTCACCAGAAAACGTAAGTATTTTATGTTTTGTCAGTTTAGTGGCTAACTCGTATGAATACGTACGAGTTCAGTCGTATGAAAATATACGATTTTAA